TCGCCGACCTCGCCCAGCTTTTGCCTGTTTTCTTCTTTCTTCTTTAGCTCTCTTTGCCTTTTGGCTTAGATCAAGTGTAGTATCTGTTCTTTTCAGTTTAATCTCTGGAAGGTCTCCAAGGAGACCGATCGTGATTATTCCTATTTTTGGCTCTCGGGCGGCTTCCTCTGTGCTTGCACATGATTCCGCCCACGGTGTCCCTGGTATTACACTGCCTCCAGGTGACGCGAACCATTGAGGTCATTTTCATTGCTTTTGGCGGCTTGCCGCCATGGTGAAGAAGACGCGCGTTCTTTGGAGGTGTTTGGGAAGAGTATGCTCGTTGGGGACAAGAACATCCAAGGGCAGAGCCGTCGATGGCGTTCGTGGTTCGTGGCTACGATACGATAAGGCAAAGAAGCCGAAGGCGAAGAGCCAGGACCAGAGGAAACGTCTTGGGTTGTTTGAAGTTGAGTTTTGTGCGGTCAAGTCAGACTTCATGCCACTGTTGGGCACAGGTAGATTCTGGGAGGGTACGCGTCAATCATTCACGCGCCTGCCAAGTAACAGGCCAAGGAGAAGGTTTAAATCGAAGTCGTCGCGTCATATGATCATTCTACAGGTCTCATCGCTTCATAATCATGTCTCTAAATCTGTCCGTGAGGTTCTCGTCGCTCACACCAACCACACTCCCACCCGTGCTCCCTGTGCCCGCAAACCCAAACCGCACGCGTCTCTGCCGCAGCTGCACTGCAAGCTCGATCCCATCCATCTTCATCGCGCTCTCTGGTACGCTCACCAGCGGATTATTGCGCAGCGCCGTCGTGGCGTACCCCAGCACCTCTGGCCCGACCGCCCAGTGCACGAAGAAGACGCTTGCGACGCCTGCGATGAGTAGGATGAGACCCGACGCGATGGAGAAAGCCGCCCACAGTTTGGGGATGGAGAAGACATTTACTGGGCTGTCGACCTCCGCGCTGGCCGTCTGGTTCTTCTCCAGGTACGTGGATCCTGAGTCGCCGAGCCGAAGTGCGTTGACGTCCATGGAGGCGATCTGGATGAAGGTGTTCAGCACCTGGCTCAGGCGATAGCTGAACGTCTTTGCGTCGACGCTGGACATGTTGTACGCGGTCGTGTTCAGCGCTGGGTCCGCCAGGTACTGCAGTGTGATATCGTAGACACCAATCCTGGCCACATTCTGCCCAGAGGACACCGGCCAGAATTTGGACACAATGTACATTGCCTCGGGAAAGTTGAGTATGTTCAAAGATTCCGGCATTTTGTAGGTGCGCGAGGGACGTTGGGCAGTGACGCTGCAGTTTTGCTGGTCGACCTGCTCCAGCTTTGAACATGTGATTTGTGAGGTGACATACTTCTGCTTCACATCGCAGGATGTTCCCAAATACGTCAATGGTTGTGTGAGAGCTGATGAGATATAGGCTTCGAGCATCAGAGTCGTAGGCCCGGCTTCGATGCCCGTCTCATTCTCAAACATTCTCAATCTCTGTAGACTCGCATTTGTCTGGTAATTGGTCGACATACCTCTGGATTCTGTTGTATACAGCCAATAGTGATTAATGAACCGATCAATGGCAAAGGTCCAGGCGGCCTCATTGTAGATGGAACCGTTGCCCCCGAGACGGAAGCCTTGGAATGTTCCGTTGGGAGGGGGATCTGCCGACGAGCTTGCGAGCCTTCCAAGCCATGTAGAGTTGTATGGCTTTCGCTCGATAGAACCCGACGTCCTCAAATTCTCCACGGCGGCACAGTCGAGTTCGATATACGTCGACTCTGCTTCAAAGGTTGTGTTCCCGGAGGAAATGTTGAGCACTGGTAGACCAACCAAAGACGAGTACAGCATTTCGGTCCCAGGCTCATTGCTCTGCCATTCGTCGTCGCCAGACTTCTCTAGTGAGCTTAGAAATGGGATCTTGACATTCCCCCACATGTCCATGGTGTTATTCTTGATCGTGAGAGGGGCCAGAATCACACTGTTGTAGAGAGCATTGATCCTGTCAAACGTCGCGTTCTGTACCGAGGCTTCGTGCTCTCGGAACGGAGGGAGTTCGTTGTCTGATGGACTCGAGCCCAGAGTGTCGAAGTACATCATCGGTCGTGATGTTGTTTCCGCGGCATTTCCTACTTCTACCAGGCGAAGTATTGACTGCGCGCCTAGCGGTGAAATGCACCACAGCAGCAGGAGCGAAAGGCCAAGGATGTTGAGAGCCCGCAGCTGGAACTGTGTGACGAAGACGCCACCGACGGTTCTGCTTCCCATCAGCTGTTCCAGGGTTTCGATCGTGCTGCCATTTTCAAGCTTGCATCGGGCGGCTTGGGTCATCAGGCGACCGACGATGGCGGCAAACAAGAGTGGAAATAATGTCGATAGCTAGCGAATTCCTAGTCAGTCGGGATGTCAACAAGATATCTTCGCATGTTGGCACTCACAACGTATGCTGCATCCTTCCACTGCTGTATACTCCCGACATCGGCTTTGTGGCCACTCTTGGATACTAGAATAATCACGAATATCAAGAATGCGATGGGCACTGTCAAGGCGAAAAAGTCGGCTAAGAAAGTATCGATCCCTGGTCGATATCTCACCACCGAAGGCTCCGGGACCTCATCGTCCCTCACCTCGCGACACTGCTCCAAAACCTCATACTGTGGATCAGGCGCCTTGCCCTTGGGCGCGGGTGGTAGCTTTGACTGTCGAGCGTCATCGTACCATGATGCCTCCCCGAGGGCGATATCGGTCTCGGCGTTCTGGGGTGGGAAGTGACGTGAGTATTCACTCGCATCGTCTAGCCGGCTATGCATTTCTTCGCGGCCAAGCGTATTTCGAGGCCCCTATGAACAAAGTGTGGAGGAAGCCCTTGAGAATGGCGCAGGGTGATAGATTTTGTTACAGGAGGGGGAACGAAGGAATTTGTTTTAGAGAGGGCTTCTTTATTAAATCGGTGAATGATACATCGCTCCCCCTTGTTGCTTCGCCGAAACCCCAGTCATTTATGCTTGATTGGCAACGTATCAGCCTGAAAGGACACCATGACTGCATGCATGAGGCGCCCCAAAATGGGTCGCTGAAACGTGATGTTTGCGTTTGCGCTCTCCAACTGGCTGCTTCTGCCTCGGATCTGTTTTCTCGCATGGAATGCGCGTTGTACCTGTTATTTTTAGCACTTTGTCCACACTTTGCTCGCGTTCTCTCCTCAAGTTCCTAATTGTATTACCTGGGCAGCTTATCAGCCCACGGCATCCAAGACAATAATGGGGCAATTCCCTGAAATGCGCCGCGTAATTGTAGGGCTGGGGTGGCGAAAAGAGCGTATAGAACGCCAAGATAATACCCCAGACATAAGCTGTCGTCAAGGATCTTCAGTGAATCTTATGAGCTTCTCTTGGAAAGACATCTGATATCTGCCTCCATAGCTACTGTGGACTTAATGGAGATTGCTTGCCGCTTTTGCATTCTCATGCTTACAATATACGGAAAATACATAATGCAGCACGATATGTGCTTTGTTGAGGATACTGGATGTAATTATGCACGCCATTTGGTACTTTAGGACATGGTGAGGTAATCTTAATATCAATCTCCTCGGCGTGATGAGTAAGTTTATTTCTCTTTCCTGTTAAATTATAGATCCGCTCTCGTTGGTAGGAGTGCCTATACCTAACCGATATACATAGCAAATACACACTTGCTTCGCCGTAAACACAGCCTCAGACATTGAGGAGGCCATGCACACCAAGTCTGTTATCAGACCAACCCGACGGGATCGTAGAAAGAGTATGGCCTACCGATGGTTATCACTAAGGAGAAGAAACTGGTTTAGCCTACCAGAAGATGGATGCTATTAAAAAGGGATTCTAATGACTGGGTTAGTGCACAACTGCTAGTCATATCTGAAGTGAGAGGCAAATTCTCAAGCTTTTTAGCGAATCGCTGATAACAATAGCGGATGATGATCTGGACGATGAAGTGCTAAGTTTATAAACACACTTTATTGCGACTCTTCCTGTGCAGGAAGGTAGAGCTATCACAGAGAGGGAGAAAGAAAAGTAGAATATCTTATGGCTCTGCGGGAGAGACAGCAGCAGAAACAACGGGGCTAGCTCTCTATGCATGTATATAGTAACAAAGGGAAAGAATGGAAAACCAAATGGAACTAAGAAGTCTAACTCTGGATAGATCTTCTATAAAACTACACAGACCTAAAGTTATCTGTAACTTATACAAGTGAGCTATGTGTCCTTAGGTGCGAACAACTCTTTTAGTATGTATTCTAGCTCTTACATCGAAATCTAAAGTTCCTGGCTTCAAAATTCGAAGTAAATTTGCTATCTACATTTCATCGATAGAGTTTAGGAGCTTTATACTCATGTCATAATAATTGCATATCTATTGCTACGAAACGGGGTATTCAGACACTGTGACTGATTGTATCAAGGCGTGCGATCAGCGGGAGAAGATTTCGCCTCATCCCAGGTCAAGTAAGGCGGTTAGTATGAATATAATCATTGCACTTTCTTTAATTCGATGGATTCATGGGATTACAAGTCCGCGGGCGCTCTAAAGCCTTGCTATCGCTGTTAATCTCTTATATCTTCAAGAAAGCACATCGAATAATAGCTATTCTGTCTTTGGCGGATGTGCTATGGTAGTCTTTCTGAGAAGCATATGAAGGAAGCTACATGTGAATGAGTGTATGCATTGGGTATAGATGACAATTCCAAAGTTGGAGTAATATTTCTTGAAGCTATCGGATGGATTACCTTTAGGCGAGGTGATTTGAATGACAGCCCATACCCAAACTACCCGAGTCCTCCCAAAAGTACTGTTTCCCTATTGATGAGCCGAATTCCACAAGACAATAGCCCTCTCGTGATGTGACGGAATGACACACAACCCTATCTAAGCTGACTGTTTCGAAGTAGCTGCAGGCGTGGCGGAGGCATGTCTGTGTTTAGATTAGCTAGATTCGTAGGCAGATGTAGTTTTTTATTACATTAGTCACTTACTGTTTAGGATCAAATTGAGATCCCATAAACGCAAAATCTTGGTCGCTTGGGCCAACCACTGAGGAAGATGAAGAGTCATCTGGGGTGGCAGGGTCATTGGTTGTCTTGGCATCCTGATGCTCAGACGAGTCATAAGCTGGGGTAACGCTCCAAGCACTGCTCCTCTGACTATTAGCACACAATTCAAGGGGACAGTAACGCAATTGGAACATTAAATAGAATCAGAGCGGGACTCAGCGACGGATACTCTAGCTAGTACAGCTTGCCGGGTAAGACGGCGTGAATAGACGGATGAGTGAACACTTGAAATGAATGAAAGGAGGAAATAGGATTTGAACGAATAATGTCAAAGAACAAAGGCATGATGGTATCACCTGGCTCAATGCGGTTGGGGGCGTAGGTGAAAGGGTTGTTGTTTGTAGCGCAAATTCTAATCAAATACTGAGATAACTTTCCACGTACCTAGTAGACATGATGTCCAGTTTGTCAATGGTAATTGAAGTGAGAGAGCCGTGTCACTGGGATTGTATTGGATAGGTCAACGATGTATGTGTGTATGGTGCTTTGAAGTTATAAAAGAAGGTAGATGGAAAGGCTTTGGGGGCCGATGGCCACCTTTTGTAGGCCTAGGGAAACATGGAAACAGGAGGATTTTGCATCTTAGGCCGAGAGCTTTCTATGTATTCGGCGTAATGAACTCGTGATAGGAGTGCGTTCCGTCAGGCAATATTGGCATTGGTATAAGATACTTGCACGCTGAGTGGCTTGGGCAGATGTCGACTACGTTTTCAGAAAAAGACGGGGCTTCTGCCTAATTTACGCATATTTCGTGATGAAAAACAAGGGATTCTTAGTCCATTTGAATGTGAGGATATTGATACTCGGCATCTGATTTGTTGGTGGCTTTTTGTTTGAGGGGCAGATCTTGCCTCCAGAGCATGAATGGATCGGTAAGGTCGGGAACCTGGGATGTTACTAGCATTACAGGGCCCTCAATCAGGTACATGAATCTACCGAAGAGATTCAGCTGCGAAGTGGCCTGTGACAATAGATGCGCCGTCTTACCGAATCTGCTGCATGATTGGCCCATGAACATTTGTTGCGTCGTGGTAGACGCCTTTATAATTAGACCACAGATTCCGTAGTTCTGATTGGGCGGTGAACTTTTGTTTTCTGGGTACTGGCTTTGGGTTATGACATATGCATATGCACGGAGCTGAGCTCGAAGGTTGGCCCACTACCTAGGTGAATCAGGGGGGCGGAGAGGATGTTTGTTTACCGACAGCACATGACGCAACCCTCTTTCGCGCATCGTATCAAGACTGTGAAACAGTGATCTTCTACTAACTCTGGTGGTTGTCGGGCTTGGACCTTTGGTTGGTAAATGTCGGTAATGTCGGTGGCTTTGGCTCAGTACGTTTTATTCCGCCTCTTGGCAGTACTCGCACATTTTTCTTTTGCACCAGACTGAGCCAGCCCAAGCAGCTGCGCCTGACGAACGCAATCAATTGTGAGCCTGATTAACGCTGTGAAAATTATTCCACAGGAATCCACCTGCATGTCTTACATTACGGTAAACGCCTCGGGCCTGCCTTTGCCAAGTCATCATGCAGCTTCCCCCAATGGAGGGTGGCCGTCATCGTTGGTTGGTCACTGACGTTTTGTTGAAACTTAAGGCGTCAATCCATGCAAATATTCATTTCCCAGTTCCCGTAATGGCATTCTGCTTACGTCCCATTGCTTTGTGCAAAAGCTTCATCAGATATCACTTTGGGTGGCGGAGGGTATTTAAGCCATCTCCTACTCTAAGATTTCAAACTGCTTCTTTTTTTCTTTTTATCCCACACTACATCCTACACTCTATCTATATTTTTCATCGTTTTACTTTGCTTCATCTCCCACAGTTAGGTCATCATGAAGGCGGACGACCTACTTCCCCAATCAGAAGAGGCCAAGTTCCTCAATCATCACCATAATGACAGGTGGACGCACCTCAAACCCGTGATAGTCCCATTGTACATGGACTGCCGCGATACATTTGGAAAGACTATGACATACGCCAAGGTTGCAGCCTTCATGAAGCTCCATTACGACTTCCATGCTACGTGAGTACCTTCGTTTTTTAGTTTGGAACTCACAAGCTCTGATTGATATCATCATGCTCACTCTCATTTTTTTCTAGAGAGAACCAGTACAAGAACTGGTTTAAAAAATGGGGCATACAAAAGCGCACCCCTGGAACAGAGAAAGGCGACATCGTTTCAGTACTTGGAAAAAGGCAACGACTTGGACAGAGCACCTCCAACGTTACCCTTCAGCAAGGAAATTCTGATAAGCATATCGACAAGAAACAGCTCGTAAGGTATCTCAAAAGCGAAATGCAGGCCTACAAGAACTGCAAGATTGCACCAGGAGTGTAAGTGGGAATTTCTTATGTGGGAGAACTCTTCACTCACTCTTGCATTTGACAGATTTTCATCGTGGAGTTTGCCATATGCAGCATGGATCAAGACATTTGAAAAACAACCTGATCAGCCGTCTCCTTTCGGCACGAGTGTGCGAACACCGAATTACATGAGCATCGAAAGCCCGGCTGCGATAAGCCCCGGGAAAGAAATAGCCGCGCCATCCCCCGCGATGCAACTGGTAGAAACGGAGAGGGCCCAGTATCGATCCAGCATGTTGCTACAAGGCCAGCTTGACGCCCTCCTTACCTCCTTGGGGCGGGATAAGCGCATGTGAGTCGAAATACATTCCCATTTCCGAAGAATATCTTTTACTAATCTATGCAGGGTTGTCCACAATTTCTTCCACGACTTTTATATTCATTCCATTGTGACAGCTAAGTATTGGGGAAAAGGACCTCGAGTCTGGTCCCCTGGGATGATCACTGCTCTACTAGGTAGTGAGATGAGCCAGACTGCTCAGGGCATTAGCAACTCAGCCTACTCGCCAGTCAGTATAATGATTGGAATGGGAAGTGAAGCACCCACCAACCTTTGTAGGTGGGCAATTCATGCGGAGAAGCATGACTACGTACCTATCCCGGAGGTGGCGAACGAAGACGAACTGTTTGACATACGAAATCCTAACTCTTGGGCAGAGTGGACTAACGAACAACTGTCAAGCGCGTCGTTTACCGATTCGATGCAGAACTCACTTGAAAACCACACATTTTCACACACTCCTGTCGAAGATCTACCAATCTCGATGAATATGATTGCTTCCTCCGTCTCACAAGATCCGCGTTGCTTGGAAATTGATGCCTGGAAGCTTGCTATCATCGCAGGCAATAGAGATCTCCTTGAAACTCTTCGTGACGAGATCACAGAGACAATCGGAGAAGATCTTAAAGATATCCATCCATTCCACCTCGCAATTGCCTTTTTGGATGGTGCCAAGTCATGCTGTGGTGTGTTCGAAGACCTCCTGGAAACGTTGAGCACATTGCATTACCGTGTTGACAACTTCGGGCATACTGTCTTTGATTCTCTAATGGTATCTATACTCAGTTCGCATACTAATCTCCACCCTCAGGAGGTTAGTCCTGGATTCCGCGAGATGACTAGATTCCCAGGAGAAGAAAAAGATGTATGTGGCCGTTGGGATACCGATTCACCAATTATTCGAAGACTCTTCGAGGATGGCAATGCCAGAATCCCGGTCCAGTGGAAGCACCCGTTCTGTCATACTTCAGTGCAGGCGATTTGCCACGTGCTTAGTGGTTCGGTAGCCCATTTTGGGCGCGTCCAGTCGGGTGGGTTATTTGTTCGCTATTGCAGCAATTGTGGCCTGAAGCTCACGTTGGGCCCCTTCCACACGCTCATTATTGTCGCTGCCAGTTTGGCACGCAACGGTATGGCTGGAGAAACATTATTTGGAGCTATCGCAGTACTCAGTTGCCTGTTGAAGACGCGGTCGGTCATAGGCGTGCTGGAAAAGTTTGATGTGTCTGTGGAAGATTTGTACGGGATCGCGGAGCCCGGGCGATGCTACCATAAATCTGTGGATGCCTTTGAGTTTATACAGATAGTCCCTCGGGGCATTATCGAGCGGTGGAGCAGTGAATGTCAAGTCGGGTGGGAATGCATGACCCAGATCCTCCGAATCGCTGCCGAAATAGAATCCGAAGAGGAAGAAGAGGACATAATAGTTCCTTGCGAGACATGCGGACTTTACGACGCTCACTGCGGAGAGCCTAAGCTGGGTCTTCTGTGGGCCACAATACAGACTGAGCTCCTCACATATCGAAGGCTTGATGAAGGAATGCCTTGGATTTCGGCAAACTTTTCCATGCAGGCTCTTGAGACATTCCTCAAGACTGATGGAGGAGAATTCGACACGCCTCTTGTCAAAGATGACATGATGAAACCACATTCAGAATGCGGCTGGTTCGTGGGGAATCTTAACATACCTATTGCCGAAGAAGTATGCAATCACTTCTTCATGAATATGGAAGATCATTCTAGATCTTCATTTTTGCCACGAGCAGATTTTATATTTTTTTGAACTAAATAATCGCCCCAAGTACACATCAGAATTGTCCGAAGGGAATCAATTATCCGCTAGCCGTTGGCAGACCTAAATAGACTCATTGCAATCAAATTTCCTTGGGTGTGAGATGCTCATAGCTCCACATCAACAAATGCAGTCTTGAAGATCGACGATCTGCTGATTGATGGCGGGAATAGAAAGGGTTTCGTCGAGTCGGAACAGACTTCTAGTGAAAGTACCACATAAATTTCAGCGACCTTGAATTTTTGATAAGCTTCGGAGGTGCTTGTAGGACTTTCAATTCTGTATTCGTGATATCCCAAGCCCCAAGTTGAGTTCTGATAGGAAAAGCCAAATACGAGGACGAATATAAAAGTGCTAAATAAGTTATGAGAGCATCTAGGCAATTACAGTTGGTCAATTTCTGCTTAGTACTGGTAGCGTTAAGATGAGCATGGATTGCCTGTCTGTGCTACGGCTCAGACGCGCCGTTAACATGAGGGCAATCGTTCAAGAACCCTTGATACACAAACCGCTTGATGAAATTGTGACAATCACCTGCCTGATTAGCTAGAGCCAATTCTTCGAAATACAACGCTGACCGTGGTGACTGAGGCTTTTAAATGCCAAGTTTCATACAAGGGTCTGGCTGACAGCGTAATAACATGCTTGTGCTTATTTGTGCTTAAATAGCCGGGTTTGTTAACTGATTCGGCGTTCTTGGGCAAGTGATTTCTGACAATAGCTTTTCCCTTAATACGATGCGGTTTCACTGTCTTCTGACTACTATCGGTGTCGCTGCTTCGATGAGAGCAGTGGACCTTGACGCTTTGCGGGTGAAAAGCTTAGCAAGTTATACCAAGTCATCTGATGTAGAAGACGATGCTAGTATTAAGCTGCTCAAACGGGGTGACTTTGTGGGAACGGCTATCAACCTGGTACAGAGTATCACCCCCAATGCGACATTTAGAGTCAAGGATGACAGCTATCTGGGAACAAATGGTCTCAGTCATGTGTTCCTCCAGCAAACCGTCCACGATGTAGACATCGACAATGCCATCTTCAATGTCAATGTATGTGGCAAGCTTCGTTCTGATTTACCCCTTCAAGGGTGGTATTCATATTAACATCCTCGCCAGATCGACAAAGAAGGAAACATCTTTTCATATGGAAACTCTTTCTTTGCAGGAGACCTTTCAAAAGAGTCTTCGAAGAGCCGACGACTGACCCTAGATCCTATTGGGGCTCTGGATGCCGTTCGCAAGACCTTGGAGTTGCCAATTCAGGTCCCAAACAATGCAGTTACTGAATTGATTTCTGGCGAACAAGAAGGCTATCTTATCAAGAATGTGGAAGGTGCTGAAACGGACCCCACCGCTAAACAGGCGTATTTAGTTAAACCCGATGGTAAATTGGTGCTCGCATGGAAGATTCAGACAATTGTGAAGGACACGTCCTTTTCGTCCTATGTGGAAATCGATACTGGCGCTTCAGAAGTAGTTGCCGTTCTTGATCATGTTGATTATTGGTCATATGAAGTTTAGTAAGTAATAACTCCCCTCTCCAAGGCAGTAAAATCACTGACGGCTTCAGCCCCTTTGGACTAAATGATCCACGCGAGGGGAAGCGCGCAACTGTTGACAACCCGCAGGACTCAACGGCCTCGCCGTTTGGCTGGCACGATGCTAAGAATAGTGTCAGTGGAATGTATGACACAGAAGGCAACAATATTATGGCCGGGGCCGTGCCGGTAATACCGGGAAACTTTAACCAGGCTCGGAGTCCAAACGAGTCCTTTGTTTTCCCTTACACGCCTGATGCCGGAACTCCAGACGAGTTTTATGAGGCTGCAGTCACGCAGGCATTTTACACCACAAACATGCTCCATGACCTGTATTATCTGTTGGGCTTCACACCAGCCGCTGGAAATTACCAGAAAGATAACAATGGTGAAGGCGGAAGGGCAAATGATCCAGTCCAGGTCAACTTGCAAACAGGTGAGTAATTTTCAATATTATTGATGTTGTGTATATCTTGAATCATGCTAAACTCTATAGCTGGAGGGAAGAACAACGGAAATTTTCAGCAATCGGCTGATGGTGGTCGAGGAATCCTCACGATGTACCTCTTCGATCACACCGACCCAGAAAGAGATAGCGCGTTTGACAACGGATTTATTATTCATGAATACACTCATGGGAGTAAGTACTCATTAAATGATTGTTGAAGATTTTCTTGAGCGTAAAGCTGACCTGGACTGCTCAAAGTGTCGGATCGCCTCACTGGTGGAGCGAGCACCACAGGTTGCCTTAATGCCTGGGAAGCTGACGGTATGGCGGAGGGATGGAGTGATCTCTTCGCTGCGGCACTTACCATCAAGCCAAGTGATACTTCCGATACAGCCACTTATGGATTTGCAGCTTGGCCACTTAACCAGACAGATCCCCCAACAGCGCGATTGAGGATGTACTCTACCAATATGGATGTAAATGATTTCACATATGCGTCGGCCAACGGTCTTACGAAAGTACATGAAGTCGGAACGGTTTGGGCTACGATGCTATACGAATCGCTATGGAATCTCATCAACAAGCACGGCAAACACGACAATTCGCGGCCAGATCTAGTCAATGGTGTTCCGACCGATGGAAAGTTTCTGATGCTGAAACTTCTGATTGATGCTTTCGCAATGTAAGATCCTGTCCCTGAAGATTCTCGTTTACCATATTCTGAATATTCTAACCAATATCACCATGTGCAGCCAGCCTTGCAACCCAACCATGGTTCAAGCGCGAGACGCAATTATTGATGCCGACGTTGCACTCACTGGCGGAGAAAATGCATGTGAGCTTTGGAAGGGCTTCGCAAAGAGAGGGCTGGGTGCCGGTGCCGTCACTGCTGATCCTCGCGTCGACAACTTCGACTTGCCGGAGGGTGTGTGTTGAGAAGGCGGCCCCTTAGTAGGGAGTCTTGTGCGGGACAAAGTTGGCAAGAATTTGTATCAAGGCTTGTTTCTTGAGGACATAATGATCATCCCGTCGTATGTACAGCCTTTGACGTCACTATCGAAGACTGCCCCTTATTTGTCGCCAATGGAGGAAAACGACTAATGCAGGCCTAGGGCTAGTTGGTTAACTTCCAAAGTCTCTCGAAGATAATCTTGAATGCCTCACTGATGTAACGTATGACGGGATATGGGACAAGATAATGAGTCACATCTCTGGCCCCTACTCTCATGAGTCCATGTGATCCGTGAACTAGAACGCATAATGGTGAAAAGATGAGAAGATCGCTTGATGTCTAGCAAAACGGAGTTCGATTGAACGCCCAAAAAATATTATAGTATTGCTATCTCTAGCCTTGTAGAATTATGTCGCGTTATAACGTCAGACTCGTATTCTATTCCAACGTTCTATTTCCCGAGAACCGGACCTCTGGCAGAAAGACATGCAAAGCCATCCTCTTTTTCATATTCCTCAATCCCTGGTTTAATTCTAACAGTAGTCGCCGTCGTCTTGGACACATTGGAAGTACCACTCATTCTGCTCGACGCATTTCCATCCTATATTGTAGAATCCATTGTCAGCTTCTCATCAATAGCTAGGCCATTGTTTAGATACTGAGAATAATCACGCACCTGTCTGACACTCAGTCTCTCCCTCCCAGTTCTTGCCTCCACACTGAAAGTAAGGTGGCACAGCGGCCACGGCTGCCGTGGCGGCGAGGGAAACAATCACAACAATGAGCTTCTTGGCAAACATTTTGTCGGTATTTATCGTCGTCTGTGTAAGAGTTTGACGGTTGAAGAAGGTAAAGTTGCAAGCGGAGAGGCAGTGAGCTGGTCCGGATGAAAACGGTTGTGTCAACCCGAGTATCTATACTCTCGACGACCGCCTAAGCAGGCGCCTTGTTATTTACCATGAGGATATGCCAAGACCGCCTGGGCTCCGATTTTCCAAGAACTTCTACACTTAGTTTTGGAAGGTCCTTCTGGACGTGCATGAGGGTCAATTATCCGTCAGTTCATCTAAGAACCGCAATGTTCGCCAATAGTGCTGCCAAGGGATATCAGCCCGGAGTAGAAGGAAATAACTCAGGCTAACAGAGGATCCTACCGTTTATGGGCAAAAATTGATACCCTTTTGTGATTATCCTTGTCATCCCACAGGTAAATAACTTGCTTACATCTCAAAATGCTGCAAGTTCTAGGATGACCCTAGAGAACGCATATGGGCAGATTACATTTAGTTTCTTCGCCACACGTGGCCATGCAGCTATCTTGCAGGGAGCTAAAAGGCTAACAGCCTTGAGTGTGTGTAGCTCCAATAGAATAAAGCTCTGATGAAGAACTACCGGTATCTGGAGGCTTCTGGATGGCGGCCCGATTTCCTACGTTGCCTCGGTTTGATCGCCCCATGCCCACTCGGCACGAGTCAGACCACAATATGTTGTGATGCCTGCTAGAGGTTGTATGGATCTTGAAAGGCTACTTCCCAAGTCATCGGCCACTTAGCCGACTGGCTGAGACGGAATGGCAGCCCGTACACGTTCCATCCAGTGGGCCATGGCGGATCTCGCCGTACAACCGATCACCTCTGTCCCTCTTAAGCCTTGCAACGAGATGATAATTCTATCTTCATTAACCAATGCTAGGATAGAAACACATTAAAAACAAAGACTCTGGCGTATAAGGGCGCTGGCAATACTTGCCACTTGCGAGATTGTTATCCATCCAACTGAAACGCTGCCACGTTGATTCCTTCTAGGCGGCGTAAGATAAGCAATTTCCTCACCTGCATTCATGGCTCAGAAAGCACCACCGAACCGTTATCACTGATTCCTTCCCCCGCTTTGTGCCCTGCCTCCACCGTTAACCCCTTGCCCGTCTTATGGCAAACAACAGGGGTAGGTAAGAGCAGATCCAGCAGGTGGGAACGACAATCTCGTTCGATTGGAGGGATCGTATGTATGAGCTGCCCCTCTGATTCTTCGACAATGGTACTATGTAGAAGCGAGCTGACTCAAGGTAATCTGGTGTCCTTGGCCGTTGATCGGTTGGAGCCATTGTTCCCACTGCCCCGCCCTCTTGGCTGAGGACTTGCGAAATTTGCTGCGAAGTCTTCCCACGTGGACGAGATGAACTGATAGGTGGCAAAATGGTATCAGTAGTAGTGGGCCATGGATGTACGTTCGTTCCGGAACAAGTAACCCGAGTTTCAACTACCCGCACCACGGGCTTATTGACAAATATACACAGCATAGCCAACCGCTTCGCTTGATCTCAAATAGCCACGTTATGGCTGACGCACTCGAAAAGATTTAGGCTCATCGTAATGCACTTAGATGCTGATGAAGCATGGAGAACGTTGATTATGCTATCCAATCTGAACCAACTCAAGCCCGTGGGAACAAAATTGTAAAATCAAACAACGAAGCTCAGATTTCCTCCTTCATTATGGCATGAAATATGAAAATGGAATCTCATATGATTATTTCCCTTGTTAATTCCGACGCCACGAGAGGATAACTTCTCCCGGAGCTTGCGTTTAGAATAGTCATCACTGAACATCTACCCAATATGAAAGTCCCATTCTTGCTGTTCACCATAGTATTATTTATGCTTCTTCTCCCACTCTTCGTTGACAGAACTATAGTCCCTTGGACCGTAGGGACTCCACATCTCGGTCCAGAACCCCCCTTTTCGATGTGGTGAGAGGCCGAGATCCTGTTGGAGTAGATCAAAATACGGAACGGCATCAAAGATGAAGCCCGGAGTCTTGTTGGTGCCCCAATCCGTAGGATAACGCCATTTGCCAAACCTGTTGTGTAACACTGTCTCATAATGCAGCTTCGCCATAGCCTCGCTATCTCCCACCGCAGCCGTCGGGTCATTGTCAAGCTGGCCTTTGAGATAGGCATTAATCCACAAGCCTTGTAAATGAGCCGTAATGGGGTTGCTAAAATTTCCGATAACACCGGCAAATGCGATGTCTCTATGTCTCAGCAGCCGCTCGGAGGGAGGCACCATGAAGCGATGCAACATATACGAGCTAAGCGGCTTATAAGGTGAGACCTCATCGTTACTTTTGATCCCTTTCTGCTCCGTCATAGGAACGTAGTTTGCGTTCCATACAGGCTGCTTTCTAAGCTTTGGGAATCGGGACAGGATCTCTTCATCTGCCACTTGGAGTAGTGACTCTCGAGCACTTACATCCACATCCTCTGACTGCTGTGGGATTGCATGAGGCAGTCCTATCTCCGCCTCAATGCCCTCAGGGAGAAACTTTAAGCAGGGTACATGCTTCCACCCTGTATGAGCAAGAAGGGCATCACATTTTAATTCTGTCCCATCAGCCAGATAAACTTTGTCGTCACTCAAATGATCAAGTTCTCCAACGTAGACTTTGACTAGATCGCTCTTGATCACATCCCAAACACTATTATCGTAGTTGTCAATACTGAAGCTGGGACCTGTAAAGAACGCCCTCGTCCAAGGCTTCAACTTTGCCGTATCAGGGTGCGAGTCATAGTTGTTGAGTGACAAAACGTCGTTCTCCATGAATTTCCAGAACAGATCGACGAGCAGTCGGCCTGGGGCAGTGCCGTGAAGGAAATTCCGAATCCTTGGATAACCATCTGCGTGTCCCCAAACGCATGGGCTGAACCAAGTTAGAGCACGAGTATCTATATCCATTAGCTGAGACCCTGATGCAGGCACCAATAGACGAATATACGTACTGGCGATCTCTTCGATCCACTTCTTGAAGGGGGTGACATACGGAGGCGTCATCCAGCAAGGACCGTGTCCTGATGCTAAGATACGCTGTTAGGCATGAAACTCAAAGACGGAAATCGATTTGGCCTTTAAATGCTTACCACGCACAACCCAATGCACGTTTACTCCAGCTGTTGCATAAGCATATACAGCATCCCAGGCGAACTTCGTAGCTCCAAATACGGTCACAGTCTGTCCTTCTTCAAGTGTGGCTTTATGTTGGGGGAAATCTTTTCCATGAAACACCTTCCCCCGGAATGTTTCCTGTCCAGCAAATTGAGGACGGAAAGCTTCGGAAGTGATGCCGGTTGCCACAATGAGGCCTCGAGTCAATACATTGACTTCTTGATTGGTCCTCACATTTCTGATAGTCAACTGCCATCCGCCTTGATCCTCATCCATGTGTTCCGCGACGGTAACTTTCGAATTGAACCGAATCAGATGACTGATGCCAAAATGCTCAGCATATGCTTGAAGATAGGCATGTATCTTGCTTCCTGGCAGATGCTCATTTTCCTTCACGCCAAACTTCTCTGCAATCATGGGAAAATCAGGGTATTCGTATGTTCCAAGCAGATTGTTGCTCTTGAGGCCTGGGTATATGCGGTGCTGGGCCCAGGTGCCGCCAATACTTGACTCGCCTTCAAAGATGACCAGAGAGCTATCTTGGTTCAAGGCGCGAAACTGTTTAGCCGCGGCAAGACCGTATAAGCCTAGATCATGGCATGATTAAAGAGATGAAATAAGTCGAGAATCAAGGTATTTCGCTTGAGTTAGGATAGCAGGGTAACCCCCTTCGGTGACACTTACCAGCACCCACGACAACACAGTCGAATTTCTCCATATCTTCTAGCTGTGGCATAATTCTCTTGGTGCGTTTCCCTTGGCTTTGGCAAGTTACGAAGAAGCAAGGAACAATTGTGATTTTGTTCTTATGATATAATGTTGCTGCGTGAGGAACGTTCAAATGATGCTACTAATTATGAGCGAGAAGGTTGTGATACTAAATACGAAGAGTCTTCCTTACTCAAATAATTCAAGGGGATGATTACCCTCTTATGTAGTTGATAGTGCGATAGTGTAAGACGTGATCGGGACGCCCCTAGTAACCAACAAATTGTCACAGTTACATAAGTTGCCTTTTCATTCCTCAAAAGCTGGATACCTGAACCTAGCGTAGCACTAAACATTATTTGTATTCCCCGTCTCAGTCCAGCTGATCATGGACGTGTTTCCAATTAGATCTCAAGACATGACTCCTATGGGTGTGTGAGACGGACTATTTAACTGGACGGCTGACCACAGGATGGCAATACGAGATAACTCGCTTATCTAAGCCTTTGAAACAGCCTGTGAAAATTCACCGAGCGTCGTGAGCTTATATCGGCTGTTCGGACACGGGCAATTACACAACAGTACCTTGAGCTGATCATGTACCCTTTCAATGAGTAAGTCTTCAAGTAAAGTTGTAATTCAAACTCGATCTATGTTCTAACGGGCAAAACGAAATTAAAAATTACGACACAGTAAGAGCCAAACTTTTCGTCACTTGGCTTTGGCAGATGCCGGAAAACTGTTTACCCATGGATGCCTCCCCACCATCCTTTCAGTGGCCTTGATGTAGCTGAACACTTCCATCGATGCATACTTTACTGCCACAAACTTGGCTAGATAACGTTGCACAAAGTGCCAGGAAAATACGTACTGGTCGAGGAACCAGAGCTTCCACGTCCTCCAGGTGGTCATGGAAGTGACCATACCAGCTCGTTGACACCCGTCCACTACGCCAGCATAGCGGGATTTTTGGTACGCATTGAAAGCAGAAGCCATTTCTTGTCTGCTGGGTGCGCCTACCTCTGCGTTAGAGACCACTTTGTGAAGTTCGTTGGCCAGTGTCACAATGTCTAGGACACCTGTGTTGCAGCCTGCGCCCGTGCTGGGTGTGTATTTGTGCGCTGCGTCTCCAACAAGGACGATACGCCCATCCCAGCTCCAGTGCTCGGTAACACCCTCTTCAAGACTCACAAGTCCAGACTGGATTCGTCGATCGTAGGCCATTCTCAGGGTCAGCGAACCTCCGGCGGTCAGTGCGAGGTTGCCCCAACGTTCGACGACGGCAGCTTCGTCTGCCTCAGTGAAGCGAAATCTCACCCGCGTTGGTTCGTCAAGCGTCTCATACAGCCCAATAACGGCCGAGTCCTCACCGACGAACAATTGGGTCGCGGCACCGGATCCATGTGTTTCTAGAGTAGTTCCCGGCTTCAGGTTGACGGTTGATGATGGAACTCTAAACCACAAGCATCTGAAGGTGGTGAGATACGGCTGTTCCTTGTTCACCTCTGAGGCTCCAGCGGCAAGTGCAAGCGTACGCATATTTGCTCGAATGACGCTGTGTACGCCATCTGCTCCAATTACGGCGGAGCCTGAGTAAGATGTACCGTCCGCGCAGTGGACAATAGTGCTTTCCCCTTCGACAGTAATATTTGAGACCTTCTTATTGACATAGATATTAGACCGGGCATCCTCAGGAACAGCCTCGTAGAGGATTCTAGTTAGGTCCTCACGGCTGAGTACTCTAGGGAAAGCCCCGAAGCTGCCGTAACAAAACTATTAGTAGATAATAAAAACCCAGATTGCATCCTTCTGTTCTTACTTTTGCTCGAGTAAATTCAGCCATTGCAGGTCACCAGTATACCTGCCCTGGTGATTGAAGACGTCGACATTTGAGAGTGCCGAGCTGACCTTGTCCAGAGAGTCACCAAGGCCAAGTTGGTAGAGAGCTCTCATTCCATTTGGAAGCATAACCAGATTCGATCCGGCATCTATAATGACCTGAGAACGTCTCTCGAGGAGGATGAATCTAATACCGGCCTTGGCCAAGGCGATAGCGGCTGTCAGACCGACTGGCCCCCCGCCGGCTATGATGATCTTGAAGTCGGATGCGGCCATTTCCTTATTCGGGCAAACGTAACGGTCTGAGAAGGTGGTTTTTGCAGTTTATTTGAGAACTCGAAATTGTGTTTTAGGGGCTAGGTTTAGCTTGGCTCAACCATGTATTAAATACCATAACATATATTCTCAAATTATCGACGAAGAATGGTATAGGGTCCGCCCTTTACTTGTATTTCTCTCTTCTTTATAATGTAAAATTGGTAAATATTCATGCGTAGTTACTGACGGACGGCATTTCACGAGTGCGAGTGCGAATCCCGGACATTTCATGGGCTTCCCAAATTCTTGGGGCGGATTTCGCTAACAATCGAACGAACCCAACAGCCATTTTGAGGCCAGTGCGCGGCATCTGCATATTAAATGCAGGCATCGCGAGACTTCGACCTCGGCACGGCTTTGGAGAAGTTGCCCACTGAGCACTCAACGCGATACTGGTCCGAATGCGAGCTCGCTAGACGGTGGAGTGTTGGATTTCATCAACAGGGATGGTTCGGACCGCGTACAATCGGAGAGATTCAGATCCGCGTTTCTACCAATCACTCTAGCCGATTCTCCGAAATGCCATTTGTTGAGTTTGGAGATAAAAGACGGAGCAAGGGATAATCATGGAGTACTCACGCATGAATTCTCGCAGTAAAGGGGCCGGTTTTAGATCTTCAGATCCGACATGGCGACATTCGCACACAATAAGGGTCACCCCTATCTCTATTTTAGGGAATGATTTTCATCATTATCAAGTCACGTAGCGTCATAACACTCCAATTTATCCGTTGTTCACCTTCCTAACCTTACCAAATGCCCCATTATCGTGCCGCATCACTACGTAGCATTCCCAAGCATTGCAACACTATCTGCGGGGAAGATCATCAATGATACCCAAAACCTACTGATTTATTCCGACATGATGACCAAATACCTGCCCGTTCAGACGGCTGCCTCTTGACTTGGCCCCAAACAAGGCCTGATCGGCAAGCTTGATTTCCTTATCTCTAAGCTTAATGAAACAAAACCGCATGCCTGGGATGGGTTCGAGACTTGTTTAGGAAGTTGATTCTCGTCCATACAAGGCATTTGAACGAGTGAAACATAACAACATTCGAGCGGGGTCGACACCATTCGTATGGGCTGGCTATAGAACAGGGTCTCCGCCACGATCAAGGAGATTTCGGACTCGTACCTCTCAACAATTTGCATCTATTTATTTCTAGATACGCGCAGTCCCAACATGGCTCTTAAAATATCTCTACTTGCCCTTGCGGTACTAGCCCGACTGGCATCTGCCGCTCCGGCTTCCAGCTCATCCACGGAAGCCGAGGCAGGATTACGTCTAGTGAAAACCTCAGAGGATGATCCTGGCCAGTGGGTCAGCGAAGAGGCCAAATTCGAACTCTTCACTTCAAAGGGCCTTGGATTCATCGATATTACAGACATCAAAGACGCCGAAGTCCTTGCGGCCCTGTCGACCAAGCCTGCGAACTCGGCTGGGGTTCAAGCAGTCGAATACCCATCCGCATTAGCACACATCGAGGAGGCGAATGCCCTGATTGATAGCTCGAGTACCGACGGTCCAAAGGAGTGGCTTGAGCATCTTGCGTCGTGCGTATCTCCCAATGAGCAGAGCCGCTACGTGCTTAGACTAAATTCTCCAGATACCGAACCCGACATTACCAGTCTCCGACCGGCAAGGAGGCTTCTGACTGGCTGTTTGCGAAAGTTACTGAGATCGCATCTGCCAACACGGCCATCACCGTGGAGAAGTTTGAGCACTCGTTCGACCAGCCGTCTATCATTGCCCGCCTTCCAGGAAAAAGCGATGAGCTTGGTGGGAACATCCCATCAGCGATTCTGCATATGGGCTCATGCTAACTGCGTTCTAGTAATCCTCGGGGCCCATTATGACTCCACCTCTGGCAATGCCACCAGTGTGTCCCCTGGTGCTGATGACAATGCGTCAGGCAGTGTTGTAGTTCTCGAGTCCCTTCGAGTCTTCGCCCAAGCTGGTTTCGCCCCAGAGAACACACTCGAGTTCCACTGGTACGGCGGTGAAGAAGGCGGTCTTTTGGGTTCAGCCGACGTGTACAAGGCGTACAAGAATCAGAACAAGACTGTGGTATCCTTTGTGAACCAGGACATGGCTGGCTACTCGGCGAGTGGGACTGCCGCCATTGTCGAGGATTACACAGACCCGGGTCTGAATGCGTTTGTGAGAATCCTCGCGACCCAATACCAGACCGGCGAGCCTCTTGAGCCCAATGCCTTCTCGTGCGGATATGGATGCTCTGATCATGCCTCTGCAACTGCCAATGGATTCCGTAAGTTATCGCCCCTAATAAAAAGAATAATAATCTGTAACCCAATGTCTGACGATATTTCCCCCAAGCTTCGGCCTTGCTTTTCGAAGACTTCGATCCAAACACCAGCCCATACATCCACACACCTAATGATGTAAGTTAGGAGAAGCAACGTCCCATGGGAGAGTTATACTAACCCAAGTAGGCCCCAAATACCATCATGTGGCCAACAGTTCAACGACATTTCCACTTTGCCATTGGCTATCTAGTCGAAGCCTCATACATCTAGTTTCTGCAGGGACGCTTCTAAATAAAGTAGGGTATTATCGTGAACATCTTTATGTGCACAATCAACACCAAGTACATGGGCGAAATGATATCACCTGTTTGAGACAGGCGGCTTTTGGCAAAGAGAATGATCCTCAAATACACTTATTTGTCAATCAGATATAGAAGACTTCATACTCGGTTATGTTCTCGACACAATATGTGAATATCCTTCAATTTGATTTACAACTTCGAAGGCTTCTAACGTAACCTGCTTCAATCTAATTTTTTAAATATCCAAATTCAACAACCCCCCAAGAAATATTAATATTCAATACTCCATTCCGTGTTGGTATGCTTCTTAAATACTCCCTTTAAATAACAGATGCAGCCTTTTCAAGATCCAGCCTTGCCATTTTTTTTTTTTTTCTTACAGTGACTCATACACTGTCCGCAATCGAACTGTCAGAGCTTTCAGAGCTGACAGAGGTACCAAACTTGTCCACACATGGAACATTGTTGAAATAGCCTCCCCAATTAAGTTGGGTGCTCAACTTCCTCCCTTGCCATTTCAGTTGAGCACTGAGTCTCCTCCCTTTTTCTCTTGGGAACTTGAATCGAGCACCACTCTTTTCGTTGATCAAACGGAAGAGAGGTTGGAGGGCGGGGAAACACGCCGTCCAGAGACCAAGGTGTCCTTCCAGATCAACCCATACCACAATGATGAAGATCTTGTAGGTTCTGTAACCGAGTCAAGTCAGAGGAATAAGGTCTCTAGAAGGGATCTTTTGCAGAAACCCCGAGGAGAGGATACATACGTGTCAACAGTGAAGTCGATCATTATGCTATATGCTAGTCGCATAACTCCAGCAACAAGAGCCACCATACCCACGCAAAATACAAGAAGCACTTGCATTCTCTGACCGGAAAGTTTCATGACTCGGAAGATGAGCGAGATAGGTAGAGCAAGCAGGCCAAGGTCGATCGCCACACCAGTGATGCCGTGGGCCCAAAATATCTTCCTCTCGTCTGCTTTGTCCATGCAGTCTCTATTCTCTGCCCTGCTATCCCAGAGATCACTGAGATAAAATCTTGTCAGACATGGCCCGATTTGAGGATAATAAGAGAATACGTACGGAATATACTTGCACTCCGTAACAAATAAGAAGACGACAATCATGGTCATGGCGAAGTTGATGAAGCCTAAGACAAACAAACCGCAGCGATACCATCCTATGAGTTTCGAATTAGAGCCATCCCTAACATGATGTCATCAATTTTGGGTGGACGAACTGTCATTATGCAATCTCGAGTAAAAGGCAATCACAGAGAAGCGTACCATCGCGATTTCTGCGAAAAATAACAGTTGTATCGTAGGCAAAGACTGTGAGAGCCAGATTAGACCTTATAGTCCGCAAGAACTTCACATGGATCAAAAGTATGACATTACTTAAAAAATATGACATTACTTACTCTGAAAAACTCGGCAAGCCGTTCAGGAGGGACTTGATCTATGTGAGTCCCAGCCCCATTTCCCACAGCTATTTCCAGGTAAGATACGAGAAATTGAGTAGTTTGAGGAGGCCTTACATACCTCGAATTATCATTAATGAATATGTGACAAGTAAAATCTAAGGGGTATCGAAACGATGTTAATATAACCGATGTACGATGCGGCAAAGCGTTGACATACCCATGAGATAGTAGCTATTAAGTCATCCACACCCAGAGACTTGAGTATAAATGCCCGAGTGTTCAGTCTGGCGATTAATATGATAGAAGAAGTAACGATAAGTGAGATATTGAGGTTCTTCAGCATGTAACCCTGCGAATCAGGCGGCGGGTACCATTTTGTCATATTGACGGTTTGTCGATATAGCTCGTGCTTCCCAGAGTATTAGAAGTCGTCAATGTATCATCCAAGTCTCAAGAAGCAATGCAATGTCCATATATCACAGCACTTTGTTGAGACGGAGCAAAGATTATGGGATATCACCAGTGATTGTGTTCTGTACTCGGTCTTGGAACGACTGGTAACTTATAAGGTCTGACTATCTGCTTGCTTCTCAAATTTGCCACGATCACGCTTGCTCTTAGATATTAGCTGGAGGCCTACAGGCTCATCACGCCAGAATTTCAGGCCCAGATCGAACTGTGTCGCCTGGCTCAAGCCCATCCGCCAAGTGCTTTCAGCACATGGTGAGCCATAACGTGGATTGGAATGTAGATGGGTCCGTTCCGGACGGCTGGGTTCTCAGACCTTGGAATGGAATGTAGACAACGCCGAATTACCATCCTCAGCTAGCGTGAGTCCTTCTCACCTTCAATGATTGGAAGAAGACGAAATAAATACGCCACTTCTTCACCATAGTGCAAGCTCTAATGGTGTTAGGGTGAGCAGTTACCCATCTCCCGGGTGCACCGTAGATGAGAGTTTGGCCGTTTCACAACTGAGACTGAGCCATGGCTTCCTTGCTCTCGCACTCTTTCTGTTATGGATACACAGTTGGTCTAGATGCACGTGGGATCTCATAGTCTAACAACATTCCTCCCCCTCGGCAGGCCCTGAAATAAGGCGTTTTGATGTGGAGGTAGACCCAAGAGTCTGGCTCAATAGACCACTAAACATGCTCACCGTTAACTCCGGTCATTTAGCACCAAAATCTCTCAACAAGCTCTCGCTAACAAATCAAGTCGGCTACTTACTACGCAACCATTCAACGCACATCAGGAATGCTCCCCACGTGTCTACAACATCTTCAAGTATGCACCCACGTGTCTACAGAATTCTCACGTGGCTTGGCCGTAGATTGGAATATATCATCATAGGAGGGATTTCATTTTCTTCTAAGAGCAAAATGAGCGTACTTTTCAGTATTGATAGCGTTTCCTCGAGGTGTTTATCAACTGCTTAAAGACTATAAACTGGCTAGCTTTGCCCAACGAATTGAACTCAAGAATATCTGTTTGAGACTGTGACGATAACCTTTATTCGCCAAGTCAGTGTACCGGCCGTCATCCGCTTCAGGGTACATGATTCTTATGACATCCTCAAAGGCCACTCTACCCGTCTCTGAATGGTTCGCACAATCCACAGATATCCCGTAGCAACTAGACCAATGCCTAGTAACACATCCAGCAAGATAGTGCATCGGTTCGTATTTGTCTGGTTTTCGAACCAAGCCCAATAGTTTCATCACAATATCGGGATCGTTGGAGAGATTAACCCCTAGATTGTTGTATAGCTTGAAGGCTGTTTTGAGCTTGTTATCCGTTACCTTGCTGAGGGGGGAGTGGAGTACGCGCCCTTTCTTCCTCTCGTTCTCTTCAGCTCTGAGGAGCATAGAATGGTACTTGGTATTGGAATCATTCTTAATCCACCAATCCCAGACGTACGACTCTTGCAGTTCTTCTGGAAGAAAGACTGCATCTTTCAAGTCGACGAGAGCCACAAAGTTGAACTCATCATCCATCAAGATGTTTTTGTCAGTCAGTGTTCTATGCACCAACGGGAACTCAGCGAGTTGTGTCTCGTCTTTTCCCTTGAAATGTTCCAGCAAAATATCTCCAAACACCATTACGCCGAGGAACTCCGCTGTGACATCGGTTGGTTGAGACTCAGGTTGGTCCTCTCTGGCCTTGTTAAGCTTCTCAATTCTTTCTTTTAGGTTGAATGCAAAGTATAGCGAGGGGTGAGTGAATAGCCCACAGTCGGTAGAGTCGTATATCATCGTCGGGTTACCCAGGCAGGTGCCGCTGGCGTCAGACACGGAATCATCGGCTGCAGCAGGACCAATAAGGTTGGATTTGAGCATGGACATTTCCACGACCATGGCAGCCCACTGAGACATAATGTGGTCTTGTGTCGCAGTCTATAAGCCTGTCAGTATCTATCAAATCAAGTAAGGATGTGTGTTCGGAGAGGTCAGGGCGCCCTTACATCCAACTTCGAAAATGACTCGATCTCCTTGCGCCGCAAAATGTCCCTCAGTTTGTTACCACCCATATGTTCCATCAGCATAAAGGGATACCCGGCCTTTTCGGCGGGTGCCGAGCCCCATGGAGAGACATGGTAGATCTTTGGTATCCGGATACTTTTCATGTGCTCCCCCATTACCTTTGCATTGATTTGTTCGCGAAAGAACCCGGCATTATCATTCCTCATGAATGCTTCAGTAAGAATTTCACCTCTCGCGGGCGGTATTCTCACGCGCAAGACGACTGTGAGGCCGTTTTCCTCGCCGCTTTTCGGTTTAGATAAAAGCTGCATGCAAAGCCACTTCCGCCCTGCTGAGAATGTGGGTGCAGGTTCGAACTCCCTCCCGAAAATTCTCTTGGCCTCTTCGAGGGCTGGCGTCGTGTCAAGCCTCTTAAAACACGAGTCGACCCTTTTTTTCAAGGCGCTCGGGATGCCCTTGTACGAGGCCCAGGCGGTCGGGAGCTGAGAATCCATTTGAGAAACTAAAGAGTCGATCGTACCTTTCTTCCTCTTTCCAATTTCCACTCGGTTTAGAGCTAAGTTGTTCAGAACTTCAACCTAAGAGGTATGATGATGATTCAACCTTGGAAATGGGAAAATTATCATGATTCACTTGTAGCCTGGGCAGTGACATTGCTTGGAATATGAAGTTAGACACACATTGTATGGGAACAATGAGATGTCGCGTATCTGCCCAGTAGGCTATTCATAAATTGAAAGACGTTTAGTTTATCAACTACAGTTTAATTTTGAAATTTGGCAATTCAATTTGCTAAGATTAAGACTCTGTTCTACCAGCTATGTCAGCTTTCTGAATCAAGCGGATGGGAAGCAGGTAATTAAAACCTGTTACTGAAACTGCAGAAAATCTCTGCATCACAAAGGCTGACTCAGAAAACAATGAAATGGTGCGACTGGCGATCCCGAAACAATTTGTCAGTAACTCATCTCCATTGTTTAGCGAGGACTATTTCACCAACACTAGGTAATTTCCAACGACCAATCCAAACCAAGTTTATTACAATCTGCACTCACATATGATTTGATAGAAGCGTTAGGTGCAACCAGAGTGCCCAAAGTGCCTCAACAACACGACTTGTCACCCAATCAGCTGAGTAGGAAGGGCCTTGCTGGGCTGCATGTGAATAACAACGGCCGAACAATGAATACATAAGACGACAAAGCGATTTGTTTTCATTTCTTCGACGTGTGTTTTTTATGATACATTAATTTGTCGGCAATGAAGGGCTAATGGGAATGATTTTACCAAAGCCCATACCTTCGAAATCTATCACACTCTCTTGAATCTGGTGATCTTTGATCCATCGCTGAGCTCCACCTGAACCTCTTCAATCCGGTAACGGAACACCTTGGGGAAAATTACCCATCGAAGCAGATAGTAGATAAATCCTAGGGATAGGATACCAAGGGGGACGACAGAAGATAGCCAATATGGTAGGTAAGTGTTACCCTTTCCATTAGGCGGCCGGACAAAGGGCATGACCAACAGAAACTAAAGAAAGACATTGTTAGACATAGGACAGATTATGCACATGTGGTCTTTGTGGACCAAACTTACTATGTTGGCTGCCAAGTACACGATGACAACAGCCCATGGCGCTCGTTGGGGAGATACGAAATTCTCCTTCGGGGACAGACGAAGCTTTACTAAGCCAACGGTAATGGCCGTCAAGATTACCACGCCTGGGTAAGTTGACAAGCTCACGATAAATGAAAACGCGTCACCGGCGGGAGGAGCGCAGATAAAGATGATCGTAACACCCAAGTGGAGAAGAAGGGCCCAGATCGGAGTTCTGAAAGGCTTGTTCTGCATGAACAGGTTGGAGAATGGCAAGATTCCATCCTTTGCTAATTCTTGGATAACTCGTGCTGATACACCATTAGCTTTCACTTCAGTCAGAAACTTGATTGCTTGGAAGACATACGGATCGTGAAAGCAATTCCAAGTAAATGCCCAAGAGCGGAGAGAGCCACTAGTGCTGGCATGGCCTTGCTTGCTGCAGACTCGCCGAAAAGGTTCCTGAAAAGGCTGGCCGCGACAGTAACTTTTGCGGCGATGAATTGGTCTTTTGGCACACCAGCGAACTTGAAATCATGATGTCAGTTCTATTCGATGGACCTTTCAAAGTGCAAGAACTTACATATGCAACATTGGCCAACATGTAGAGAATAGTAAGAGAAATCATCGACAATGGCAACGCTCTCTTAAGGGTCTTCTCTGGATTCTTGACTTCAGATAATACCTACAGCAATATCAGCAATCCGCTTCATATGAGGATGGATAATTTCATTCATTGTAGATTGACGTACCGTGTTGAGGTTATCATAGCCGCTGTAGGAGAAAATAACATTCAAGATAGACGTTCCGATGTTATAGCCACTATTCGATGTGCCTTCGAATGCGTTGGTGAAGTTATTGGGCTTTTCGATCTTAAGATGTCCAGCTAAAGCTGCAAATCCGCAGCAGCAGATGAAGAGGAGCGTGAAAAGCTTGACTGCGGAGAGCAAATCCTGTAGCCACCTCCCGTACTTGGGGGCAACAATGTGAATTCCGACAGAGAAGGCTGCGCCAGCAATCGAGATTCCACGAAGTTTCCATGTCGTCTCTTCACTTCCGGCAGCGACAAGAATATAAGAAGCAAATGTGATCGCATTACTGGCCGATACCTCTATTATCCGTTAATATGCTGAGCCAAGGGGATGTAAGATTCAATCGAAATTACTTACGGAGGAAGACGCAGTAGAAGGCGTAGATGCATGTTTGCAGTAGCCGAGGGTGGAATGCTCTCTCAAGATAATTCTTCAGACCTCCAGACCGGGGAATGGCGGTACCAAAGTCGAGCATCACAAACGCTCCAGAAGTTGCGATAACAGCTCCTATGATCCAGCACATCAAGGCCATTCCAACGCTTCCGGAGGTCTTCAAGATCCCAGATGGAGTGGAAAAGATACTACGTCCTGGCATTTAGTCAAGTCAAGGCCAAAGAGTGAAGAAGAACCTACCCAGCGCCAACAATTTTGTTCACAATGAGCGACACTGCGCCAAAGAGCCCAATTGTCCGCTCTTGCAGAATATTCTCCTCCTTGATGTTCTCAAAACCTCGCTTTTCGGATCCATCGCTATCGCTGATGGTGGGATGCAGATCCGGGGCCGCTGCATCATGTTAGCTTGTAAGAGAGGACAAGGGTGTAGGTTCTTCCGGTAAAATGTACCTTGAACAGCGGTGATCTCGTCTTTTTCTCCCATCCTGTTTGTCCCTTGGGCACCTTTGTATCTGGAACAAACAAGTCTCGAGGCCAAAATCTGAACAGACTAACCATCTGGTCAGAGCATAATTGAAACAGGCCATCATATAGCTAATATACCACTCAGACTATGCTATCTTCACGGAGATTTGTCGCGGCAGGTACGGCACCTCCTGCTGATCTGGTCGTGGTGCAATACAAATTCCAGATCACGTCACTAACTCCATGCGCCTTGCCATGACTAACGGTAAGGTTATCATTCGGTTGTCGTGCCGCTCAATGGGGAGCCCGGGCCTTTCTTAATCGCGGCTTAAATTTTTATTTGCTGAGAATTTCCAGAAGCCTTCTATTATTGTTGTGGCTGATTGGACGCGCTGGTTGATGGCGTGCTGGTTGCTCACCTTGTCGTGATTTCAAAGAGGGTCTCTCCCCCTAGTTCATCTATCTACCGGCAACCAACTTCCGTAGAATCAATGAAACTTCAAACACCCTGACACTTATATCCACAACCTCCTCCCCTATACTAGCTTTAGCTCTCTATTTGCGCAAGTTCCATGCCCTCGCCTGAGCCATGTCTGTCGACTTGACCCGTTTGACGACCCAGGTGCGGGGACCTACTATGGTAACGTCCTTCCCTTTGGGCTACAGGTGAAGGCTAGTGCCGATCATGCTTCTCCGCCGGTCGTGGATTCGGTGGAAGCTCTCCGGGGGTACGCCGCATCGCCGCATCGGGCAAGATCCAGGAACTACTAGACCAGCACGGCGCCGTTCTCATCCGCGAGTTTGGGCACCCTTCAGCGGAGACCTTTGCGGAACTAGTCGGTACCGCCGAGCAAGCGCGAGGTCACCACCCGTATAAGCAGATTGGTCTGGCTGGTAAGAGGAATGAGGTGGCCAAGAATATCTAGACTGCTAACGATGGCTTACCCTTGGACTGGTTCTACCAGCATAACGAGTTGAGGACTTTTATCGCATGAGTTGTTCCTGGATTATCTGTAGTTTGTAATCATAGTCATCGGGACAGCACCCGGGATACACTCGCTTTCCACCCAAGATTCGTTTTCGTTGTATAAGAAAACCCCCTGAGGGTGTGCAAAGCCAATTCAATCTACTTTACCTAATGCTGATGCTCATGAATGTCACTCCAGAACTAAATTGAGTAAAAAGGAGGAAGGTCACCTACTGCACATAGCGCCACTGTTTTCAGGAAAGTGCAGGCAGGAATATTCCAGACCTCGTCAAGGAGGTGCATAACCGGGGCTCAGGCATGAAAATGATCTTCCGAGCCCCAGGCAACGAACGCTTACACAACGGCTTCAACTGGACGGGGAAGTTTAGCTTCGGGCAGGGGATTCTTCCCGATGATGATGAAGCGACTAGGAAAGCTAAGGTGGAGAAGCAAGTTCATAGACTGACATCCGATTTCAAATGGAACGATGACGGTAGCCTGGAGCTTGCGTAGCGTAGCACATTCCCGGTAATGAACTTAGCCGGTGTATCCACATTATATTGCAACATCAGCTAACAAGAGTGGATGTGGTAGGACTTCGAAGAGATCCAGACAGCGGGAGGCCAACCTGGTTCGACGGGCTTGTTGGGCCACGTGGAATCACAAAGAACGTTGGGGCTTTGTATCCTCCCCATATCAGCCGCGATGGAATGGCATGTGAGTTCTCAAATGGAACAGAAATATGAGGCTGACATTCTAACATCCTCTACAACAGACCTGTATTGCGGTTATGGTCCCATCCCGCAAAAGTATCTCAACAAACTGATCAAGGTTATTGACAAGGAAGAAACTCATCTTCCTCTTGAAGAATGAGCCCTTCTCGTGGTGGATAGATATCAAGTGTCTCATGGTAAGAACCTTAGAGTGGCAAGAGGCACATAGTGGTCTCAATGTGGGAAGGCCCTACACCTATTGCCGTGTACTCAAGTATAAAGCCAAGATCATTGACAGGTTTGAAAGGTTGAAAACGAAGGCCTTTCGAAAAATTTCAATGATATCAGCTCAATCACCTACCAAGTCAGCAGCTTTACGAGTCTGTTTCTGAGGTGATGCACATGCGCTATCGCTTCGGGCATTCAGTGCGGCCAAAAGACACACGTAAAAATGAGATTATTTGTTAAGATACATGAGTGAAGAAAATTATCATGCATCAAGTATGTGAGGAGAAACATTATGATGGGCACAAACATAAAAAAAAAACGCAAAAAAAGAAAGCCAGATATAGCAATTCTACGTTTCGATCGTAGGACCTCCGGGTTATGAGCCCGGCTGGGATGAGTTAGTGAGAAATTCTAGGTTGGGAAGAAGTGGGTCGCACATACCGCGCTTCCACTGCGCCAAATTGCTTTGTCACATCTAGTGGTGTTATTGTGGGTCGGCGCTGCATTTGACTATGTCCCCCTCAGCTTTTCCAATGTATTACAGCTACCCTGTAGTCACGCACCGGACGACATGAGTGCATTGCCTTGCCTCGATAGAATCTAGTACTTCAAATATAAGATCGTGCAAACTGCGATAAGCTATTCTATCGAATGAGATTCAATTGAAACAAGCAGTCCTTGGGTCTGTGACATTGGGTGGTGGGTTGGGCCGGTAGTGTTGGTCTTGACGAATTTGGTTCTGAGTCGCAACACCACATCACGAACTCTCCAAAGAGACAACCACACCTGTATAACCCACAAAACATCACCATCTCCCATCTACGACCATACCTACTAGACAGCACTGGATCCCGTCTGCTCTCCGCACGTTAAGCTAGTAAGGGGCCGATTAGTAGTTGGGTCGGTGACGACCAGCGAATACCGGCTGTTGTAGGTTACATTTTTGCATTATTTTTTATTTCCATCTCTATCCTTGTGCCCTAGATATGATGGGAGTGTGCGCTCGGATTTGATCTCGGTCCACTGTTGAATTGTTCACTGACTGTCTATGTACGGCCATAGCAGTGATTGACTGGAGAATTATCACAACCCACCGCAATGCTCAAAAAACAGCTGTTAGAGTAAAACCCACAGTGAAGGCGTTTCACCATGTGAGGCATCATGTTTCAGCCCTGAACCCTGTCTCTACGTCATAGAGTTATCCACGCATGAATCCAATATCCACCGAGCGGTGATAAGATTACCAACCTCTCGAGCAAGCATGAACCTGAAAGAACTCGGGGGCTGAAAAAAAAAGTTGTGGGCAAAGAATGGGGACCTTCGCCTCACACCAAGCCCTCGTTCCATTTGTTCAGCTGGCCAGGTGCGGTGTGCCCGGTATGTGCGCTTCACACAGTTGACAAAATCTCTTGCTTACCGAGAGGACGTGCGGGCACAAAGAATGTTACAACAGCTGCCTACTTCCTGCAGCTCGATGCTTTCAGCCCTGCATGGATGCATGTCTTGGGCAAAGGAAGCGCACTAAAAATTGCTTTGACGCGGCAGCTAAGTCGCGTCTTCTTCCCAAGAAGGCGCAAGCTAGTTGTATGCCATTGAGGAAGAAAGAAGAAAATATGGCCTTCTGAGCCTTATCACCGCTAAAGGTCTTGCTTTGTCCGATGTCACGGTCTAAGATCAGGACATGCCATCTAAGGGGTGTGTTGTTTGCTGGGTTGTCAATGCCCAGCGAGACCCAAAGAGGCCTCATGTCTTCAGGCACGCCCATGTAAAAGACAGTTCAAGAACGACAGCGCTCTACTTTACATGAACATAAGATGACAGTGATGATCCTCGATGGAATGGATGGATCGTATTATCTCAGCTTTCTGGAGAACGGACTCACGGTAAAGCCCGAGAAGAGCATCTCAAAACGGCGAGAGTTGAAAACCTGCTTCGAGAATAAGGCCGGACTATCTCAAGGCGCCCATAGCGTTGAAACCAAGGCTGTCTTAGATGCAGGAGGAGAACCGCATTGACAGCCCATACGTCAGTCAGGTTTGGCAGCCACTCGCGCAGCTGTCTTCTGCTGTCACCGGTGGAGCACCTGGACAGAGACCATTTAGACGAAGCACTAGCAGTATATCGGACGTCTTACTATAGCCACCATCCTTGCATTTTGACGACATTGCCCACATCCGATCCAGACTTCTTTCTGAGATCCCAAAGATCGAACACGATCGACGGGTTACTTTGCTACGTCATGTTCCCATTTTGCAGACCGATGTTCTTATGCTTCTGTGTATCCCACCCTCGAGCCACGTTGACCTACAGATCGCTTCAGGGTCCTCCCCAGATCGAGACCCTTAATTCCTTTTTTTATAACCTACTTTTTCTAGAACGTGGATCCTAGTTCCCAGCCCACTGCACAGAAGTTCGTGAAATCTCTGCTCCAGCATCCTCTCTTTCCGCTATGATCGCTGGCATGCCTCACTTCTCGCTGTATGAACCGAACTAGGCACTCAGCTCGCCCCCCGGAACTGCCTCACCTCCCCACCGGCACTGGCGTGGCTTGCTGCTGCTCGTGTCACTACTCGGGATGTAGACCTTGTCGTCAATGCCGAAGATTTGGCTCATTAACTCGGCGTCAATCTTTCCACGTGGCTGGTTTCTCCTGCACTTATAATACGACACATTTCCGTGATGTCTCTGACTACTCCTCCTTAATATACTTGACAATCACTACCTTTTCTCGGCTATTCAGGATACAGAAGCCACCCTACCTTTCCTCCCTATCTTGCTTCGGTTTTCTTATTGGTCTCTTAGACATGGCATTCCAATCTCCGTCTGCACACCGATCGGCGCGGAGTACCCCTGCTGCCAACATCTCCCCTTTCAGTGTGCCAGAAGATAATGTTGCTATCGACTCCCCGGCGGGGTTATCACAACACGATGTCCAAGAAGCAAAGGTCCGGGAATCAGACTCAGACACAGCTGTGCCTGCTCGCAACGACAGCCACGATGGTCTTCGCGCCCGCCCGCCCTCTCGCCTCGGCTCTGCATCTGGTTCCAAGGCTAGACGGTACTCTTTCGATGACGGGACCGGCCACCCTATGAGGTCTCAGAGACCTCGGTATCGTGATGACTGGGAGTACGAGTATGACCTACGTGACTATCCCACCATGAGAGACTACGAACGCAACTGGCGGGGTGACTACCGCACCGGACTGGATAGATACACTTCTCGTAGGAGTGCTCGACCCCCTCCTGCCATTTTCAACAATCGTCGTAACATGATGATGGGTGGGCATGACTCAGATGATGATATGTACCACGAAGAGATGCGGTTTTCCAAGGACCCCTTCTACGAGAGCCCTCGTACGCGACGCATGGCTGACGAGGAGATGGGATATCAGTACCCAACTCCTATCCGTCGTGAGACATCTAGCCAACAAAACAGCTTCGGTGGGGGACTTTCCCGTCTCGACTGGAACAACCTTTCGCCTAGGGAGAAGCGCGAGGTCATGCGTCTACCTCTGACCGAGTGGATGAACTCTGATGTGAAAAACCACTTCGTCGCGAGTCTTGGCGAGTTTGTCGGAACCCTAATGTTTCTCTTCTTTGCCTTTGCCGGTACCGAGGTTGCCAACATTGGTTCTCAGTCTAATAGCGATAACACCACCACTGGTGAGGCTACCGGCTTCAGCGTTGCCACTCTGTTGTATATTTCCCTGTCCTTCGGTTTCTCTCTCATGGTCAACGTGTGGATCTTCTTCCGCATTTCGGGAGGTCTCTTCAATCCCGCTGTTACCCTCGGCATGGTCCTTACCCGCGCCATATCCATCGTCCGTGCCATCTGCCTCCTCATCGCCCAGATGGCCGGCGCTATCGCCGCATCCGCCATCGTCCGCTACCTCTTCCCCGAGTCGTTCAACGTCCGTACAACTCTTGGTGGTGGTGCCTCGACAGTCCAAGGCGTGTTTATTGAGGCCATTTTGACATCAGAGCTTGTTTTCACAATCTTCATGCTTGCTAAGGAGAAGCACCGCGCCACATTCATCGCACCAGTCGGCATTGGACTGGCTCTATTCATTTCAGAGCTTGTCGGTGTTCAATTTACTGGTGGCTCATTGAACCCTGCTCGTAGCTTTGGCCCTTGCGTTATCACCGGCACCTTTGATGCGGAGCATTGGATTTACTGTGAGTTCTTTCTCCTTTTATTATAAGTCGCTGAGTATCAAGAGACAAATACTGATTTTGTGTCGGTTAGGGGTTGGGCCTTTTGTCGGCTCTCTCATTGCTGTCTGCTTCTACCGGTTCATCAAGACTCTGGAATACGAGGCAAGTCTCTCGCCTCGAATCTGATCCCTGAGAATTCCACTAACTCTTATCGTACAGATGGCAAATCCTGGCGCCGACGGCGAAGATGTACCCAAGAACCCCGAGAAGCGTCCAGAGGTTTTCGTTTCTAAGGAACAAGTCACAAAAGAGCCTTCTCTTCGCGAGTGATCTGAGCTGGGCTAAATTATTGTCTCCTAAACATGACTCTAGAAGTCACATCTCTTACACGAGACAAGGGGACTAGTGCCGATATAGTACAAGCGTCTCATGAGGGGGTTGAGTATTTCCTATGTCAACTACGTGCAACACGATTTAATGCGCTACGACAGAAACTTGGAAAATGTTAAATTATGATGATCGTTCGCTATCTTTCGGTTTGAATTTATGTAAATGAGTTTGGATTATGAATTAATGAGGTTTGGACTGATAAGCTGCATGCTGGTACTTTCATGTTTCATAGAGAATTTGACTACAAATAGACTATGCTTCAACTACGGTGTGAAATAGACAGGCCACGTCTAATACTGCATGTAAATCATTTAGAAGTCCGCTTCAAACACTCGGTGACGGCCGTCCTGCGATCCAATCTAATGCCTTGCGAAGGTAAGACCGTTTGTCACCCTTCTTCCATTGATTCTCATCAACTTCGCCTCCCACAACCCTGCCTGTTACACCTTGTTGGACCATGCTCAAACTGAAATCCTCCATGAAAAGAGAACAAGCAACTACTAAGACAGCGATGACAACAGCAATGATAAGGAGAACTGTCATACTCTCCCGATAGCTGCGGGCTATGGCATCACGGGCCGGCGAACCCATAGGATACTCCAGAGCCTCATTGAAGTCCTCATATATGATCCTCGCCCGACTCTTTTCATCGTCAGGCAAGTAGTCCTGTAGCTTGCTCGGAATATAACGCTCCCAGAGGGCAGTGCTAATCGCCGAGCCGATGGCACCGCCCACACTAACGAGGGAGAGGAAGATGGCCGTGGCAACACCGACGTTTTGATGCCCTGCGCTTGCTTGCACGCCTAGCTGTGCAGGGACGTTGAGCATACCCCCGCCAATACCAATGAGGATCTGCGAGGCGACGATGGCTGATCGTGAAGGCTCGCCGCGGAGCTGGATCATGAGACTAATCCCGAGGAGGTAGACGCATGAGCCTCCAGTAACAAACCACTTGTATCTGTTCGATATTTTGATGAAGACTGAGACAATCAATGAGGAAACAGTTGCCGTGACATAGAAGATGTTTAAGACATAATTTGCATCCGAAACACTGAAGTTTCTAACAACAATCAGGTAGGAGTATAGATGCGGCTGGACGGAAAGGTAAAAGGCCACTGATATTATCGTAAGCAATGATCCAATGCACATGATGAGAAAATGTGGTGAGAGCACACTTACTAAAGTAGAAAACAGCAAGAAGGCAGCCAGAGCTGAAGGTAGATGACTTGAGTAGGCGCAAGGGGATGAGTGGATAGGGGGCGAGGCTACCCAGAACTGACCCCAATCTGCCCTCCATCCCCCGCTTCCTCGCGAACCGAGAGCTCGCCTCCCAAAAAGGGAAGATAGCGAGGAAGATGGCTCCAATTGTGACCATGGCGACCAGGTTTCCATTATTCCAGCCTCCAGAGACATATCCAGCAATCGAGCACGGAATAAGGATGAGAGATAACCCTAAACTCAGCAAGATGATGCCGCCTATATCAAGATCTCTCCAGAGGTTCTGCAGCACTCCTGTTAGGCCGCCTTGAAGAGTGGTGTAGGTTCTAGGCCCAGGACCCATAGGACTGGCTTTTCTTCCATTAATGAACAGAGAATAGGCCAATGGAATGAAGGCAACGGGAAGAATGAGCGTCCACATCCCAAATGCCCATCGCCAAGATCCAGAGGAACCTACTATTTGATCCCCAATAATATCGCCAATCCATACTGTCACCAAGTAGGGCAGATCGGGCAAAGTTGAGAAGAGTGCACGGTTGGGGAGGTCAGTCGTATCGGCAATGAATATCTGCTGGACTACAAGAAGGCCAGTAGATCCCACCGCGTAGAAGACCTGTGCTGCCGCGAAGCCTTGAACACTTGTCGTGGCAGCAAGCTGAATATAGCCGAGGATTAGAAGACCGACAGTCAGACAGAAAGCTTCAAGTCTACCGAATACATCGGCGAGCTTGGCTATGGGAGGTTTGGCAACGACTAGTAAAATAGAGACAGTTAGTCCCAAGTCTATAGTATTTACTGAGTAGAGTTCACCAACTAACCATATATGATGTCCCGGACGACAAAGGCGGTTGATACCAGTGAGTGTTGCTGGAAGGGCTTTGTCATCAATGACAATAATGGAGTGGTGACTTGGCCCTCAAGGGATGTAACGAATGCCATAAGAAGAAGGCTGTGATTGTCCGGTTAGCCGATCAGATATCAGTCTGACTATGTATCAAAGTCGTGTACACGTACCTGCAATAAGGAACAAGAAGGGACCAGCCAGTCCAAGATGAGGATATCGCCTCCATGCCTCTAACACCATCCTGGACAAACTCTCTGCTCGACCTTCGGCTCATGTCGTAGCTCTCGTCTGGCGGCGCAGTTGGAGGATTCTCCCCTACGGGCGCAAACTCCATCTCCCAAGCCGGCTCGGAGGTTGCCGGTAAAACACTCGCCCGCCCATACTTTGACTCCTCTCTGCTACTTTGGCTCTGCTCCTCAAACATCTTGAATAGATTGAGGAGACCTCTTGATGAAATGGTGAGCAAGAATCAGAAATCTTGGAGGGGTGAGCTACCTGTCGGAGCAGAAGGTGACCCTGTCCTGATTTGGGTGATGCAATGGACGCCTACGCGCCTTATGTATTACCCCTCACCTGATTTGATTTATTGGGAGACCTGTAATATTATGGCTTGGGCATGCGCAATTGTGAGAATGTGTCAATACGTGGCGGCCGCACGGCTGAGCCCAGCCCCGGTCTATGCAACTATCCGATGGTCTGCCCAACTGTCTGCCTAATGTCTTAAGCGATGGCAGATTCGCCAAAGAAGGCTTATGCTATTTCTTCATGTTTTCTGCATGTAGCACACAATCAGGCTGCTTGTTAGAGTACTCGTGCATCAGCTCAGGCACATCACTTTCCCTCTGGGACGTGGTCTGTTGACGAGGGCACAGCTCTGCTGGAAACGTGGCCAATCATGCTACAAATAGTTATAGCACTTGTATAGAGATAGAAGTTATGGGATATGATATCACGATAATACTGTTTATGTCCACGCGTACCCGAACGGTAGTCTATTTTCACACATAGCACGCTTGTTCTATTACTACATTATGTTGCAGGCCAGCCCCGTCGCAGCAGCTAGAAGCATTTACAAGTTAGCGCATGATATGTCTTAAGTGTAGAGTTGAAAGCCTCACCTGCTATTATGCCACCTGTTAAACCAGCAGCAAGGCCATTTATTGCGCCGTTGATCATATGTCCCTTATATCGTGCGAACCTCTCTTGCGCTGCACGAATGTTTGAGACCTTCTCCTTGAGACACAAGATGTGAGAATAGCGTTCCTCGAAATCGTCCGTTAAGGTTATGGACCGATGTTTAGATGATTGCACATCGAGCAATTCCTGATCAGCTTTCTCCAGCTCATGGTCAAGCATCGCATCTATTTTGACCTTGCTCTCTTCCCATCGGCTCTTGCCATCTCTATGCATGTCGTGTAGTGACTTCTCTAGTATTTCCATCTCCTTCTTGCAATTTTCCAAGTGCTCCGTAGCTTTGTGTGTAAGATCAGTGCTATCTGTCGTTGATAGCGAGGCCACGAGCTCTTCATCGTCTGCCATGCGCTGTGATATATCGGTACCGATGACAAGGCCTGCCGCTGTCTCGCTCAGAGGCTTGTGTTGGTCCACAATCTCATGTTGTATTCGAAGAGCCGTAATCGGGTGCATAAGTGCTTGATAGACGAGGTGGGTGACAACTTTTCCTGCGCTGTCTGCCCCGTACTTGAACACCTCAGCGCCCTGGCGGAGAAGGCCTCCAAAGAATCGATCGTTTGTACGAAGCTCATTGTATCGAGATTCGAGTTTGGATAGAGATTCGAGTCTGTCATGTTCGTCGTTTTGTTGTGGTAGTCGGGGCCACATGGTTGTCACGATGGCGAGGTTATCGTACCGCGCGAACCCGCACACGGCCTTCATCATGTCTATGTTGCGCAGACTCGAGCCTGACATACGTGTATCAGATATCGGATGTAAGAAAACAACGCCATGTATGCGTACTTTGTTTGCATACGAGGCACTGAGTCCAGAGGCAAGTGCTTCGAGGATCTCGGCGTCGGAGCGGTTCGAATCGTTGAAGCCGGGGGTGTCGATCAAGAATATGTGTCGGCCCAACCAGTGGAAGTCAAATACTTCTATGGACTGTGTACCTAGTAGCCATGTGTTAACTGAATGAACAGTAGAGAGGCATATGTCAAAACTGACAAGATCGGAGAGAGTGCCCAATGTCAACGTTCTTGCCGGTGCATTGGCTAATGAAGGTGCTTTTACCCGAGCCAGTTTTTCCTACTACGAGGAAGAACATGTCGTCACTGCTGGGCTTTGTGATTCCGGTGAAGGCCGCATAGAGAGCGACCTTGTCAACCAGTTCTTCGGCCGGAAGGTCCATGTCTTCTCGGATGTTTGCTCGCAACTGGCATACAATGATTCCGTTTGAAAGTCTTGCAAACTCGACGCACACTTTGCTTTGCTAACAGAACCCGCAAATTGCATATCTACTCTGAACGGCTGTATGTAATTACGCCATGTGCATCGGGGGCTGAGCATGGCGTATAAACTATTGATTGATAACTGTGCCGCGCAGGACAGAATAAGCAATCTATTGGCTACGAATATGCACATGCTGATCAATAGCCACTTCCACCCTCAAAAGGGGTGGTAAGCCGGGTGATAGAGGCGCCAAACATTGCCTGAGCGTGCATGTTTCTGTCACATTTGTGGGTTGTTGGGCGCTTCCAGTACACAATTGTGCGCATAGACCTGCACTTCATTTAGGATACGAGAATCTGAGATAGGCGAGGCGTCCTAGACGTCCCGGATTTCCCCTCTTCTTATCTGATCGTAGAGTTACATAGGCTGAGCCAATCCGCCAAACCTCAAAAGGCAAGCGATGCATCTGGATCGGCCCCAGCCTGTCATTTAATCATCGCATGGGGATCATACCGCAATACTTCACATGAATTCCAGCTCCAGCAGACGCGTTGCTACAATGGACAGGCATTCCGTTCTCGGTTTGTCTGATCCGCCAGGACCAAACCCCGCCATCTTTCGTGGTGGCCGGGCCCCAAAGTAAGCGGCCTCGGGAGGTAATGATGTTTTGTCTCTAACGTTCAATAGGCCGAATGATGTGTTCATCGCTATCATGGGTGTTACTGGCTCCGGAAAAAGCTCTTTCATTTCTCAATGCTGTGGAAGGATGGTCCGGGTTGGCCATGACTTGACTGGGTGTAAGTCGTTAAAAGGTCCCCAAGATGTGATTGCCTTGAGTATCCTAATTGAATTCCAGGTACATCAACGGTCGATGTCCATGCCTTTGATTTATCCCCCACCCAAACTATCTATCTTATTGACACTCCCGGATTCGATGACACCAACAGGGGCGATGCCGAAGTGCTCACTCAAATTGCTGCTTGGCTTGGGGAGTCGTACCAGCATAAAATACTGCTCCATGGAATCGTTTATCTGCATCCTATCACAGACCGCCGCATGCTTGGATCCGCCCGACGAAATCTGAATGTATTCATCAAGCTTTGCGGCTTTGATGCGCTTCAAAAGGTCGTTCTTGCCACAACAATGTGGGATATCGCCGACCAGGAGATAGCCGAGAATCGTGAACGAGAGCTTATCGAGACCGAAGAATTCTGGGGATGGATGAAATCTCAGGGATGCATGGTCTCTCGTCACGACCATACTACCAAGTCAGCGGTGCGGATCATTCGTCAACTGGCTCGCCATAATGAACCGGTTGTTACGGATTTGCAGAGGGAGCTGGTCGAACAAAATCTCCCATTGAACGAAACCTCAGCTGGGCAAAAGATACAGAGTGAACTGCTCGCAGAGAGGGACAAGCTTGCTGGGATAAGTCGCGACATGGAGGCGCATCTTCGACAGGCCATCAAAGAGGGCAATGCAGCAGCTGTGGCAATGTTTAGCGAGGAGCGCGAGAAATATGCAGACGAAATTAGGAAGTTGGAAATGGAAATCACGAACCTTCGAATTACCGTAGAGAAGCTCATCGACAAAGATCATCGGAGGCGGCACACCGTGGACCACTCGATCCCAACTACAGTCATACATCGTCAGTCTTTGGATGAAGACACCCAAGCACGCCTTGCGGAGAGAGAGCTTCCTCCGACACCTCCCAGAGCTTCTTTGTCCGAAACTCAGCCAAGACAATTCCAGCAACCACAATTGAAAGGAGTTTCCCAAGCCGTACGCATGCCACCCCGCAATTCTGACACCTCTGTCTCCATGTGGGGAGATGTCGTATGTATCATTGGGGATGTAGCCCTCAGCTCTACACAATACCCGCGATTGAAATTGGACTCAGACTCGGCTTTTCTACGATCAATCAGTCTTGGTGACGTGGCATCCGGTGGGTTCAGATCATGGATCGCCCGCTATGAAAAGGGATGGAGTAAGTGACTTGGTTCCCTTCAGCTTCCCGGCCGTGCATCAATACAGGCAAAGTCATCGAGTCTAACCGATTTCTTAGTGGCATCCAATAATCTGGCGAAAGTGTACCCCAAGCTCGGGCACGGTATCACTTCACGGGGTCTTCAAGAGCTCAAGTGCTGTTTTCTTGGTCCTCATGGACAATTTTTCGCTAAATGGCAGGACGGACAGCATCTCTACTCATCGCCAGTAGATATACCAAAGATTCTTGACGGCCAAATCGGTGTCGTCAGTGTAGCCTTTGGCTATGAAGGCACCTATTTCGTCGCCTATACCGCCCCGGGTGACAAGAATCTTTATAGGTACGACCTGGGGAACCATTATGGAGACCTTGCATACTTCCTTAATAACGAAAGGAGGAAGATTGTTGTTCTAGTAAGTCTAGGCCCCGAATTATCCAACATATGGCCGGGACGTATAAACTCTAATGACAATCACGGATACAGTCTATCACGCTGGACCCAAGGAACGGAACCGACTACATATTAGTCTACAATGAGCGCATTCAACATACTCTAAAGACCGAATTTAAAGGCCCAAAAGTTCGTTTCCAATCTTCTGGACCCAACGCCAGCGCGATCTCGAGCTTCTGGTAGACGTGACATGGTCGCTGGCCTGGCACTGGGCACCGCTAGCGTGTAGGTCTTGTCGTATTTGTATGATATTGAAATGTAGCCTCTGATGCAGAGCTTAAAAGAAATATGAAGCAAATAGGGAACGAAGCGGGAAAAGGGCAAAAAAAGATGTTATCAATCGTTCATTATAGGAACAGCCCGATGCGGGGGTCGAACCCGCAACCTTGAGATGTGAACTCGTAAGAGTCTCACGCTCTACCGATTGAGCTAACCGGGCACCTTTCCGGGTGCTTGTTGAAGGGCACTGTCGCAATTGCCACACAAGTTAGCTAGACACACCGGATGAATGATTTCTGCATCAACAAGAAGGTTCAGAGATTAATCTTGAGCGAACATCATTTTTAAAATAGGTGGGCATATAGAAAATCTACTAAACATACCATTAAGACCGTGGTTGGACCTTGGATTTACCGAATGTACCTATACAAAGGAGAAATACGACAGATTGCGCAACAAAGCAAAGATTCTCGCGAGGATAATCATTTGGTCCTTTAACAAACATCATACAATGAAATTTCACCTAGGCTCTTTAATCATGCAAGTCAACTTCAATCCTTCATTCAGATCTATCCAGGCGATCTGTTCTCAGCATTGTCCGCGGAAATGCCGACAAGCCTCATATCAACCACCAGTGAAGAACCAAGACAAACCCTACCACACCATCTTAATGCTATCATTCTTCGAGAAGTGCCTATTACGCAGGGAACAATGATGACCATATTTCTTCATCCCAGTGGCTGAGATCGCTCATGTGTTGCTCACATGCTTGCTCGCTACGAAAGAATTTCGGACACGAGTGGCATTCAAACTCCGGGATCGAGTGGCCAAGCGAGCGACAGTGGTTGTTGCGGCCCTCTTTCCCTACTGAATGGCTTGTAACAGGTGCCGCATCGATATTCCATGGTGATGATAGGAGACTCTAAACTGCTGTCTGCTCTGGTATTTGTCTTCGGCTGCGAAAAGGCCTCCTGGTAAAATTCTTAGTGAAAGAGACGGTTTTTTTTATTTCATTCGGTAACCTAGGGACTGGGCTAGAAATTCTAGGTAGAAAAGAAATGAGCATACAACAGTGTAGGAGGCTCAGAGCTGGGTTTGGGAGCGATTATGACGATTCCTTTTACGCAGCTGGCTGACTGAACAATGCGGAGAAAGATAGGCAGCATGCAGGAGGCCCTCCAACAGAATTCTGTTTACGGGTTTTGATTGGTGAGGCACGGATGATGCATAGCTACCTAAGGTAGCCAGATTTATGCATCTTCGATACCTGTGTGCCTGTCATTTTATTAGGAATTAATGCTTTTCAACTTGCCCCTACGGCTCCTGTGACATGCACAATACCCCCTATTTGTGAGCTCTAGGCTTCCTATGAGTGCAATCCTTAGTGAAATTCACATGCGTTGTGATGAGCGGTGCCACTAGACTCGGTTGAGAATGAACTTGATAAGCATTCTACCATATATCGAGTAGCTTTAAGTTGGTAATTGATGCTATTTGTCAGTTGCATTCGCACACCGACAGAAACCAATTAACATATGGAGTATAATAAGAAGCCAGATTTTAGATTGAAGGCCTGAGAAACTCTATTTGATTTCGTGAATATACGCTTGCGATGCGATTCTATGTCTATTGTAATATGCCGTGCTTCGATGAATCTAAGTATAATGTATATCTATCGCCATGCGACCGAAGCTTTAAAACTTCTTCCTCAACTCCCAACCTGTAACAGATACGCGTGCCAAGGTATAACAAATGCATGCGATACTGTAAGAAGCCGATGAGAAACCAATAAGCCGCTCCCATCCAGCCTGGCCGCCAGCGCCTAGCAGAGCACCGCCCATCGGTATACTGGAGAGTGTCCCGAAGCTGGCGATTGTATTGGCAGTGGTGACGTATCGACCATAATCCCTCGAGTCGCAGAATTGGCCAATGCAAACCGGTATTAGACCCAGATTGCTGCCACTGGCGAACCCAAAGCAGATGCAAAAGGCAAATAAAATAGGCTTGGAGTCACCAGCTGGTAACCACAGTCCCAGTATGCTCCCAACACATAACGCAATAGTCGAGATGATAACATTAAACCGGCCGACCTTGTCAGCTAACAGGCCTGGTAGGAATCGACCGAAAACTGATGCAGCATTGAGGAGGGCCAAAAGAACAGAGCTCTCGGCACTGGTGTTCCCGTGAGATTTGGCGTAGGACACCACATATGTCAGAGGAGCAAAAAGACCCCATTCCATGAAGAAGATACCGATGGTAGCAAGAGCAAACCCTCGGTCTTGGAGGATGGAGAAATCCGGCCATATGGATTTCAGGGTGGCTGACTTCGCAGGAGGACCAAGTCGACTGCGGATGAAGGCATTCGATGCTGAACAAAGCCCGAGGAAAATGAACGCTAGAATTCGACAGCTCCAACCGAATCCTACACCATCATCTCCCAGGAGATATTGTAGTAAAAGCGGTAGGACTATACCGCCAATCCCTCCAGCGGTGGTGGCGATTCCTGTTGCGAACCCTCGCTTGACGTTGAAGAAGTGTGCAATGGACCCGTAGGCTGGTGCATAAAGCAGCACACCGCCAATTCCTCCCAAGATGGAATATGTCAAAAGGATTTGGTAGTATTCTACATGATATTAGCAATTAGTCACATCAAAAACGGAAAACCGGTACTCTACCTGTACAAAGGCTGAGAAGCATCATGCTGGCCACCGTCACGACGCTGCCAGCAGCGACTAGGAGGCGAGGGCCATAGCTATCGAAGATTGGCCCAACAAATATTCCAAGCGAGAAGACCAAGAAAAGGTAGATACTGAAAATCCATCCGATTTGCGAGTGACTGTAGTCCCTAAGCTGATTCTCCTTGAGATACGACTCAAAAACTGCACTGGTGTTGATCAGGCCAAATACTGCCCCTGTGGCGCAAAACGAACCGAAAACAACTAGCCAGGCCTTCGCGCCTCCTTCTGGGTACGAAATTTCTTCAAACTCCGAATCGGTGGTTTGGAGTGAGTCCGAGGATAAGATTGCATCCTTCTTTGGAGACTGCACGGCCTCCTCGTCACTGGTATATGGAGACTTCTGGAGCTCACGATATACTTGAATCACCTGATCAGTAGAAAGTTCTTTATTGGAATGTTTCGTGAAAACCCCCATGGTGAAGTCTGCAACAGTAAAATAAACAAGAATACTGGTCTCCTGGTTATCCCAGACAACTGTCGTCCACCCAGATGCACGCCAGGAAGAGGAAATTAATTTTATTAGGGGAGTAGCTTCAAATAAGCTTCTACTAGGCCAGGGGCAGGAGAAAAAAAATTCTACATCGGGCATTACTTCGGCGTCCAGGTCCATGAATAATGACTCGCGTTTGATGATGTCGGACCAGTCCAGACCTAAGACCTGAAGGAATGCACAGATAGCGCGTAGAAGTCGTCATATTTCATTGGACCCTGAATCCACCGCTCACTACCGAGATCGGTGTTTAGTACGGAGTAGAATTAGCTCAAACGGTTTTTGGCGCTGGCGATTCAGTGTCGGCCGAGTCCCCGATGATAACCAAGAAGAAGACCCCTAATTTCTGTTTATCTTCGACTAGATCGGAACAGGACAACATCCGATTTTTAGGTCGATGGAGAAGCACATGGATAAGTGACGCTACGGGGCTAGCATGAATATTCAGAAAGCCAGTATCGTATTTGATACCCACAAGGTGCATTCATCAAAGCTCATCCTCCGTCATTTTTTCTTGCAGTGCAGATGGGCAAAGATTATCCATCAATGGGAATTTGGCGATCTGGTATCCCGAAAAGTGTAAGACGTCATTGTCACATTCCGCGATCTTTTATGGGCAGTAAGACGCTGTGGAATGTAAAAATGGCATCTGCCGGTGACCGTTGTTTCACTCATCTTCGTTGACGTGACTATTTATCCCACTTCCGAAGTGGGCCTCTTCGTAAATCACGACTTTGTTTATTATAAGGGATACGATTCCTTATTTGACATAGCCAGCTTATATTTCCCAAAAGAATTAGGTACCCCGGCCAGTAGCATTCTAATAGGGGGTTAGGCTGTCATCAACGATGCTCGACATGTGCGTAAAGTGATCGATGACGGGCCTCGAAAACCAGGTCTGATGACATCTGCGGCAAGACTAACGGTGAAGGAAACCTTTTGCAGGGGAAATGGAGAGCTTCTTGAACTCCCCCATAGTACGGCGAGAGAACTCCATCTAGCTTGGAAAGAGTCCGGGGGAACTATCAAGCCTCCAGTGCAGCCAATATGGTGTGGCTCAATCTGGTGATGTTGGTCTATGAGTCTCTAGATTTGCTAAGTTGGGACGGCAGGAAGGTCTTCTTGTCAGAGAAATATCAAAATGAGGATGAACATTGAATCCGGCTGCATCAAGTCTTCTAGACCCTTTCATTCACAGCCGTTTGATCGGCCCTTTAGCTGTCGTGCCGAAATGTGAGAGAAAGGAAATCCCCAGCGAGGATATTCAACGAAGTTGGAGAAGAGACCTTTTGATACAATTGTCTACCTTCGTGCGATATGCTATTGGAACTCCGTGGGCCATGGAAAAACTACGTCGCTTGGTGCGGCCTCTTCAACGAAGCACACACCAAGAAGCCAGTTCTTGATATAAAGCCGTGGCATATATGTGTCACCCTCAGGTTTATCCAGACCTTCCATTTCCACCTCGAGGGAAATGTGCCTATTGACATCTTTGCGATATTCTCCGTCGTCAGTGCCCACCGGAACAATAGAAGTGAACGCAAATGCTGGCGGGATAGCATCCTCATCATACGAATTCGTTATCCCATCTGCATCATCGTTCCAAACGAAGAGAGCCCGCTGCTCGTTCGAAGGCGGCGAGGGACTCTGATAGTCCCACAGCGCTCCCACCCGCAGTTTTCCTCCCTTTTTAATCGCGTATGCGAGTTCCAGGGCCATTTGCAATAGATATTGCTCCTTGAATGGTAACAGCTTCCAGTCCTCTTCCTGTCCTGTACTGCCATCCAGCTCCAGCAACCAGCCAATACTGGACGCGAGCGTTCTCATGCCTTCTTGTTTCAGCGACAACTCTAACTGGCGGAGACTGTGCCTTTGCTCCTCGTTCAGTCGAAATGACTTGGCTTCCGGTCCGATTGGAATGTCGTGGAGTATTGAACTATCAATCAACCCCCCAAGCTTCCATAAGTGACCGTTCGTCTTGATTCCATCGTCGACAAGGCTCACTTTGTGGAAGCGGCAGTTCTTATTAAAAGTGAGGGGGTGTGCTTGGTATGGGCTGCGGAAGCGATTGAATGACTGGAACTTGAGATACTGAGGAGTAGTATAATATAATACCTCATGTGGTGAGTTTCTGACCCCATTATCTAGAATTCCACCGTTAAGTAGAAATAGGGCTAGAACTGACAGGCTGAGACTGTGGCCTTCGCGTTTGAGTCCTAGGGTATCCAGCCGGGTTGGGAACCAGCAGCAATTGGCCGTGATGGCTAGACGGTCCCAGGAATCTTTGATCCCTCTATTGGAGATATCGGAAATGATCTTGGGGGTCATCAGTTGCGACCGGTCGAGGATCCGGGTATACTTGCCCATAGTTTTGAGTATGTTCTTGATCATCGTCTTCGTCTCCTGGGAGAGCGTGCCGACAGCCCCGGATTTCAGCACCTGACACAATCGGGTGGCATGGTCTGAAAGGGTAACAGCCTTGATAGATAGTTCGCCTGGCAAGTTTCCAAAGACCCCGAAGCGCCTTTTCTCACTTTCCAAGAGAGTGGTATGAGGGATAAGCAAAGTCATCCTGACACCGGCGCGATAGTTTTCTTGGAATGTCCACGCTCGTGTCCACCAGTCATCTCGTGACATTTCGTAGAGCAGACGAATGGTTTCGAGAGCCTCTACGCGTGTGATGCCTTTCGCGAGTTTAAGCGAAATGCGATGCTGCTTCACGACTCGGGCCGTAACCCTCCTTACGACCTTGCCAGCGAGAAGTCTGTGAAGACGTTCGAGTTCGGTGTGTGAGTAAACAGTTCGTGCGAGAAGTGCAACTGGGTGATTGCTGTAGGAGTACACGAGATGCATTGCCTGAACTCCCCTTTGCTTCTTCTGTTCATCATCTTGATCGACGCTGTGTCGGTCGATCCACAGGTACCCAACCTTCGTGTGCTGCATGTAACGAATGGCACGATTCAGAGCACAGTCTCGAACAGGTGAGGGAAGACACTGAGGCTGAGAGCTCTCGGCCTGCTCAACTGTGTAGCCTCCACTCGAACTCCCTTCTCTTTCCGATGGGTTCCAAGTATAAGAGAGGGCCACATAGTCTCGCTGTGTTCGACCGTCGATGATGTGCCGACTCAAATGGCCATAATGAGTCTGCCCGTAGCCATTTTTGTATTGTGAATCCGAGTTGAGTTGTGGTTCATGGGAGAAGCAAACAAGTTCTTTGACAAACGAGGTCGACTCAAGTTCCTTGAACTGGTGCTTTTGTATGCTGAGCAGATGGTCGGTGATTGATGTTCCAGAGCGCGCGACAATTCGGGAGAGACTCTCCCCCATGTCATCTACGCTATCGTCATCATGGTGAGGAATCGTCTTGTCCTGTTGCATCTTTCTCGAGTGGCACACCGTTGAAAACTCTCCTAAGGCTATGATCGGCATGGAGCCCCCAAACAAAACCGAAGATGAAGTAATATTAAGGGGCTGAAGATCACGTGCGGGCTGACATTTCAGTTGGCCGTAAAGATTGCTTATGCATCGGCGTCTCAGTCGATTGAGGGCATTGGTAAAATTTATCGCCATCTGACAAACTCGACGTCTATTCAGGGGCCATCAACACAACGCCGTCTCGAATCTCTAGGATGCTGCCGTGGTGGTTGCCATTTTGTGGTGTGAGGTCAATTCCAGCAAGGCAGACCGTCAGGCGAGCAGCTCCCCGCTTGCTAGAGCTTAGCAACCCAGTTAGGGCGATAATAGCTCACTCGGAGGCCGTCCCACTTTCGCCAGGGGTTATGACGGCTACCCTAAGCTGTCACTGGCGTATACAGGCTTGTAGAGGATCGTCAGTCATACTCAAAGAGTTTGTGGTCATTCCTGAAAACAAGAGTCTCCTGTTTCCATATTTGGATAGTTTAGTTCGGTTGATTGCATCAGCAACACACCCGTCGGCTCAGCCATGCTCACACTCCCGTCTGCTAGATACAGCTCCGCAGTGTAATCCAACCTTCCCATGTAGGCAGGGTGTGTACCCTCTCTCACACACCGCAAGTAAGATTTAGCCAGTTCGATGAGACCATTTTCGGTGGATTCTATGAACATGAAAGACGATTGGAAGCTATTCAGAGTATAGCTTTTGCTGTTCATACATGCAATGAGGATCCTCCGTGATTCTTCATCGGGTAGTTTGTTCAAAATTTCGCGAACAAAATGAGGCCGCAAAATGGCGTTGATGGGGTAAAGCTCTTTGGACCAAGAAACATCTTGTATGAAAATCGGGTATTCAAACAGATAGTACAGAGGTCCGGTATAAGAGTACTCAAAGTCAATGATCCCAGCTAGTTTTGGTGGCAAACCGCCAGGCTGCTCAATGAAGAGCATGTTTTGACCATCAAAATCGGCATGAATCATGGCAAATGGTGGCGCAAGACCTGAGTCCTCCTTTGTCTTTGTAAAGAATGCATCAAGTTCTGTCTGAATCTGACCAAAGAGTTGAATCAGCTCTGGCGAAGAGATATTATCAGTTGACACGAATGAGAGCAAGTATTCTTTGGTTGAAAAGAATGGACCTCTTCGAATATTTGTAGCAGGAGTGATAAGAGGTCCGACGATGCCTTCGTCGTTCAGAGATCCAATTGATTGAAAGCGCAGCGATGCGAACTTGGCGACTACTGTGGCGATTTGCGAGAGCACTGCTTTCTTTGCAACGAGGTCAAGAGCATCCCAGAGCTTGTAAAGATGTCGTCCCTGTATATACTCCATCAAGGTGTAAGGTGCTCCCACTGGGTTATCAAGGCCGAGATCCTGGTGATAGACTTCAGGGACAGGTATGTCGGTTTTGCACTTCAGGTACCGCAGTGCCGCCACTTCGCTCGCATCTCTCCGCGTGGCATCAACCGAGTTGACGCGAGTGAATCGTGCAATGCAGCGATGACCAGCCTGTGCGAGGCCTGGGTGAGTATTGCCTTTGGCTTCAAATGAGAGAAGGAAGACCTCATGATTGACCCCTCGTGTCATGGGGACAGCACTTGTGCAAAGGGTTCCCAAGATATTTGTCGCACATGCTAGAAGCTGCTTATTATTGATCTCTAACGGGGGAGGTTCATCCGAGTCATAGCTTTCAATGGAGCTGACACTGTCAGGCATGGTGTATGCAGTGACGATGGTGAATGGCCCTTTGTTTAGCGAATGAAACAAGTCAATGTGAAGAATGCGGTAAAAGATTAGGCCGCGTGCTACCAAGAGAGTGATTGCCTAAACATGCGTGAAATGGAGATATGCACAGTCATCGAAGCAACCATTTGAATCTTTCATTCGGTACATAGAAAAGGTTGTAAAGAGGGGCTTGGATTCTTACTACCTATGAACTAGAGTATATATTAATCAGACAAAGTAATATACATAGAAGAAGTATAGATGAGCCAGTGATAATAATACCACATCAATTCATAGGTATTGAGATACATGGATCAGTGTTTTTCCGGGCATATAAAACAACGGTGGGATTCAACAAAATGGGTAAATATTAGTATGAATAACATTGAATTTCAATTTTTTCCCCCACTCTCGAGAGGATACCGTCTATATGTAAGATAAAGATAAGAGTATAGAGTTTGGCTCGATAACTTGAATCAAGTAGCCCTTTACCAGTTTTCCACGGAGCCGGACCGTGTTCGTTCCGAAACTCGGAAAGCGACTCCTTAATTCCGAGACGGAGGACCCGGAACAACTCATCATTGGCTTATTCCATAGTGCACCGGATCCGATGGAATCGGATCCGTTTTGATCATCACAGCCGCCCATAGCCTCGGAATCGCATGGAAATTGCCAAATACGTTTACAGTCCCGATCCCCCCCATGGGTCGGCTTCACTTGATGGCAACTTTCGGTCTCCAAGATTGAGTTCCATGTTTCCATAAGCACCAGCCTCTCAGTGAGCCATTGAACCGGATCTCAAGCCCACTTCGGCACCGCAATCATACGTAAGAACAATGGAGGACGACGAGGGTATGGAGTGCTTCGGCGTCTTCGACGCGGAGATTATTGGCACCCTCTCATGCGACAAGTCTGGGGAGACCCGCCCGGCTCGGTCGAGGCGGGCGTGCACTGCATGCAGGAGTCGCAAGGTGCGCTGCGATGTGTTGCGGGCTGGAGCACCTTGCACCAACTGCCGGATTGGTGATTTATGCTGTGCCATGGTACCGAGAAAGCGACCCAAGTATCCGCATCGGTATGAGGAGCCCCGGCCCGGCATGTGCCCAATGTGTTGCATGTTTACTTACACGATGGTGTCAGGATATCACTGAATCGAAAGCGCCGGGCTGCTAAGCTTGGGAAGAGTCCAGAGGGGTCATCGCCGTCGGATTGTTTTTCGGAAGACGTGTTGGAGCGTGAGCCTGTAGAAAACGTTGTCAATCCGTCGTCGAGTCTCGAGATTGGTGAGGCAAGCTTTGGGTCATTCTCAGCCAGCCTAAGATCCCCTGTTTTGCTCCCCAACGTACTTGAGACATCAGGAGAGGCACTGCAGGCTACTGAAAATGAGATCACGGAGATCACGCTACCCTGGGAGGATCCCCAAGAGAATGATAGGTCTGAGCAGAGAAATTCATATCTCCCAGTGGATCTATCCTACCACAATGAGTTCTTCAACTCCGCGGTTGACCCCATCAGCGGCAAGACCTTGTCACAGATTATCGCAGGCAAGAAACCTGCACGTCAACCTGTGCTTGCGCTTCAAGGTATGAGCTGCTGCCAATCCCTAAGGTCCATGTCGCTCACATATAATAGAGTCGGATCAATCTGCCTTAATGTTCCATTCAGACGCGGCATCTGATGCCGACCCTCCCTGGATGCTGCACTCCTGTTGCCAGTTCATCGACAGCCAAGGCTTATGGCAGCTGTCACCAAGCGAAGCCGCCTTCTTGGAGCAGCAGGGTTCATTCCATGTGCCGTCGCGCGCACTGATGAACGAATTTCTTAAGCAGTACTTCCGCATTGTACATCCAATTCTTCCCCTGATTGATGAAGGTGCCTTCTGGGCATCCTACTTCCATCCTTCTGGGAGAGACATTCCATTGTTACTGCTATACGCGATGCTTTTCGCTTCATGTCCTGTGAGCACATCTGATCATCTGTTATGGCATCTTTCCGCATCACAGCTGACCTTTCCCAGTATGTCTCACTACCTGAGCTCAAAAAGCTTGGGTTCCCTGGCGTGAAAGAAGCACGCAGTCAGCTGTACTCCAGAACAAAGGTTTGCCTCCCCATCCCTGACAGCTGTCTAACTCGCAGCTGATGGCTTCCAGGCTCTGTTCGACTTGACATGCCAAAGAGACAATATAATCAAGGCACAAGCCGCATTACTGATGACCTACTACTCCCCGGAGGGCGACCACATGATAAACAGCTACTGGCTCAGCACGGCCGTCCATTTTGCCCGAAGCGAACGGGCAGACAAGTATCACCTACCAAGCCACCAGTCCGGCAACTCGCAGACGTTGAAGAGGCTTTGGTGGTGCTGTATCCTGAGAGATAGGATCATGGCGCTGAGTCTGCGACGACCGGTCAACATCCACGCCGATGAGTTCGACTTTGGCCAGCCTGGTCTGGAGAGGAGCGACTTTCAGAACGAGCTGGAGTGCCAGAGTGTCTATGACAGAGAAACAAAGCAGGTCCTTGTCCACATATCGTCTGCACTGTGCCAGCTGGTGGTGATCTTTGATAAGGTATTTGCCGTCCTTCGCCATGGCTCCTCCACTACCTCCTCGGTCGGAGCATCAGAAGGCATGATCCAGGAGGGTACGTTGTGCCTGGAGATGCTTGATTTGTGGTACGAGACGTCCAAGGCAACGGTGAAATCTCCGGCTGAGATATCCGAGGGACATCGCTTCGTCACATTGTTCATGAAGATGATTTACATTTACTACTTGTAAGTTCTGGCTCCATCACCCTTCATTATTATTTGAGCTTTCGCTGAGAGCTGTAGTGTTGCCAAAGCATCAATCTGCCATCATGCTCTGCTGCTCTCCGTCAAGGCGAACAACGGCCTCTTTCCGCCCGGGGAGCATCAGGTGCGTAGCCGGTTCAACATGGACCACTCGTTGCGAGGCATCACAGAGAGTGTTCTCGAATTGAACAGGCTTGACCTGACGAGATATCTCCCCAACACATTGTGAGTCTCTCATCAAAGGTACTGAAACGTTTATTGACGCTCGATAGCATTACCTTCCTCGCCCTCCCATTCACATGGCACATCCTCGAGACGCAGATGATGAAAGGCACCTCCAAATCCCAGGAGGCACCACGCATCATGAAGGCCTACACGAGCGTGATGCGCAGCTTCAGAAGCACGTACGAGTCCGCCGACAGCACGCTCCAGTGCATCCAGAAGGCGGTCGAGTACCTCAAGACGACCGAGAGTGTCGGCAAGGGCCTGCGCGCCCTGCACGCGCCCAGGAGCGCGCACCCCTTGCTCCGCGATGCCGTCTTTCCGCGATCCTCTCACGAAGATGGAAAGCAAGAGGCCTCCGGCAACGCGTGGGCGGACCTGGTCGTCTACGAGCCTCAGTCGTACATGCGCATCGCCATGGTGGTCGAGTACTCGCTCGCGCAGTGCCACCCGCCCGACGAGAGCGAGCTGGCGAGAGTGCTGCAGGCGTCGGCGGCGGACGGGCTGGTGGCGAGCCCGGTGCTCGAGGGGGCGGCCGGGGCGTTGGCCTACTCGTTTGAGGACCTGACGAATATCCTGTCCATGGGGTGAAGAAGCATGTGATGGAGGTAGGTCAGAATAAAGCTACTGCACGTATCCAATAAAAAAACATTCATCATGTGTCATGACTGTCTATCTGCATGCTCAGCCAGCTTCGTTTCAGGAGACTTTGCCAGCCCCAGGCAGCGTCATCTGTTTCGGCATTGCTCAGCGCCTTCCTGTTTGAACTTTTGAAGCCGGCCCAAGCTCGTCTGATCAGAGCCGTAATGGTACTGGATGTGGCATGTAGGTGGAAGGATCACGGCAATGCAGTGAGGCTTAGACTCAGCTACGTAGACTGGAGGATGCCCCTCGGGAGCAGCAACCGAGAATTGAGTCAAACGGGTGCCCGCCCTCCACCGTGACGGAGAGATTACGGGGCATCTCGCCCATCTGGACAACCGTGGCAGTCGATCAAAAGTCCCACGGCACGCGGATATGCAGTGATGCACCGTCTCTAAGCGGCAGACGGCTGTTAGGGCTGACCCCAATAGAGACTAGAGCGAAGACGGTGCCATCATAAGGTAAATTGCTTGATCGAAATCGAACACGAGGACGCGCGGCATGTCAGTGCGGCTAGCCGTGGTGGGAGTTGGAGACTGGAGTCACCGTTGGACCCTCCCTCATCAGGGACCAGGCACGCACCAGCGCACTATATTTGCCGGATGAGCAATGTCTCCCTGCATGAAACACGGGCTTGGCTTGGCCTGAGGAGAAGCGTGACTCTGGACAGCTCACGGCCTTGTAGAATGGCGGATCTGATCTGCTGAAGACCGCTGGCCGGACCCCGAGAGAGATGAGACTGGCCCCTGCAGCAATATTGGCCGGCGAGGCGTTTTCCCGCTTGTTTGGGGCAACGGCTGAGCCAACGGAGACCGAAGCAGGACAGTATTGGACCTGTCAATTTCCCGTCTGCTGAACACTTAGCGTCAGTGACCCCTTTTCCGCTGGTGAATCTCTGATTCTTCTCCGCCCATTCTCCGATCTCATCTCATCTCTCTCCCACTCTCTCGTCCGTCCTCCCCTGCTGCTGTGGCATCTTGGCGGAGTATCAGAAGTACCAGAATCCGGGGCACATCCAGCAGCAAACACAAACACGCGACAGAAATGGGGCCTGCTGATCCCACGGCTTGGCTCGGGCGTGTGTCGACGAACATCCGCAGACTTTGAAACGGTGATACGAGTATGAATTGATCACTAGTTACACGACTAGCCTCTTGGCCTGGAACTTTTCTCCTGCTTATTCCCATCTGCCTGCGTCGCAATCCCTCGAGAATAGGAAAAAAAAAAGTCGCGCGTCATTCAGCCCCCTTCTTGGCACCCTTTTGCGGCCATTTTTCTTGCGGGTGGCCGCGGGCGCCGGGCAAACACTGCCTCTCTGATCGTCTTCAGCCGCGTCACGGCCGTGATAGTTGGCCGTGGGATATATAGAAACCACAGAGACAGACACAGACAGACACAGAGACATCAATTGAACCCGAGGGGAGACAGCCGCGACAATGACAGGCCCGCGCATCCCCGGCGGGCGGTACAAGGGCCCCAAGATCAACACGCTCAAGAACCGCACGCTGTCCAAGATGCTTCCCTACGGCTCGCTCATCCTCGTGTGCAGCGTCATCTTCGTCTGCCTGCTCTCCAACGTCCTCGAGCGCTGGATCCTGCGCCGCCTCTACCCCAAGACCTGGCAGCGCCTCCTGGCCAGCGGCAACGAGCGCCGCCGCCGGTCTTTTACTTATTACCACATCGGCGCCATCATGATGTTCATCCTGCTGTGCACGAGCGTCTTCCCCGTGCTCAGCTTCCTCGTGGGCAACGCCGACTTCTCGACGCACATCGACCGCCGCTCGTCGCGCATCACCGTCGGCGACATGCTCTTCGTCTTCTCCGAGGTCTACACCTCCTACTATCTCTACGAGATGTGCTTCCGCACCCAGTTCGCCAGCCCCATCACCATCGCCCACCACATCGGCCTCCTCATCATCGTCCAGACCTCGCTCGCCCTCTTCGCCGACATCCGCAGGCACCCGGACGCCACCATGGAGTTCTTCATGTGCATGGTCTGGGGCATGTTCGACCTCATCTCCGAGATCCCCGTCCTCGTCTCCATGATCGTCTGGCGCGTCAAGCACCGCAACCACACTCTGCGCTCCCGCCTCGCCTACTTCTGCTGCGCCTGGGTCGTCGCCTCCGCCACCGCCGAGGTCTCCGTCACCGTCTTCCTGCTGCAAAAGTCCTGGCCGCTCTGGAGCCTCGCCTTCCGCGTTGTTACTCCGATCATCTTCATCCTCTGGATCACCACCCAGCTGTACGGCGCCTCGCGGCTCTTCATGATGGGCCGCTCCGAGGGGAAACTCGCGTACAACGAGGAGCAGGACAAGCGGAGTGCGGCTGCCTCGGGGCCGACGTACCTGGCTGATGAGGATGAGATGGATGGCCGGACGATGGGCTCGGACCCGGCTGGTATCTTTGTGCGTATGGATCAGGATACGCAGCGGATGATGAAGTCGGGGCATTTCCCTCTTACCTGAATCTGCTTTGCTTTTTAGATTTTACAACTCACATTTCACGCCATTGAATGGTGTGCGACGGTCTGTTCATTCAAGGTCGACGTCGAAGAATTCAGCGCTCAGTCATACTGAGACCGAGGCAAGCATCCTGGTCGCAAATCGGAGACGATGCCCCAAACCTGCTGCACTCAACATGAGAACATTGGCAAAGAGGCTGGCCTGAACCCAACTCACTGATAACCATGTCGCTCAATTGTGCAGCGCAGGTGGTTGGCACTTCTAGGTAGCGCACGGCTGCGAAGATGGAAATGGCCGAGACGACAGCTACAAGAGGGCAATAACAATCCCCTGCATTTACTGACATCACTACGATTGATCAACTAATGCGATGTAACGAGACAGCGGTACAAGAAATCGGGTGGCTGGTGTCATTGGATATGGAGACCTCTACAGCAAGCTTAATGTACATAGCGGCATTTGAGCGAGATAACCAACCCACGGCACGCAGGGGTAACGATGGGCTAGTACTACGAGACGAACCGAGAAGTCAAAAATTACAAAACCGTTGGATGGCCTGGCCACGGGAGCTCATCCGAAGCCAGAGTGCGGAGACTCCAAGGCGCCCGTGATAACGGAAGATCATGGACGAGTTCGGCGAGGCGCTCGTCACTCTTAGCAAGCCAGAGGACCCATCAGCCTCCCCGAATCTGGCAGGTCGACCGCCGGTTGATCAGTCCGGGTGTATCTGATCCTGGGCACTGAACCTTACAAAAGGCCTACCCACTAATAATCGAACGGTAGGCCAGAAGCAAAAGAACCGTCCAGAGAGGTAGGAGATAAGCTGCTCAGGCGGGGTTGGTAGTCGGGTTCGCAGGATGAGGAGTATAAAGAAAGAGACAGGCTGAGAAGCTTCTCAATTCAAGGTGGACTGACCCTAAGCAACAAGCGGTGGTGTAACCGCATTATCCAAACTCCTTCACCTGCTCATCTTGGTGCTTCTGCGGCCATCACAGTTGTAGTCATGCAGCTGACCGCCGCCTTGGGTCTCGGCCTGGGCACCGTCTTGGCTCACGCAGCCTCGTGCATCCCGCGCACCGATCCCTTTGAGCCTCTCGATCCTCAGAAATGGGTCAATCCAGATGATATGACCTGGGGCGACTTCATCGCGCCTCCCGGGACCAATTGGAGCAACCCTTCGCAAACCGGCTCTGAGCGCAACTTCCACATCGCTCTTATCACCCTCGACTACTCGGACAAGCCGTTTGTCATCACTCAGCCCGCCGAATCAACCATCTTTGGAAACCCGCAGTCAAATGTCGCTGATGTTCCTGTCGCGGATGTACCTGTCTTCTACCGGGACCTTCTCAACACCCCCAATGAGCTCAACCAAGGCCACACCCTGCACGAATACTGGATGGAGGACTCGGGGGGCCGGTTCGGCGTCGACCTCACCGTGTACGGCGTCTACCGCATGCCCTCCCTCTCCTGGCAGTACGGAATCGACGACTGGATGAACGAGGGCTCCTGCCCCGTCGCAGACGCCTGCAACGTCGACCTCCGCACCGACGGCCTCGGCATGTGGCGCAAGGACGTCGGCGACGCCGTGGCCGACTCGTACGAGCTCGTCTTCCTCCTCTCGTCCGGCCAGGACGAGTCCTCCACCTGGCAGGAGTTCGGGCAGATGAAGTTCGCCGCCAAGGAGGACGTCACCGACGACTTCGGCCCCCCCAAGGACGCGTCCTCCAACCTCACCAACTGGGCCACCACCCGCTACGTCCCCTGGTCCAGCTGGGCCGCCGCCTCGTGCATCTGGCCCAACGCCGGCGACGGCTCGTCCACCCAGGCCGAGAGCTCTGGCATGGCCGTCTACGCCCACGAGCTCAGCCACCTGCTCAACATTGGCGACAACTACAACAACCCGTACGGCACCCCCTTGCAGCGCGCATACACTGGGCCTTGGTCGATGATGTCGCGCGGCTCGTTCAACGGGCCCGGCGGACCTCACTCGAGGTGGAAGATCCCCGCGCTGCAGGGAAGCTCGATGGGATCGCTCCACACCGTCCGGGACAAGTACCAGCTCGGCCTGATTGAGGAGAGCAGCCTCCTCCGCCTCTCACGCTCCGCCCTGGCCGAGTCGGGCATCATCGTCGCGCGCCTGACAGCTAGATCCGTCGTATCCGACCTCATGGGCCTGCGCGTCGAGCTCGGGGACGCCGGCGACCTCTCCCCCGCGTGCAACGTCAGCAACGACGTCTTCTGCGACGGCGGCGGCTACAACTACTACGACGTCGAGGTGGTCGACCGCATGGGCGCCGACTCGTTCCAGGCCGACTCCGGAGTGCTGATCAGCAAGTCTAAGCAGGTCGACAGCGCGCCCTTCCAGTGGGTCATTGACGCAAACCCGCAGGACATTGAGCTAGTTGACTTCGTGAAGCCGGGCGGCGGCGAGCAGATGATCACGCTGGGCGACTACCGCCAGCTGGCTGACGCGCTGTTCCACCTCGGCACGGGCTCGGGTAGCCAGTATGAGCATGTCGATGAGGCGAACAAGCTGCATTTATATGTCCTTACGCGCCGGAGAGACGCGGACGGCGTGCTTTCGTATACGGTCGGTGCGCGGTCGCTGGAGGGATCTGGAGCCAGCAAGTTTGGTGTTGAGCTGGCTGAGGGTGGCGCGGTCGCGGGGAAGAGCAGGACACCCACGACTACAGGAGTCTACTGCTCGTTTGAGCTGAAGAACAGCGGCAGCTATGTCGCGGGGGGCTCGCACCCGCACGACGTGACGGCGTACGCGGGATCTGACATCTTCCGTCTCGATGCTTCGGTCGAGGGCGATGGCTGGAAGGTGGAGGTGCCAAATGTGTTTGTCGTGGCGAAATACGGCGAGACACAGACGGCCTTTGTTGCTGTTGGCGCGGGAGAAGGGGCGGTTGATACGGGAGTCGTCACGTTGACGGCGACATCTGAGTCTGATCCCAGTGTGAAAGCCACGGCCAAGTGCCAAGTGCAAAAAGCATTGTAGGGTAGGCCAAATATTACAGATATTTCCCTGGTGATTGCTATTATATCAAAGTTAAATAAAGAAAGTACAAATTTCCCAACACCTTGCCACGTCTTGTACTGTTATCTCACATGTCCGTAGCTCATCCTCATAATCAACTCCGGCATCGAGCAGCATGAGAATTATTCAACGATGTGTTTGAAAATTCTGACTACGGAACTTGGGTGGTTGAAACTTGGCTTTAGTGGTTATAGCGGACGTGATTGAGATTTAGGCCTCCCTTCAGTGCCTCTTCCCCTGTAATCCCACTTTACGCCTCTGCCTTGTGTTTGGCCTCATAAAACTCGTCTATCCATCCCTTCAGCGTTTCCACCTCCTCATAGGCAATGTTCTTCGTCTCTTCATTCACATCCCAGTTGTTCTTGTAGTACTCAGAGCAATGCATACCGCCGGGAATCACTCGGATGGGATGCTCTGGAGTGCTTTCCATCGGTCCGCCTGGCCGGTCGACTGAGCTCAGCGTGGCATCGCGCCAGGGATCAAACTGCCCGTTCGCATCCATGATCCGGGCATCCTCACCGTACTCTCCTGCCCAGCCGGACGTGTAGTTGTTGTAGTCCTCCACCGTCTTGCCGTTGCTGAGCCCGAATCTGCCTTCGGGGAATACGAGGTTGCACATGACATTCTCCCAGTAGTCCGCGCTGGCGGTCCGGGGCACGAGGGTCTTGCTCTCGCTTTTGGGGGCTCCCGTTTGCCAGTATAGCAGCCTATTCAACAATTCGCAACATCAATATGTGAAAAATGGGTGGAGAAGGGAATCAAGCACCACTCACGGTTCATTGCACAGCATCCAGTCCCATTGTCGGCCGGCAAAGTTGTCGACGCTCAAGTCCGTGTACATGGGACTCGAGGCGTTGCTCAGAGCAAAGCAGGCGGTGTTGTACGTTCCTTGCCACTCTGGATACCCCGATGCTTCGCATACTAAAGCGCACATAGGTGGATTAGCTTTTCTAGTCATCATGAGCGTACACTGGAACTTACAGCCTGCCATATATTGTTCAGTCATCCACTTTGCATATCCATCGATGGCTTTGTCTTTTCCGACTCCTTCTGGTCCTGGCACTTCATTTTCTGAGCCAGGCCAGACGTTCTACGGAAGGTTAGCTTAAGGTTTTTATATCTTTAGTGTGGTAGTGTGGTTGATGCACACAGAGCGAACGAGAGAAGACCGAATGTCACAGATTTCTCATACCTCGATATAATCGCAAAATCTGTAATAGTCATTATACCCTTTGACTGACTCGGTGTAGAATTGGGTGGACTGCCATGTCCATGGGCCAACCTCAAGCCATCTGTGGGATCATTGTTAGTGGGTGATTCAATCTTTGACGGAACATTTACGATGTTTTGGGTCAAATAAACTTACGAGGCAAAGTCTCCATCCTCCTGATCTCCAAGCATAAACTTATCCTTGAGCTCAAACTTCTCTTGTTCCGTTCCATTCAGAAGGAGATTGTCAATATAAACCATCGCAGCATTTAGATCCTTGCTGCAGTTTGCTGGAGTTGCCTCCTGGACAGGCCGAAAGTATTGCCAGAAGTCACGAATAGCCTCCAAAGTACCACTGGTGCTGTGGTATGCCCAGAAGGTCCCGGGTTGGGTATTGAGCATCCAGTGAGCCATTGCACCAGTATACGAGCCACCTGAGAAGACCCATGGGGCCTTGTCTGGCGCGCTCTCACCACTATCATCAAAGGGAGGGACCCAATTCTTGGCGAAGTAGATGTTGTCTTTGATACTGTTTTCCACAGTCAAGTGTTGCAAGGCGTCAATTGTCAACGTGTCATACGGGGACGATTCGCCCCAGTACCGGTGTTCTGTCATCACGACGGCGCCACCGACAGCCTCCGCGAAGAGGCCAGTCAGTCGGCTGTTGGTCATGAATGTGTTGTTGAAATTGGTCGCGCTTTGCTCGCCAGGGTTGAAATAAATGATCGGTGACCCGGGTCCTTTCCAGTACTGCGTTCCATACCAGTAGCGTTGCTTGAATGTGCCAAGGCTGGCGTTAGAGTGGTCAATGAGCTGTTCAAAGGTTCCCCAGCCATTAGTAGCCGTTATATTAACATCTAGAAGGCTGTATTCTTCAACTGGCGGGCCAAGGTCTATGACTGGCCGTGGGAAGAACCCGGCAGATGCCAAGCTTGGAATCAAGAACAGCCATGATGCTCGCTTCATTTTGGCCCATTCAACGTAACACGGGATATAGTACAGGAAAGAATAGATACAGAGGGCATGATCCTCAGTGGCATTATTATATCAAGTCCCATGACATTCCACTTCCTATCACAAGCCGTGTTAACCGTCGTATCGACGGCTATAATAGGCAGGTGTGTAAAGCTCACAAGATCTCCTTTCAGAAGTCCATTCTCAGCCTTCCAGAAATGGGTTGGAACAAGAGCTATTAGGCAAATCGCAGACGGATAAAGAGCTGCATTATCGGAACCCCCACTATCCCTCGTGCGCAGAGAGCCAAGTTCCGGAGTCGCAACCCGAGTCAATCGCGAACAGTTCCGATCAGATCATGGGAGTGATAAGAAATAGTAGTATCAATATCGCTATTGGTGAACATACTAAATATCTGCGTTTTCAATAACATGATGAATATTTTGAAGTCCGTAGAAACTTCAGTCTGTACACGAGCAGTGTATTATCCTAAACCAGCAGCGCTTCTTCATACATGTATGCAAAGCGGCATTCCTTGAGCTTATTAATTCTATTGATATTCCAAGTTTGAGACTCGCGTTATACATGCATCGGATCACTGATCCGAATGAAGCTAGGATGTAGGATACGAGCGGATTTTTAATGAATGAACGTTAAAGGACATGTTATAGTATTTCCTTGGCTAGGTTCAGATATTCCTCTTCTGGCATAGAGTTCTAGCGTTTGATGAAGAGAGATTGAACGCTTGCATTCATGAGCCACGATTCGTGAGTTGACAAGTGCGTTCCCACCTCGCTCTTCAATTTTATCCTCTATACGAATGTCGCCTTTCCCTTTGGAAAAACGGCGGGACAAAATCACTCTACCCCAAAAGTCATCTTCACATCAATATGAGTACCATTATTTAGCATCTGCGAGCACTAGCCTTATGTCCATTCCTAACAGCCTCTAATAGTCGTTAAAAGAATCCCCGGGATCAGTCTTTAGCGCCATTATCACGCAGCAGCTGCACAACATCCTCATGCCCTTTCTTAGCAGCCTCCCATAGCGACTTAGGATCAATAGTAGCGCCCTTTTTAATCAACAACTGTACAATGGCCGTATGTCCTTGCCTAGCAGCGTGCGACAGAGGAGATTCAGCATCAATATCGGCACCCTTATCAATCAGCAACTGCACAATGGCCGTATGTCCTTGCCTAGCAGCGTGCGCCAGAGGAGATTCAGCATCAATATCGGCACCCTTATCAATCAGCAACTGCACAATGGCCGTATGTCCTTGCCTAGCAGCGTGCGCCAGAGGAGACCCAGCCTCAATATCAGCACCCTTATCGAGCAGGAGCCGCACAACAGCCTCATGCCCATTCTGAACAGCCCACCATAGCGGCTTATGATCAACAGTAGCGCCCTTTTCAATCAGGAATTGTACAGTGGCCGTATGTCCTTTCTTAGCAGCCTGCAACAGAGGAGATCCAGCCTCAATGTCGGCACCCTTATCAATCAGCAACTGCACAATGGCCGTATGTCCCTTCCCAGCAGCCGACGATAGCGGATCACCACCATAATTATCACCGGCATCGATATTGGCACCCCTATCAAGCAGCAGCCGCACAAGGTCCTCATGCCCATTTGCAGCAGCCCGCGAAAGCGGCGTCATTCCTGCATTATTACGAGCATCAATATCAGCGCCCTCATCCAGCAGCAGCCGCACAAGATCCTTATGCCCATTTAGAACAGCATGATATAATGGAGTCCTATGCCGATAATCCATTGCAACAATATCAGCGCCCTCATCCAGCAGCAGCCGCGCAATATCCTTATGCCCATTTACAGCAGCCTGCGAAAGTGGCGTCCTTCCCCATTCGGTGTCGCAAGCATCAATATCAGCGCCTCTGTCAAGCAGCAGCCGTATAATAGCCGCATGCCCTTTCACGGCAGCCTGCGAAAGAGGCGTCGTGCCTGATTCATCACCAGTTTCAATGGTGGCGCCCCTATCAAGCAGTAGCTGTATCATAGCCTCGCGTTTATTGTCAACAGCGTGGAATAATGGTGTCCTGCCGTCATCATCCTTTACGTCAACGTCACTGCCTGTGTCAAGCAGCAGCCGCACAAAGGATTCATTCCCACTTGCTGCTGCTTGTGAGAGCGGCATCCTCTTCTCCTTAACCTTCAGCGCGGTGTCGGCGCCCTGTTCCTCGTTGATTAAATCATCCATTACACTCAGCGCCTCGTTATTTGAGTTTGTCCAATGACCGTGACTAGCTTTTGCGGTTTCCAAAGCTGTTCCATAAAATTTCACGGCTTTTTGGAAGGTATTCCCTGCTTCTTCGTATCTTTCCAGTCCATTCAATATCAGCCCCAAGTCCCATAATTCACTAGATTCGTGCAGATAATCTTGGCACTTGCACTCTGTGCTTGGGCACTTGGGCTTCTTCGGGCTCGCTATCAGACCTTCATCATATGCGCCATCTTGCGCTTTGCCTGGTGAGGCCTCCCAGTCCCAGACGACTGGAAGTTCATGTCGAAATGTCGTGATTGGTCGTGTATATTCTGGTAAGGGGATTGCCATCGCGATAACAGCTAAATAACCGCCACACAGCCTCATGATTGAAGGCATCAGTGCTCCCTGCAGACAATATACCGCATCTCCTTCCTGGATGGGTTTCGCCGAAGCTGGGAAGGTCAAGCGAGAGTTCTGGTTTCCTTCCTGGTAAAAAGGCCTCTGCCAAAGAAACGTTACAATTTGTATGTCATCTCGAGTATGATGGCTTTTAACTTCAGATACGTGGCCAAGAAAGCAGCCCTTGCCCTTAATAACCGCCACCTCTTTATCATCCCAAACGGTCACCGACATCTGGTCAGATGTAGAGAATTTGACAAGGTTCCGAAAGACTTCTTTCCATGGGGTTTGGTAGTTGGGCGATAAGCCTGCATTGTTAAGATCACCCGAAGAGTCAGAGCTCATACCCAGCAGGGCATAGATTTTATCGCGACGGTCAGTAGCCTGGCGAGTATGATAGGTGTCGACTAGCTGACTTAGAGGACGTATATTTAGCGCAAACCTGCCTAGTTGACTCGTCTCTCGTCCTTCATATCGAGGCCGGAAAACTGCGCCTCTTATCAGGTAGGCTGTCGTACGTATTATATCGCGAAGGCTCTGATTTGTTCCATAGGATATTTTAAGTGCAGTTAAGCCTGAGCAGAATGCAAATCCATCGATTTCTGTGCGGCCAGACTTGATCAAGATATGTCGGGCTGCAGCAACTTCCTGGAGGACCTGATGAAAACTGTCAATAAATTGTGCTTATATTTCTTGGCACCTCGTCTCTTACCCAGATACGCGTAAACCATGGCCGGTCAAGCAGTGCAAGGATCGCTTCGTCGGTTGCAGAGTTCACAGATTGTTCTTCGACAGCCGCAGAGCTGACAGATTGTTCTTCGACAGCCGCAGAGCTGACAGATTGTTCTTCGATAGCTGTAGAATCCATAAGTTGTTCTTCGATAGCCGTAGAATTCATAGATTGTTCTTCGGCAGCCGCTCGTATTGCTTCTAGCGCTTCATTGCTCTGGTCTGCGACCTCTCCAAGCCAAACTATTACACGACTGGCTCTGGAATAGATTTTTGCCATACACTGAACCTGCTGTCCTTTTTCATTGATGTCTTCTTGGTTGATACAAATAGCATCTATCCATATGATCCGCTCGATGAACGGATCTTGAAGACACGATAGCGCTTCATAAAGGTTGTTTCGGACAGAAACTTCGCAGTTGTTTATGCGGATAGAATGTTGATTGTCCTCGGGTCCCCATACGTATGATAAGGCTTCATAAGGATGTGTACTTCCGGATTTCAAGAGAGGGCAGGTAAAAAGCTGGCAGTCGATTCCTTTATGACCGTCTGACAGTGGCAAAAGCCGAAGCAGCCGCACACTATCGTCCGGCAAAGGCTCGTACAGAGGCATGTTAAATTCGGTGAGCGATAGGCTGAATAGGGAGGAGGCAAAATGCGGAAAATGCGAAGGGCTCTCACAGTTCTTTATCTGTCTGAAGAACCCAGGGTAATGCTTATGCTGAGGAAGGCGCATTGCCGCCTAATGCTCAGCCACATCGGAGTGGGCCTTGTTCCGGCTGTGCTCAACATAAGCTTGCTTTTAGGCATTATGATGGATGTTTTAGGGAAGATGTTGCGGCAAAGCAATAGGCCCCACCTGTAATACATTGCTTTGTGGCCGTATTGTGCGCTCTCAAATGAGAAGTGGCCGAATTTCCCTTCCTCCATTATGGCTTGGCGTTAATTACGGTTGCTGAACACCCAAGAACCATTCATTGCGTCTACCCAACTAGCACAGTAGTTGTCTCCGGTCTCAAGGGCATCGGAATTTATGCAGTATCATGCCCGGCGCTCTCAAATCTACCGCTTGCCAGACGTGCAAGACGCGCAGAATAAAGGCAAATCATCCCACAGTCCTCGCTTGGCAATGCATTTGAGAGACAGCAATTCTAACTTTTCATATGTTGTCCTCTTTCAGTGTGACGAGAAATGGCCTACATGCACCCAGTGTATACGGAAGAGCTTGAAATGTCCTGGACCAGCCTCCTTGATCAAGTTTGTCAATCATCATGACGAGGGCCAGGGAAGACTGCGAATAGAGAACCAGGTTAGTCATGGAGTAGGGGTCTTGGAGCCTCTTCGGAGCAAACGACACCGTCCACCAGAAGGCACCAAGAGCCTGGCGAGTGTTGACAAGGCTCTGACCAAAACTTTTCGTTTCCGAACCACGCCCCGTCCGAATCTGACCACGACGGCGGACCGCATTGGTTCACGCATTGTATACCATCTCGATGGCAAACGAGACTGGGGTTGGGTGTTCTCGATGCACTACCTGGAGGATTTGCCGAGACGTCTGTCAGAAAGCACTAGTTTACAGCATACTGTGGGTTTGTTCTGTACCGTCTTTGGAGAATATCGTCGTGGCGAGTCAGCGAAGGAATTCGTCACCTTGCCTGCCTATGGCAAGGCCCTTCGTAGCTTGCGGCGGGCAATTGCACCGGGTAAAACGTTGACCGTGGAGACACTGGCATCGATCATGATGCTGGAACGTACGGAGAATGTTTTCAATCGGGGACGTGATGCTCTATGTGTGACTCATTCAGCGGCTATTGCAAACATCATACAAGAATTAGGGCTTCCAAAGTCTGACGACGGACTCCACCGTGGTCTGGTTACGGATAGTTATGGCACCATGGTATACCTTCCTAGTTCATACCAAACAGCTACCCTGTTAGTCTTGAGAACTTGCTAACTCTTGTAAATCTAGGCCCTTTACTTTATGAACGAAGGCCGCAACAACTTCATAACAGAAGATCCGTGGGGCGAACTTGTTGCGGACACTATGGCTTCATTCATTGAAAGCGAAGATCTAAGACCATATTTTAAACGAAGTCTCATTACATACAATGAAGTCTTCAGGTCAGCACGAGACTTGATACTTCGTTGTCAAATGGTCCGTTCTGTGCCTCAAGATGCAGAAGCCTCAGCACAACTGATCCGAGACCTTTCCGGCACCGAGAACGCCCTAGAGAGGGGATATAAGGAATTACTTCAGAAATCTTTTGACTTGGGTTTGATACACGAACAGCATGATCCCGGTTCTATCGCTGGAAGTATTTATCGGCCATCACTCGTCCGCGTGGCTCAAACCATGATATCATCACTCGGCCTACGGCTTAACTTACTGCGGATGCTTTATGATTGTAGCGTCATTCGTGGAGCTGATGATGTTGAGCTTTTATTTGCGAGATTCAGAAATTTGTGTGTGGAGGCGTGGAGGTTCATACCCTTTGTTCAAAGTCTGGAGGCTTGCGTTGCGTCAAGCTCAATAGCCTACCTTTTCCCGACTCTTGAAGTAGCAAATGCTGAAGAAAAAGAAGCCCTGATCGACTTGATCCTCGATTTGGATGGATATCTTCATCGCTTGCCCAGAGAGAGAGATGCGTTGGAGAAAATGGCCTTATATCTCACCATGACGGTGACGGGCCGAGTCCCTCTTCCAACTTTAAATTGATCACTGAACAAGGATGAAAGCAAGATAACACAAGTTACTTTAAGCCCTATTAGGTAGTATTTTCTTCTAACAATTTGTGTGCTTGCGAAACGTAATGCTTATATTGATAGATAGTGTTAATGTCTGATGATATCGCATGACAACTTTCGGGGATGGTTTCTGATCCTTTTGAGACGGCCATCAGCCGTTTTATTGATGGGATGCCATCCATGCAAATTTGAGGCTCTGGAAAATATAATCATATACCGAAGACATGCATCCTTTGGTATGAGGAAGCGGAGCAACCCAAAATACTAGAAATGATTGAATATCCGAGGTAGGCAATGGGTTGTTTGGGCCCCGCAAAGTCCGAAGAAACGTCCTGTACTCCTACTCATTATCCTTCTTGTTGATCGTCAATGTTGATGATTCTACCAACTCGATATTCCTTCTCCTTTCCATATAGATCCGGTATGATTGGCTCTTCATCTCGTAATGACCTCCAATAATTGGTAGACTTGACTATCTCACCGCATCCCTCTAGCACCCAACCCCATCTTTCAAAGAACCCCGGCGTGGCCTCCCAGCTCTCCTGTATATGAGGATCGCCCCAGATAATCAGGCCATTTCTCGTTGCTGTGATCTGGTCGTCGAGGCCATGCTGAAGTTTCATCCTGAGGGCGCCAGAAGGGCTTGTTTTGGCGCTTGGTCTCAAAAAATATAGTTCATCGAGTAAATCTCCCACCATGTCTCTGATGAACTGCCTATGGTCGAACTCTTCTTTATGCCTGATCAGGTTATCACGCATTCGGGGGAATGGAATGAAATCCATCCACGTTGCATGGGGAACTCTCATTTGTTGTCGCGTTGGAACGAGAGATGTGGGGATACTTGACGATGATGGAATAATAGTGGCCTGGCCAGGGAGTCCCTTCATGATGTTGACAGCTGTGTTGCTCCCTGGAGGGAAATGTTCAGAAAGGGTAGCCAGCAAGGCTTTGTTGATAAATAATCCTCTGAATGTGTTGTAATTGACAAGATTCAATAGTTGATCTGAGCAGGGAGATGCACCCAACATTGCTGATTGCGACCTCACCCATCGACCAAATTGTGGCGCGTGTTGCTCAACTTGAGCGAGACTCAGGCTGTGAAATACCGAGGGGAGCTGGGTGCCGCCTTTTTTAGATAAAATCAATTGATCATCATATTTGTGGTTATGGATCCTGGCGCGCTTTGTTTTCTTTTCTTCGTGGACGGCATGGATCGGCTGAGGTACTTCGAGGAGTTCAAACTCATCTACCCTCCAACGATTCGTCTCGAATTTTGACGAGCCGATGTTCTTCTTCGACCGGTCTCCTCTCAACCTGTCTCCTAGTGCCACATGGATTAGTATGCCTTTATCACGGGGTATCTGATCATCACGGGTTGCCACCTACTGCGCGCTCGCTGATTCATCCGATTGAGTACCTTCTTCCGGTGCTTCCGCTCAGCATCATTTACGGCCGGTTGAACATGTTCCGGGCTACTGCCGGATCCGGGAATGGAACTTCTGGTAGATGCCTCCATAGCTCAGATATCCAACCTCGATGCTTGGAGCTGGTGATTGAAAAGGGAAAAATGTCATTGACAGGGGAATGGGATGCCACCAGATCACATAAACCCACTCGGAGGATTCAATTCATGGTTCAGCGCTAACCAACGTCAGAGAATGCCTCTAAACCAAGTTGGGAAAAAATGTCATTCTCTGTTCTAGCTCCACTATCCTGAAAGAGTTACAATGTCACTCTTGAGCATCATCTGGAGATGATCCAGAAGAAGGTTTCTGCCAAACTCCATTATGTCCGAAGAGAATCTATTGCCTACTTGTAGGCATAACGATACAGTCGGAGATAATACGATCGGCTCTCTGGGAGTCAAAGCAACAGTTTGAATTGAGTATAAATACCCCTTTGCCTCACGAGTACAAAATCTTGTTTTCAACATTACTCTCACAACAATACCGCTCGAACACAAGACTTTCAACAATAGTCCATTAACATTCAGAAAATATCTTCTCATTCTCCTAAGATTAATATGTCTCGATACGCTGAAGTCCACGCCAATCCCACCGGCCCAGGAGATGCCCGCCCAACTGCCCTTCAAATTGTCAAGGATAACGGGCTGGAGGGCAAGCTCGTTGGCAAGGTTGCTATCGTCACCGGTGTATCCTCTGGAATCGGTATTGAGACGGCTAGAGCCCTTGAAGCGACTGGGATTACGCTGTTTCTAACCGCCAGGGATACAGCCAAGGCAAAGATTGCCTTGGCCGAATTCTGGAAAGAAGACAGGATGCACCTCATCCACATGGACCAGACTTCGCTAGAGAGTGTCCGGAACGGTGCTAAAGAGATTTTGGCCAAGACCACTCAGGTCAATATCCTTATCGCCAATGCTGGTGTTATGGCTGTCCCTGATCTACAGCTGACAAAAGACGGTTTTGAGACACAATTCGCGACGAATCATTTGTCGCACTTCCTCCTGTTCAAGTTGTTGAAGCCCGCTCTGCTCAAAGCATCATCTGCTGAATTTCAATCACGCGTCGTCGTTGTTTCCGCCTCAGCACACCGCGTCTCTGGCATAGCGCCCACTGGCGACTACAACTATGAAAAGAGTACATACGATGCCTGGGCTGCCTACTCTCGCTCCAAGACTGCCAACATCTACATGGCCAATGAGATAGAGCGTCGCTTCGGATCTCAAGGCATTCACGGCCTGAGTCTCCATCCCGGAAATGTCTACTCGGGCATCGGGCGATTCATCCCAGACGAGGTGATGGCGGCTGCCGTCAAACCGATCATGCATGTTCTCAAGAACACAGCACAAGGTGCTGCTACCACTGTTGTCGCAGCAATTGGCAAGGAGTGGGAGGGTCGAGGCGGTGTGTATCTTGCAGATTGTGCTGAGTCTGAGCGTGGCGATGATGACGGCAGTATTCTTGGACCTCGGTATTCAAGTTTTACTTACAATGAGAAGGAGGAGGGTAGGCTTTGGGAAGATTCCTTGAAGATGGTTGGGTTGTAGAACATCAAGTAAATGTTTGAATGAGCCTGAATTTCGGGTCTAATGGAATGAAGTTGCATACATGTATTATGAGGAAGTGAAATATAGAAAAAAGCTCACACGGTGCTTATTTTAAAGCCAACGTGCGATACAAAGTGTCCTTATAAAATTAAGAAAATGCAAAGATGAAGTCAGCATTGGTGATCGTATCACGTTGAAGAGTCGGGGAGAATAGGGTAAGTTGCTTATCTAGAGGAACCGATCTGCTTTGTTCTTAAGTCTTCATTCCACCAGGGCCTAATATCAATATTAAATATCAAGCAAAGGCGAAAGTATTTGGTAGTTGGTCAATGCAGACACATTTCTTCGGAAATGTTGTAAATTGGTAGATATGGCTTAGCCGTTTGATGAAGCGCACCACATGTTACATCAGGTAACCGACTCTACTCCGATGGCTACCAACAGCGAGATGAGCCTTTTCGGGCAAAAGTGAAAGCAATTGACATCTCTGGGGAACACTTCATTATTTAATGATTGTCATACATCCGCTTTCGGCGTCAGCAGCATCTTCGACCCTGGGTCCACGTGACCAACTGCTGCCTGAGGCAGGGGACGTACATGCTTTGTGTTGCCGACCGTGAATTTTTGCACACCGTTTTCCCTTTCTTCAATTATTCGAGCTTCCTGAAGGTCAGAATTCTCTCGAAAATGGAGTCACAAGATTCTTCAAAGCCCGTTGGAACTGGGCACAGTGATCTTGTGCCTGGTACAGCTCCTCTCCGCCAGCCATCCGAAGAAGATCCACAGATCGCACCCTCTTCATCTATTGGAGAGCAACACCCCAGGCCAGTCGGCTGGTCCCTCCAAGACGAAGATTACGAGAGTTGGGAAGATGAAGAATCGGATGAGTCGATCGAGTCCACCGCAGATGGCACTGACCAGGAGATTCTAGACGACAAAGACGCCGATATTGGTGATCAACTGCGTGCGCTGCAGCACTGTGTTGAGTCCAACTACAAGGAATTTCTCTTTGCTTGTGGAGGTACAGTACCAATCAGTCCCAAGCACCAGGAACATCCAGGTCCTATGAGCAAGGAGATAGCTTCACGCCCCGAGTCTGCCTCCAGCAAAAGTTCCATCTCAACTTCTGGAGCTCAACCCCCAGTCACTCTTCGATGGGACCCGAAGGACGAATCGACTCCTGCAAGCCAGTCAAAGCTTATCTTTCCCGCCGAAGACACCACTGCAGGCAATCTCAAATACTTGCTAGCCGAAATGAAACCTGCAACCTTTGGTCGTGGTGGTGAAGACGTGTATGATGAGAGTTACCGCAAGGCATCGAAACTGGAGCCTCAGGATTTCTCCACAAACTTTTGCCCGTATAGCACTGGTATAATTGGAGAGATATCCCGACTTCTTCTTCCTGATCCGGGACGAGCGGATCAGAGAACCATCAAGGCTGAGCTATACAAGCTTAATGTTAGTGTTTTGCTATCGCTTCAACATATTTCCGTTGCACGTGCTTACTCGATACCAGGTTTATACCGGACCCTCAGGGCACTTCCGTTCCCATGTCGATACCCCTCGATCTCGCTCTCAGTTCGGGTCTCTTGTCGTTTGTCTGCCAGTCAAGCATGAAGGTGGCGCTCTCGAGGTTCGGCATAGTGGTGAAGTGATGAAGTTTGATTGGGCATCTCCTTCTGAACAACCAGAACTTCAATGGGCAGCATTTTATAGTGACTGCGAGCACGAAGTATTCCCTGTTCAGTCTGGGCACCGTATCACTCTCACATACAATCTTTACGCTACCTTCAACAGTGTCCAGCGTCTAGGGAGCTTCAATTCTGTCAACAATACCCAAACTCCCCTTGACAGAGAGATTGAAGCCCTGGTCGAAGATCCCACGTTTCTAACAGATGGTAATATTATCTGAATTTGGACTCCTTTTGAAAACCGGGCTGATGATTCATTTCTATAGGAGGCTATGTTGGTTTTCATACTACTCACACGTACCCCCACAATGATTCAGAGGGTTGCCTGGAAGAGACCTTAAAAGGTCTTGATATGGTCATTTGGAGGGGTTTCCAGCGCCTTGGCTGCGGGGTATGCTTGCGGCCGGTCCTGGAACCTGACCTCGACATCGATGGGGAACTGCGCTTCGAGCTTGGCCGCACATTCGAGCTTAGAGCTATCTACGGCGAAGTTGAGTCCACATATGAGTGGGATTCACTCGTTCGGCACGACTGGGGTCTTGAACATCTGTCGGTTGAGGACATTATCTGGCTCAATAAACCCACTCTAGAGACCAAAAAAGCCGCGTTTGCCTATGCTGTAGTAAGTGCGATGCCTCGAACATGAGCCAAAAGACGCGGCGACTTATTGCGATATGGCCACTAACCTCGCACAGTATGGCAACCAAGCCACTGGTTGCCTTGCCTACACGGTCTGCTCTATCATCGTTTCTGTCCCTAAGATTGTTGAAGGTAAACGGGCGAGTCTAGAGACAACGTTTGATGTTGATGCTGTTGTTGAAGAGGATGATTGGGAAAATCGCTCCCCATGGGACTAGATCACTTTCGTCATTCGGTCCCGACTAGATGTCAAACACTGCCAAATGTGAGAAAATGGGTTCTCTCGCGATAAAGGAGGTCACAGGCTTAGTTAAATTCACGAAGCTATTAATTCCATGACCTCTTTATTCCTCCTTAGGTGTGAGTTGAACTCATCATGTAAGCCCTCCTCCTGTATGCACAAATTTCTCCAGGTGACCGCTGGTAGTACCGGCTCTTGGTAGCCATTGTTTTGACCGGCAAAGCGGGAAATCCCCAGTTAAACGGTAAACTTCTAGAATGTTGTACCCGGAGTGCGCCGTATGCATCATTGCATCACTGAAAATCTAACCTGTGGCCAACTGCAACCCAATCAGCACACATGAACTCCCTGACCATTTATTCCGGCCCCGAATCTTAGTTTTAGATCTGGAGTAGCATTCTGACTTACGGCATCTGGCAGACCGGGTGTCAGCAGGGAGACACACGTCCCGTGACCGGCAACATGTTGAAATGCACCTGGCTCAACAAAAAGTGAAACAGATACCAGAGGTGCCGTCATTGGACACAGCCCCCGCGTCTGGCCGGGGGGGGGGGGCAATTTAATCCTTGGCACGAGAAAGAAAGATCTGCAGGTCGAACGGAACTGGCCGACGCACAACCGGGCTCTTCCATCTTGGCCGCCCGTTTTATCCGGGTCTCGAGCGATGGCCCACACAACTTCTAGCTGTGCCTGCTGAGCGTTGCCCATCTTCACGGCACGGCCAAGGGTTACAAAGATGGCCTGATTGTTTCCCGGAGCGACTAGGCCCTGGAGAGAAGACGAGATAGCTTCTTTGGTGGGGAAGAATTATCTTCGCTGGAGGGATGATCCCGTCAGTCAAAGGCACTATTCACCTTTTTACGTATTTTTACCTACTGGCCTGAGCTCGCCCAGATCTTTGACTCCATCGTCTCCGCGCAGTAATTCAAATGGTAATATTTCCATTCGTGAGAGTGACAGAAAGAGCGGGGCGAAGGGCTTGGGTATCCCACTATTTGCGGATCATGTAGATACAAAGCTATTGTCCCTGCTTGGCGGTTAGATATCTGTATCTGTGAGATATTGTGAAGATAGAACCGGCTTGGCAGGAATACACGGCTTGAATATCACAGGCGAGCTGAGCGGCAGCCAACAGGGGTGATCATTTCGAGTGAAATTCTCGCTCGCTTACCTTCGGCGTCCACCGCGTGTCTTTTTGTTGGCAGTCTCAGGCTCCTCCTTTGCGACCGCCGGCAATGTGGTTGGCTGGCTTAGGAGCCATGCCCTCCTGCATGATAATCATTGTGACCAACCACCGGGCGTTAGCTGTCTACCCAGTCTCTCTATGAAAAAATTCCCCTCCTCGTGTGACATGATACCCTGTTACCAAACAATACGGGCCTGTGAGTAGCGCGCGGTAGGATACCGCCACTCATCTAAACGGACTTTGATATCTAGGCTTGCAGGCAAGATTGCCGACTAGATCTGCTTCGGAGATGGCCACATCCTTATAGATCTAGTGAAACACGCTTCATCGCGGGAAGAACTCTAGATGGCCTCTGATTGTAAATTACACTTGAAACTTTTGTTAGAGGTTCGGGTGACGGCGCAGAAGCATGCATGGTGGCGCTCCGTCCCCCTTCCCCCACCCTTAACAAAGGTATAGCAGATGATACTGTAATGAACTGTAAACGGCCTCGCAGCCTGCCGTCCAACTCATACATGGAGTAAGAACGTACGATCGGTGATATGGTAATCCAGATACGTCGACTGGCATCCCGGAGGGGATAATCGTGGGGAGCATGACAGGTGGCAGGCTGTGTAAGGCAAAGGAGCGTGGGGAATATCTAACGGAAGCGACCGGTCGTTTGAAAAACAGAACGATCACACGAGAATATCAAAAAAGCCTCTATAGTAAACAAATGAAGGTGGCAACTCGGCCGACATCTCGATCTCCGGCGTAGCCGCGACCCGAGAGAATCGTACCAGATTGTCGTGATGTTTCCTGACGTGTAAGTGTGCGCGTAATAACGGCAACCCTAAACATAGCCTGCATGATCAGAGTGTACGGGTGTTTGGCGCCAATAGGCGTGCGACTAGTTGTGTAGATACAGGTCATTATTGTTCTAGAGCACTTTCAGCCTCGAGAGGGGTAACATAGACCCTGGACTGACAAGGGCCTTTTTCAAGAGATGGAGGGAGGGGGCCAACAACCGAAACGGGATGCATATGGTATGATAGTCGAGGATACGCGGAGCCAGATGATGCAGATGCACGAGAGGTATGGGTGCCAAGTCGCCAGATAAAGAGCCCGCCTAGGAACGCTCGAGAAGACAAGAGAAGTTTCAACTTTTTTATCTTTCACAAAAATAGGGATCCAGACCAAAGGCGTACATTAAACTATCTTCGTTGTCCGATTAGCTAAGTGCACTTTCCACCTCGTGGACCAAGACGTTTACAAGCCAGTCGCCAAGATGATGTCCGGACCTATTGCCACCCAGTTCGAGGCATACAATGCCCAGTATGCGAATCACTTCAGCCATGCTAACATTGCGGACTCGCATGAAAGGTATGTCACATCTAGACTGGTGAGATGCTAAGTGGCAAGCATCGGAAGTCTAACTATAAGACAGCAAGGTCTTGGTCCTCGTCTGTATGGATGCACGTATTGACCCGGCAGAGGCCCTAGGTCTGCAGCCGGGCCAAGCCCACGTTGTGCGGTAGGTTCCGACATACCACCCCAAAATACAGCTAGAGATGTCTGGGCAAAGATGATAGGGCAGAAAAATGAAATATACTGACATACGGGACTAGGAATGCCGGAGGTCGCGCTATTGATGCGGTTCGATCCATTATCATCTCGCAACAGCTGCTCGGCACACGCGAGATTGTGGTTGTGCACCATGTAAGTCAGCCATTTTTCTTTCATCCACCGGGAAGCCCGCCTGTATCAGGAGCCGGGAGAGTGACAGAAAAAGAACCGAAAGAGCTAGTGCACAAAAGGATGTTACAAAGCAACAAGCATAAAATGCAGATCCAGAGCTGACTGAATATCTGTAGACGGACTGCGGCATGCTAGGCAAATCGGACAACGACATCAGGTGCAGCATCAAGGACAAGACTGGCGAGGACGTGGACCACATCGCCTTTCTTCCCTTCCGGGACCTGCGGGAGAGTGTGTTGGACGACATTCGGCTGCTGGAGAGGAACCCCCTGGTGCTAGATGTGCCTATTACGGGGTACATTTACGACGTCAAGACGGGGAGGATTGAGAAGGTTGAACATTAAGCGAGCGGAAAATGCAATTTGAAATTTCACTTCTTTGTTACATAGTTGCCCTACAGCCTGTACTCAGGCTGCACACACCATACATACCAGGCACACAGGCCAAATACAGAGATCCCGGCCGAGAGAAAAAAAAAACTGGGAACATAAACCCGTGAAAGCCAGGTTATTTTCGCGACTCGTCCGCACTACCCCCCTAGATTTGATGGTGATACAGGTGTGTTTTCGTGTGAGCTTCGCAGACGGTTGGACCGGAGACCGGGATCTGGAGGCGTCCTTGCAGCTAGATGACCTGATGGACCAATTTATTGGTTCCACATGCAGGGGACGGGATAGGATCTCTGCCACGGGAGGTGGGCTGGCCGAGCTCTTGGATATGGCTGTTGCTGGATTGGCTGCGGGGGAACGAAAATCGTATCATGGGGAAGATCTCCTGTTTGTCTGGGCCTCCCGTATTACATGGCTTGCCTTAGCCTTGGAAAAGGATGCATTAAATGACCTGCAAGGCCTTTTTCCCTTGTTCCGAACCCTTGCTCTGTTCCAAGCGCTGGATCTATCTATATCTGCTCGCCTGCATATTAGCACATAGCTAACTAGAGAACGAATACGGTTACCTTCCAGTAGGCGACTGACTTCCTGCAGAATAGCCAAGACGAGGTAGATTAGGATATTCATTCATCTACTTGTAGCGTGCGGGGGGACAAACTACCGAAGAAGCACCAACCACCCCCATTTCGGTTCTGAGCCAATTGTGGGAGGGAGGCATCCCGAAGGGCTTGGAGAATGCATGGAACGCACAGAACATCTGATCTCGGAAGTCCGTCGCTCTCGGTCGGACCGACTGGCTGGAAATCAGCTGGTTGTCTCACGCAAATCAGTCAATCACATCGCACAATCCATGTCCAAGCTTCCTTATAGCATTTCTGGGAAAGGCAAGAGGGACATGCAAGGATCCATTAGAAAGGGAAAGTCATTCTCTCCTGCCCTGGGGTTATTTTAGCAGAAGGCAATTGGTCTTCGACTGCTAATCTTCCCCCCTGACTCCTCGTTCCTGGCTGCCTGGAGGACTATCTCCACCCCTGTCGGCTTGTATTTAGGCTTGAGCCAGTGTCACATCCTTCTGCTTTGGTTCCGATGCGGGGTGGAGAGCATTGTAAATCAGTTGTCTCATCCCTCTTATTTCGTAGGCCAAGACAAAAAGCACAGCGTAAAGGAGGAGGAAGAGGAGTCCGTAACGTTGCGCGTGCGGGGCTGAAAACCTAAGAAAACATGTGCCCTGTGCGACGCTTTATAAAGAATTAATATGTGTTCAAATCGTGATTCAATGGTGGCCTGTCACATCTCTCACAATTAGTGTGGGAGAAACATTGCGTTATTGATCTCACCTGGTCTGACCTGATATCACTGCCCACCATGTCTGCATGGCATGTATTCCTGACCCTCGCCCTCTCTATCATTGGCCCTGGGCATAGTGCCGCGGCTGTAGATCCCATTGTCTCCCAGAATGGCCAAGTGGTCCCTATCCCCAGCTGGGACATCATCTCGTCTGCAGACGTGTCTGACAGTCTCAGCTCTCTGGCCCGGGCCGGTGTCGATACCGGCTCCTGGCAACACGTCCCGCTCTCGCGCTGCACCCTGATGGGGTGCATGATCGAGGCTGGGCTGTACAATGAGCACGACCTCTGGTTCTCAAACAACCTCGAGCACGTGGACAAAGCCCAGTTCGATGTCCCGTGGATTTATCGATCCGAGTTTGCCGTCCAGGCCACCCCCGACCGGCATTATGTGCTGCCAACACACGGCATCAGCTCGAGCGGTGAAATCTGGTTGAACGGCCACCAGATTGCAAACGAAACGCTGCAGTCCGGGTCGCATTCCGGCCACAACTACGATATCACCAAGGCTGTGGTGAACGGCACCAACGCCCTGGTCATCAAGGTCAATCCCACCAATTACTACAGGGATCTGGCTATTGCCTGGGTGGATTGGAATCCTGCACCTGTGAGTTCATCCGATGCCATCTGTCATTTGAATGATGGCCTGGCCCTGGCGGATCTTGACTTGCTGACGTACATGGCATTAGCCTGACAATGGCACAGGAGTTTGGCGCGATGTCGAGGTTCATCAGACGGGTCCCCTGAGGTTCTCAAACGCATTAATCGCCCAGGTCAGCATCGACCCCGGAGCTGTGTCCCTGCGAGTCCAAGTCCAAAATCTTAAAGCTTCTTCACCTGTCGAGGCTGTCGCCAGAGCTGTAATCACGGCGCCGGATGGGGACGAAGAGTTCGTCTTGGAGAAGAAACTGTCCCTCGAGAAAAAGTCGTCACAGATCCTGGAGTTCAACCAGACATTCGAGAACCCGCAGATCTGGTGGCCGAAGCAATGGGGCGAGCAACCATTGTACACCGCCAAGATATCTATCTCGGTAGATAATGCCACATCCGACGTAGCCGAACATACTTTTGGGTTGCGCACAGTGACCAAGGAGATCAACGCTGATGACGACATTGTCTTCTACGTCAATGGTCAGCCATTCCAGGTATTTGGGGGAGGGTTCGGGAGTGACATGTTCCTGAGATGGGATGGGGAGCGATTCGAGTCCATCGTCAAGTACATGCTTGACGTGGGCTACAACACCCTCCGTCTTGAAGGAAAGAATGAGCAGCCCGAGCTGTATGAAATTGCGGACCGCTATGGCCTGATGGTAATGGCCGGCTGGGAATGCTGCGACAAGTGGGAGGCCTTTGAATATAACACGGATCTCCCAGTTGACCCAGTGCCGGTCTGGAATGGCTCTGACTATGACTGGGCCGGCTACTCTATGCTCCATGAGGCACATATGATGCAAAGCCACCCCAGTATGCTTGCTTATCTGGTAGGAAGCGACTATTGGCCTGACGATAAGGCAACTAAGATCTATGTTGATGCTCTTCAGCAAGCCAATTGGCAAGTCCCCATTGTAGCTGCCGCCAGTAAGCGAGGCTATCCTGATCTGCTTGGGCCTACCGGTATGAAGATGGAGGGTCCCTACGATTGGATTCCACCTAATTACTGGTACGATACTGAGCCATCCAAAGAGCGATATGGTTCAGCCTTTGGGTTTGGAAGCGAGCTCGGTGCTGGCGTTGGTACTCCTGAACTGGGCAGCCTGAAGAACTTCCTCACAGAAAGCGATATGGATGACCTATGGAAAAATCCCGAAAAGGGTCTGTACCACATGTCGACCAGTCGTTCGTCCTTCTACACCCGTACCATCTACAACGAAGGACTGTACAAGCGCTACGGGAGCCCTACCTCTCTCGATGATTATCTCCTGAAAGCCCAAGTCTCAGATTACGAGTCCACCAGGGCCCAACACGAAGGCTTCGCCTCTCACTGGAGCACCGGTCGTGTCGCGACTGGCATGATTTATTGGATGCTGGATAATGCCTGGCCAAGTCTCCACTGGAACATATTTGATCGGTATCTTCATCCTGCGGGCAGCTACTTTGGGACCAAGGTCGGCACCCGGCCAGAGCATGTTGCGTATGACTACGTGAACAAGGATATCTGGTTGATCAACAGATCTCTTGACAAGTCTGGTTCCCGCACAATTGACGTCGACGTTATTGATCTCAACGGCAAGGAAGTTTCCAAGGCCACGCTCGATGCGACTACTACGCCTAACAAGGCAATACAAGTCGGCGAAGTACCAGGTCTAGACAAGATAGACAACGTTGTTTTCTTGCGTCTCAATCTCCGTGATGAGGATGGAGATGTTTTGAGCCGCAATGTCTACTGGTTGTCTAAGACCATCGACGCTCTGGCTTGGGAGAACTCAACTTGGTATCATACTCCTGTGAGCAATTTCGCAGACTACACATCCTTGTTCAAGCTCGACACAGCCACCGTCAAGGCAAGCTCCGCTGCGTCAGAAAGTTCAGAAGGAGCCTTCACTGTAACTCTGGAGAACGAGTCAGAAGTGCCTGCATTCTTCATTCGCCTGACCCTGGTAGACGAAGAAGGAGGAGATGTAAACCCGGTGACGTGGTCCGACAACTATGTTACTCTGTGGCCCAAGGAGAAGCTTGAGCTCACCGTACACGGATGGGATGGTAGCGGCGAAAAGGTCCAGATTAGCGGTGGAAATATCGACGACCAGGAACTGGACCTATAGGCAATAGCAAAGGATCTATTCTTTCAAACTCCGTTCTGTAGAACCATGGTTCTGCAGAATGTAAATTGTATAATTGGACCAGTTTGAAAAATGCAAGATACTTGACTCAGATATCAGACGATTGACGTGCGCATACTTTGAATGTTGTCAATATATTACTCTCTGAAAAATTCATAATATTGTATATCGTTACGCACCGACTATTGTTTCTTATCGTTGAATGAGGTTAAGAGAAAAACAACCAGAAACAACTCTGCTTTGAACTTCATTGACATTGGAGTAGCTTCTTTGCGAGTAGATATTGCTGTGCGAATTATTTTCATTCAAACATAAAAAGCCCCATGTGAACTAGACTAGCCATTGAAACCGCCGTACTTATAGTTAGTTACCTGAAGACAACCTGGGTGCGTGATTACTCGTATCTTGGATCTCTAGCTATGGGCCTACAACTTGCTCCTCGGCCTTGGAACCCAGAGACGAGTTAGAGGCCCACTCTCGCCGTAAACAGGATCCGCCTCTGGCATCGCCACATCTTGGATCATGGTATGGAATTGTTCAGCAGGCTTTTTGCCCATCTCATTCCGCCACTTGGGACAACCCTAGAAGTATAGAAATCCTGCCATTAGAAAGGAATGGAATGGGTTGATTCTCCAAGGATATTTTCCTCACCTCTGGGTAGACTCCAATGTAGCGGTAGTTGGGCGAACTTTCTGTGGAAGAATGGGCAGTACCGGCGGGAAGAACAATAACGTCTCCGGATTTGACATTAATTTCGACGCCGTCGCCTTCTTTGATCTTTCCGATGAGGAGCTTGGAGGAGCCTTGGAAGATGCCTGAGTTTCCACTATATTAGTGGAGAGCGACATTATCACATGGTTGAATAAAGCTGACCATAGCATTCATGGCTATTGGGATGGAAGTGACGGATGCCAATATGGCCCCAAGTACCCTAACAAAGGTTAACAAGCTTACCAGCTGTTTCATAACTTAGCAGATGGTTGCTTACTCTTTTCTCCCACTTGTTGCGGGTGAGAAACTCCGTCACGGAGGTCTCTGTTGCTGGCTGCGGCAGCACATCTTGGTAATGCAAGACAGGCAAGGTGTTATTGGGGGCGTCTTTGTTTGACCCGAGATAGTAGCAGTTGACCTGCATCTTGGACGCCATTGTATGGGTGGTGTCGAGATACCTACCCCTGTTGTTTTGGGCTGGTACACGCGTGCAGCTTGTCTATATCAACAGCTAGTCCCAAGTCATATCAGCGGTAATTTCCAAAGCCTTCCTATCTGAACTCTTTTATCTTTGGTCATGTGTTGTCTCGTCACAGTGCGGGGCTATGGTAGTATTGACCATCCGGATTCGCCGCTTCACACGGTCCGGGTCACCTCCGTCCCCAGTCACACCCGTATCTATCGAAACTCCGACCAGTTCCTATCAGCCCCTATCTAGCGTATCGATGCAGCCCACTCCTAGATTGAGCTACCGATCATAGCGAATCCGGGGAAAGCTATCGATGCAATCGCAGGGTTTGGACCAATGCGGGGTGATATGGTTTGGGCTGTCCAATTGTGACGAGTCATTACTCATGCCGAGAATCTAGCATATATATTAGGATGAGATCGCGTCTGCCGTCCCAGGTTGCAACATCACACCCATCACTTAGCCTGGCAACAAATCCTTTCCATCACCTTGCCATATTTATTCTTTATCCCTCAAACATCAGCCATGGATGCTCAGGCCGGAGCCCCTGACAAGGGTGATACCAAGACCCTCGAGCCTGTCGTCAGCCATGAACACGGCACTGCGGACTCGATCCGTAACTTGCCCCTTGCTGTGGATACAAACTTGAGGCTTGTTGATGAAGCAATCGAGGCCATTGGGTTTGGCAGATTCCAGATCCAGCTGACATTGACGTCTGGCTTTGGCTTCCTAGTTGACCAGGTTTGTTCGATCAAGGCCTCCTCCATTCCTAACACCACTTTACGCTCAATTTCTTACATGTGTGGTCACTCCTAGATGATCCTAGTTGCTATCAGCCTTCTTACTCCGCAATCGGCGATGGAATTCGGACCCCAATACCCGACTTTGCTATCCGCCTCGAATTATGCAGGCCTCTTCGTCGGTGCGATCGTACTAGGAGGGTTTGCAGATAATATAGGAAGAAGACTGATATGGCAACTCTCGATCTTTGCTGTCTCTGTTGCCGCCCTTCTTGTTGCTGCCATGCCGAATTGGGCCGGTTTGAACGCCATGCTTGCTATCTTGGGGTTCTTTGGTGGTGGAAATCGTGCGCATATTACCCCTCTTGCCCTTAAACTTGGACATGGCTGACAAGAATATTAGTCGCTATTGATCTGACTCTTCTCGCCGAGAGCATTCCTAGGAAATGGGGGTTTGTGCTATCCGGACTGGCTGCAATTTGGGGCCTGGGCAATACGCTTACAGGACTTATCGGTTCGTACTGATTCTCATAATACCTCCAACTTTGCCTAGCAAGAGGGGGGAGACATGGCAATGATGAATGGTGACTGACAGACATAGCTTGGCCTCTACTGGTCACATTCGGTTGTGAAAGCGGCTCGACCCCCGCAACTTGCCACAAGGAAGACAATATGGGTTGGAGATACTTATACATCACCGTTGGTGGCCTGTGCCTCATCATGGCAGCTATCCGAGTCTTCGTCTTGAGCACGCTTGAGTCTCCTAGGTGGCTTGTCTCCTGTGGGCGTGTTTCTGAGGCGGTTGACGTTCTGAATAAGATTGCAGCCATCAACAAGGCAGATTATGCAGCGTCTGCCGATGACTTTATCCGTATGGAGGTCAGTGTCAATCAAACCAAGAGCTTATCTGAGAACCTTCAGCGGGCCAAACGACTGGTCACTGGGGGTAAGCAAATCTGGTTGGTTACTTGTCTGGCTTTCATGTGGATGCTCATTGGAATTGCGTAAGTCACTCACAATCTCATATACGGAATGATACTAACGAGAGACACTTAGTTATCCGTTGTACACTGTCTTTCTGCCTTACTACCTTGCATCACATGGAGCGAGCTTCGGCGAGTCCTCCAATTACACCACCTACCGCGACTGGACTGTCTCGTCCGTCGTCGGCATCTTCGGTCCATTCCTCAGCATGTGGATGGTCTCTAACAAATGGCTCCGATCTAAGAGGTCTCTGTTCATTACGGCCGCCATTTCTGCCATATTTTCGGGGGCCTTCACCACCGTTCGTAATGACGCACAGAACCTGGCTTTTTCCTGCATGATCAACTTCTGGCTGAACGCTCTATATGCCATCGTTTACTCGTAAGGACAACGCACAATCTCAAATTCGTGAAAGAAAGACCGCCATGAACTAACAATGTGTGTACTTAGATATACACCACAGTCACTCAGTGTCGAAAACCGTGGTCTTGGAAACGGCCTCGCGATGGCTCTTGGCAGAATGTCATCCCTGAGCGCACCTTTTATTGCCACATTCGGCGATGTTACATCCCCTGTTCCAATCTTTGTCGCTTGTGGCTGCTTTGTGATTATTGGATTGATTGGCCTTGTCTTACCTGTAGACACAGAGCCCTTCTCATATTAAGCCCAGAAGGTCATATTCGCCAAAGCTGGGAGAAGATTCGGGCGAGACAAACACTCTCTGAACTTTCATTTTGGTTGGTCCCACTACGCTTTGTTTATTCTAGCTTCACCTACGATATCTTCACCTTGCTTGTTTTTTTGTATATTCTATTCTATGTAGAAGATACCTGTTGTGTAAACGCTTTTTGTCCGCAATCAAATTCGTGCATCAGCATCTTAATGATCTGATACCCGATTCCAGTACCGGAAGCGAAAGAGGCAGTTTTCAGCTTAAGATTCAAGGCAAACATTACTAATTTGTATCAATAAGACGCCTCGTACCAAGTTTGCAAATATAGATTAAGGTTGCTAAGCGAAGATGGAAACGATGCCTTTCGAACCACAACCCTGTAAAAACGACGATGCCTCCTACCTCTACTCAATTCAATGGTAAGATGGCTAACCCTTCCCTGGAGAGCTATTTATAGAATATCTAGCATCAATCACGCGATTCCTCCAGTCCAGAAGATAACTTTCACCCAGCATTCGATCATACATTGGGAATTGTGGTACAAGCTGAATGCCCAATAAATTGCGGCTGGTGGGAAAAGGGGGGTTACTGTGTGATTTGGCCGGGGTTTCAGACAATCATTCCTAGGGAGAGGCTGGCTGTACATGCAAGTAATCCCGCGTGTTGGTTCCGTCCATCTAGCTGCATGCACTTCGCCGCAATTAGCTCCCTGGCGATGGCAACTAGGATCCAGAGTCACCGTTCAATCTTACAAGGCCCATTGATAGAAAAATAAGAGAACAGCAATGGTATAAAAAGACTGAGTTAAGTTTCTCTTGGTGAAGATAAGTATCTTGAATGCCTCATCATGCGTGATAGTCCTGCTCTGCCTTCCTGCTCGATATGATCTTATCCTACATTCGTCTGCAATGGTGGGATTCTCCACCCCTCTGATGCATGTTGGTCGACCAACATGCATATCAATGTGATGGTTGTGGCATCCTTCAGCCTGCTCTCCCCTGTCACTAATACTACATAAATTGTTCGAAGGGGGGTTGGATATTTCCCCAGTTCCCGCCCCCCTTTCTCCTCGCCCACTACCACTTACTCCTCCCTCTCAACACTTCTCGTCTACAGGAACTTACCTCTACTATTATTGATCAATTATTTCACGCGCCAATCAATATCAAAATATCAAACTTGACCATGGCCTTCAACAAATCGCAGCCGAGTTCCCCGGATCCGACCGATATCGAGTGCCTCAAGAAGGCGTTAGGCTTGCCCTCGATATGTCTGGCAACTACCGTAAACGGGGTACAGTGTGGGACGGCTATTCCTCACGAAGACGAGATTGATCCAATTCTCTCGAGTCTTCTTAACCCTTCCCACACTACGACACCACCGCTAAGCTTTTTGAGCCACACCGATCAATTGCTCTCGCGGTTGCTTTTCGACCCTCTGTGTCCCTCTAGGAGTCAACATAGTGCTCCTTCCAAAAATATGTTGTCTCTTGATACCCTTCGTGATCGATTTCAGGAGTGGAAGCTATCAGAAGAGAAAGGTGGCGCGAATAATGAGGCGTCAACAGCAGGAGCCGATGGGTGCCACGAGTCTCAGACTTCCACTTTAGGTGAAGGGTTCCAACGCGATACAGTTCATGATGCAGCCTTCAATACCGAAAAGGACGATGAGAATGATGAGGAGGATGAGGGTGAGGAGGAGGATGCGGAGGATGAGGAGGATGAGGACAGTGATGAAGATGACGCCAGCTCCCACAGCGAAGACAAATCTAGTGAGTACCAACCTAGCGAATACGAATATCAACCCAGGGAGCACCAGAACGACAAGCACAGTAAGGGTCGAACCAACAACGCGCTTGATGGGAAACCAACGGAAGTGCTCAAGAATGAGTTTTGGGAAAGTCTGTACAAGAAAATCAGGCACGACATGAAAGCTTCGTTAAATGCAGCAGATGATCAAGCCCCGGCAAGCTTGACAACCCCACCTCGAACAAGCAACAACTCTTCTAAATCCGAGTCTGGTAGCAAAGATGAACCGGATCCAGTAAGCCGAACTTCGACCCCAGTTCCGCCCATCTTTTCGCCGCCTGAGCCTTCTTCTGCCGACACCCCAGATACGGAAAAAACTACCAGTCCTACTGGACGGCAAGGTAGCGACAGCTATTTCGAAGAAAGTCCAAGCCTAAATAGGGGCTCCTCTGCACGGTCGGGTAAAGGATTGTCGTTTAACCCCATACTTTCCCTGTTGCAACCCAAGGCTCCAGAATCACATAACGAAGAGCGACCGACCACCCCATCCAACAGCAAAAACAAAGAGTACGCAGGGAGAGGCTCAACGCCGCGGCGGGGGAGATCTGTCTCAACGGATAAAGCATCGGCGAGGACACCTCTTCACCCCTCCATAACTCTACCGGATGGGACCAAAACAGCCGAAATATATGAAATATCAGCCAAATCGAACGCTCTGAAGGAGATTTTGATGACGATGCGATCCATTGCAGATGGAGATAGAGCTATGCCCGGCCATGTTTACGCCTACAAACACAAGTCCGTCCCTGGACACATTAAGATCGGGTTCGCCAAAGATGAACAGAACTCTACCGAGGAATGGCATATTGTGTTGGATCCCGTGGGCAAACACAAAGATCTTCATCTATGGAAGAGATTGCAACAGCAAGAAGATAAATGCATGAGCGGGTTGGAGGTCCTGTTTGCAGTCTACATGCCACATGCCGCTGGCCACATGGAACGGTTGGTTCATCGCACCCTTTACAAAGAGAAGCGAATAGCAAAGTGCCAAAAGTTGGATTGTGATACAGAGCACATTGAGTGGTTTGAAGTTGAAAAAAAGCGAGCTCTTGAAGTAGTCATGCGGTGGGCAGAGTTCAGCGAAATGTTTCCGTATAATAACAGAGGTTGTCTAGGTGAGAGTTGGGATGAACATGCATTTGAGTATGCAAAGCAGTCGACGCCAATGACATTGGAGAAGTGGTGGAACGGCGCATGGAACGATTTCAGGGCTGACCAGAAAATTAAACGCGGTCAACAGCTCGTTGCTGCGCTGGAAGAAAAAAGAAACAGCCAGCAGGAGGAGCTTAATTTGTTGGATATCCAAGTTGAGATTCAACTGGAAAGGAATAGATTGAAACAGGAGAAGAATGAATTGGAGCAGTATGCGACAGCATTGCGTGAGGTAAAGGTCAAAAGAGATTTGGAAAGGACACGAGAACGCCAACAAGAGCTTCAACAGCGGATAGAGAAGTTGTCATTGAGATAGGCCTTATATAATGGAGATTTTTCTCACCAATTTACATATTACTAGCTTTATAAATCCTGTGACAAAACATTCTTTTCCGTTTTCCGCAGGCACTTAGATAAAACACACCAAACCCCATTCCTTGTGGCTATTTGATATACTCATGATATGTCTGCCACTTAACTTTCTGACTCAACTCCTCATCTTTCTAGTAAAAGTGTTTCCACTTGCTTCACTGGCTGATCATCTGTTGCATCCTGTTTGGTACTCTCGCCAGACTGTACCTTATAATCATAACATGAAAGGCCCGAATTATCATTATGTAGATCTTTCCAAAGAGTCCATGGCAATGGACTACTGTAGTTACGATCAGCTCTTCCCCTATACTGACGTTTTGGGAATGCTCTTTTCCGCTATGTCGATCTTCTGGTCGTATCAAGACGGAGGTTTGAAAGTCCAGATGGCTGTCATTCTCTCCGATAATGATCTCATCCTCCGTGCGGGAGCGAACCGGGAAAACTCCAATTGTGTCAACGCCCTTCTCCTCTGCGGCCGCCTGTATCTCGGTAGAGCGCTTTACACCAAAAATTGCCATTATCTCATCTCTGATCCTCATCAGCAGTGAGAACCAAGCAGGCGGCTCGCAGAAAACGGCCTGCGCAAGAGTATCTAGTGAGACTTCATGCGGCTTTCGCAAAGGAAGTGATACCGCAAATGAGTCGATAAAGAAAGCCGACTTATACAACGGGGCCAGCTTGCTTTCTTGCGGAAAGGGTACACTGCGGACACTGGATAGTAGCCTTCGCTGCCCTTCCCATGAGAGCCAAGTGGTAGTAGGCCGAAAGACCGGTGGGCGCCATGGCCGGCTTTGTGCTCCCTTAACAAGGCCAGACATTTTTTTAAACAGAGGGTACAAAACAAAAGATCTCGAATTTGTCAGACCAGACGATAGGCTAGACGCACGGGAAGGTTAGAGGCTTGATACGAGACCGGCGGACATTGCAAGTTTATAAGTTGTCAGCGATAATCCATGAACAGTGTGTGCCTGCATATGTTTGAGAAATTCAAAACGGTGACTATTAGTGTGACCATTAATAAGGTAGGTGATGAGGTCCTCGAACTGGGGCGAATTTAATTTATGGCTGGCCTAGAAAGATACGTACTGTTAAAGTATCCATAAAAATAGATCAGCAAACACTGGGTCGCGGAGTTGGATTTGTCAGGAAAGAAAGGCTGTGCCGGAGGCTTTTTGGATCGGAATCGGGAAAAATAGGAACTTTTTTAAGTAGAGTAGACGGTTAAGTAAGTGGTTTTTTAGGGCAGAATAGAGAAGTCAGAATGAAGAGGAGTACCGCGACTCTACTAGTATGACGACTTATTCTTCCCTTAGGCAAGAGTATCTGGAGTTAAGTTACTGTGTTTTTCTGCGTAGGGAGATCCCCGGAGTTGATGTTCTATTGTCTTACCTAGAGCGTGATGTAGGTCTAGTTCAATGGAGCTTTGGAGACTATTAAACCTGTTGCGTGCATCAAGTCGGCTGAATATAATTAATAAGGAGTCTGTTAACCTTTTCGAGGTAAGTAAAGTTTGAAAATTGCATGGGGTACATCGATAATTGTCTTGTAAGAAACCCACCTTTGCTAAGTGACGTTTCAGCGTACTGGGTTCGTTTATAGGAGTAGGCGAAAGCAGTTTTTTAGATCCATGAAGGATGAGAATCGTTTGATTTGCTGGAGGCTTTGTGGACAATTCTACGGTATAGGAACAGAGGATATAGAATAATTCAATAAACTAGCTTTGCAAAATACAAATTGATGGGTCTAACTCGTACAGTGTCCATGTAGTCCCAGTCTGTTGCCTTTGTGTGATTGCGTTATCAAGAAGTATAAAGTTGGGAAAGATTCAAGCAACATCTCAAACCAAGCTCAATAGAAAGTTGTCATAGCATGATACCTAGTTGGCCCTTCAACTGCCAAAGGAAATCATGTTGCTGAATCCTAACTACGCCTCAAATGACGAGTCTAACCTTGAGCTTGTCGCCCTCCACAATCTCCTTTTCCCGGCTAAGGAATTCAGGCATGTCCCAGGTGAGGTCGATATAACGTCCAGCCAGCCAGTCACGTTTCTCTTGGGTCAAGTAGACCATAGAGTCGGCAGACAGCTCAGCAGTATCAGTGAGGAGTGTATTAAACTCCTCTGTCATATTGTCAGCCATGTCGGTCTTGACACTACCTGGGTGGATGCTGTAGACCAGGAGGCCTTGCTCGCCGTACTCGTGCATGGTGAACTCGCTGAAGCGGAGCAGGGCCAACTTGCCAGTCTGGTAGCTAGAAGCGCCCTTCATGATGATGTGGGCACCAATGGACGAGGTGTTCACGATGGTCTTATCGCCCCCTTTGAGGAGGAGGGGAATAAAAGCGCGGGTAGTGAAGAAGATGCTGCGGACGTTCACCTCGTACATCCCCCACCAGCTTTTGGTGGAGGATTCAACGATGGGGACGAAGGAATCAAGGCGAGCGGCGTTGTTGATGAGCAGGTCTAGCCGGCCCCATTCTTTTTCGACCTTCTCAGCCGCGGCATTGACGCTGTCCTCGCTTTGAACATCTAGATTGATAGCGAGGATCTCGGGCATAGGCTTGCCAATCTCCTTGAGCTTGGCAGCGATGGCGTTTTGAGCTTTGGTCAGGTCACCACGCGCACCGAGACCAAGATGGGAGACCCCTGCCACAGCGTAGGATATGGCAGTGGCCAGCCCGAGACCGCGAGAGGCACCAGTGATGAAGACAGCCTTGTTGGCATGTTTGTTGGATTTGGTGGCAGGATCGATCTCGGGGTAGGTATCACAGTGCCTGCTGCACCAGTTCATTATATCAACCGGAAAGACAGAAGGGTAGGCAACCATTTTGAATGATGATCGGCTTGTATTTTGTAGAAATAATGTCAATATCGAAGCTTTGATATCTTAGGCGTTATGAATTATGTGAAGAGCGGATGAAGGTTTTCAAGACAAAACAACTAGAAAAGTCCATGAGGTTATATATGTTTCTCAGATGATCATAAGGCCCATACAGTGATAGCAGCCCGAGCAGAGCAACCCTCTATACTACACAGTCTATTCTTGTGGTTATCACCACGCCCGGACTTTACGCTCCCGTTTCGAACAATTCATCGATTTCATTGTGACACGATGACCAATATTCGTGCTTGAGATGTCCGGACCACCGCACCTGGCCCGAATAGATCGCTTTCCATATCTAGCCCATCTCACTTACTAGTTTCTTCGTTTACGAGACAACATTTTTAGACTATCCACACACGAGGCTATCACGTAGGATCCGCAGGTGTCGTGGCTCATACGATGAGAGGAATTTTGCCTTTTCTAGGTTAAACATCCGAATCGACGTAGACGACATGCTCAAACATGCCCACAACCTCCTTACCTATCAGGCGGCGAGGTACGCGTAGAAGCAGGCTCGGCGGGTTTGGAGTTGAGTTTCGGAGTTTCGGAGGGTTGCCAGCTGAGTCTCGGACGGTTCTTAGTTGAGTCTTGTGTTCCCTCTCAATAGCTGCAGTGGGTCACTCATCCGCCAAATTAGAAACTTTGAATCGCTTATCAAGCTGGAGAAAAGAGTCCACCACTCTCGTTGAACTATATCGAAATCTGCCTCACTTGACTCTTTTTGGGTCTTGGCGTCAGAAACTGGCTTATCTCTCGATGTGATACTCAAGGTGATGCTGAACGATTGAAAGCCTAGCCTAAGCCTCATACTGATAATGCACGCGATGCTTCCGAATCTGGAGCGTAAGCCGGCATGTGAGGATTATGTCGATCACTATTACCGATCTCAAAGAGTTGTCCGAGACCCAGTTTTGAGTATATTTTTCTCGTAAATATATCAAAGAATACTTTGCAATTTCTCCGTGCCAGCATTGTAGGATGCCATCTGATTGGAAAGCAATATGCAGGCTGCGGAGTATTTGCAGAGGATCCTCGGCCTTTACCGTAACTACGGTATAGAGTCAACCATTTCGGGTCTACGTGACATCTAGTAGTCAGTATTGAACAATGAGCCACAAGTAATACCGTGGGCTACCTATAATTCAAATTTGGTCAAGGCAAATTGAGATAAAGTTCTTTATCATAGGCAATATCTTGGCTTGAAACCTGAGTATGCTCTATGAGTCCAGGTTTACATTCTCTCCTACGTGCAAATACCTATCAAACAGGAACAACAATAGGATCGTCCCCCAACTTGTTAATTGTTGCATCCCAATCCTTAATAGACGCTTTATGGTGCAACTCGCCATCATTAGATATGCCCACGCCGCTGTCCGAGCCGACGCTTCCCTCCTGCAAAACTGAATCCGAGCTGATCTTCTCCCCTACAATAACGGGGCTCGCACTTTCAGGAACAGCATTGTTGGTAGTGCTTGCAGCTTCCAGAGGTATAGGCGCATCTTTGTGAAGGTAAAAGCTCAAGTCGGAATCCCGGTCTGGGATTGTCGTCATGTTTGAATGATACTCTTGGATTTTGAGCCCCAGCGGGTCCAGCTCAAGATTCTCAATCCATGAGATCCCCTGTCCCCAGTACGCGTACCTCTCAGTATCGTACTGCCAGTAATAGTCTTCCCATCGATCTTCGGCTAGGCACTGCATATAATGAAGCGAGCTTCCAGGCCAAATAGCTGTGACTTTGCCGTTCGTACCTTTTTTGACTATGGACAGGCAAATTAGTGACTGGAAGCCTTTTTCATAGCAAATTAACGTACACCAACTGCGGCAAGTTCCCGTCCACACTGTATCTTTCATCAGTGCCTGGGTATGCTTATCGAAGTCATTTTGAGCTTCGGGCCGAATATCAACACATCGAACTCGCTGTCGGATCATCTTTGAAAACAGTCTGATGAAGTAGTCGCCCGTTGCTTCAATGGGACCTGAATGACAAGTTTAGAAGAGGGCCAGCGTACCGCTCAATCGAAAGACTTACCTAGCGCGCTCCCGTTCGAGATAGGGGTGTTGGGGCCCAGGAAGGTGAAGTAATTCGGAAATCCCGATACTCCAGTTCCCAGATAGGAGCTTGGCTCGTCAGCCCATAGATCCTGCAAGTTGGTTCCCCTTTGGCCGAAGATCGGGAAACGTGGCTTGAAGGTTGTATTGAAACCTGTGGCTGCCACGAGGACATCGACAGCATGCTCTGTGCCGTTGGAAATAATCCCGTTGGATGTAACACTCGTGATTCCATCAAAGATGGGTTCCACATTAGCTTGTTGCAGCGAGACGAGATACTGTTCTCCGGGGTTAATACGTCTGCATCCTGCCTCAAAACTTGGTATAAGTTTCTTCTGCAGGCTTTCATCTTTGATCAACTCCTTCATTCGGTTCTCAAACTTGCTTCGAAGGTCGGCTTGCTGTTGTGTTCCTTTGAAAAAGGCCCGAAACATACCATTAAACTGGCTTTCCAAGTTCTTGCGCTCGGCAAGATAGTGCTCGCGGTTGTTTCTATATTCTTCCTTTTCTTCACTGTAATACACCTGGTCCGGACGGGTCGGGTCCGGAACAGCGACAGCAGGAGCGATATAGGAAGGTGTCCGGATATACATGTAGATCTTTTTGGCCAAGGGTTGGAGTTTGGGAAGAAGCTGAACGGCACTCGCCCCAGCCCCAATTACACCGATTGTTTTCTGTTCGAGATTAATTCTGTCATCCCAATCGGCCGTGTGCAGCAAAGGGCCAGCAAAATTGTCGAGTCCCGCCACATTCGGATATTGAGGATGGTTCAGAATTCCACCAGCGTTCACCAGCAGCTCAGACTCAAATGTAGAACCATCTTCAGTCTTAACAGTCCAAGTACTAGATGAGTCAGACCATCTTGCCAAGACCACTTTACTGTTATACTTGATGTGTCTCTCTAGGTCGAAGTGTCTTGCGACTCGCACCATGTACGCTTGAATCTCCTTGGAGGAAGCGTAACTATACACCACTAATTAACGACGCCCATCATCAAAGACCAGATTAATCACATTACTCACAATCTTGACCAGTCCGGGTTTGGAGCAAAAGAGAACTGATAGCAGTGACTGGGAACGTCGCATGCGCAACCTAAAGCCATGAGCAAGGAATCGGGCCAAGGCCGGGTTGCAAGACATACCTGGATACCTGTTTTCGTACCAAGTGCCTCCAAGCTCAGGAGATTTCTCGAGAATTTGAAAATCTATGTATGACTTTAAATGTTTCTGGATTTTGTATGCTGTGTGATTCGGAAGCTTTGTGAGCATAATGTACACAACAAGAGTTTGAGGTCAAGTAATGGGACCTACCCATCAAGATACCGGACATTCTGATGATGTTAGATGTTGTTTTCATTTTGTTTATTTATGATATCTTTTAGGGGTGTTTCTTACTCACCCAGCGCCGATGATAGTGCATCGAAGATGCTTGTAGGGGGGGGTTCGAGTCTGCTCCATTTGGCTGGCTATCTGTGCTTGTTCGATGCTATGCTGAACAGGGCAACAATTCATTCAGTAGGTTCTGAAGAACAATACAGAGTAACTCCGACAACTCAACCAAGCCATCCCAGCGTACTTGTTTCCTTGGAACCCCAGCCCTTGACCCTGCTGTAGCCAGGCGGAGGCGGACCGGACGCCTCCGGCTGTGGTAATGTGAGTGGATCGCATTATCTCCATGACTCGTGGTGGGGACGGAGCGGTCGGAAATAGCGAGAGATAGGCGGAATGGAGGTGGAGCTATGAAGGTATCAAGGCAAATGCGTGGGGATGATCCGGTGAAGATATGGTCAGCCGACTCATTGGTCATTCCTTGCAGATAAGATGAGGGGTTGTTTCCAGGTGGCAAGGTCTTGAAGAATGCACGGAGGTAGAGCAAGTTGTAACTGGCCATCTATTGTTTCAGTTGTTCCATCGCATATGACTAGGTGTGCGTACTTACCAAGTCGAAGAGTAGTGAGAACTGCAGTCAAGACCTCGCAATCTGCCAATAATTACAGAGGTATTGGGGACTATTCACTTTTCAGTACGGAAGTTAAGAGAGTTCGTACTAAATGGCCAGCATGATAATTATGTTTCGATTATTGAGTGTCATGAGTGTGCCGATTATCGCCACAACTTGAGGTGACCTCTTAAAGCGGAATTATTCAAGACTTAGATATCGATTAGCTTGAGATGAGCTACCCCTCTTCTATGTATATTTAATGCTTGATCTAAAAGGTAGTTACGTGTTATACCAATCTATCTAGCTCCAATTACCCCCGATCTCAACACGGAGAAGCAACAGGGCTGGAAGCAGAGGTGTTTTTATGATATACATGGCTGGCGTATCTGAAACGGCTAATAAGGCTAAAGCTTAGACATCTCCTTGGGGCTCAAAAGTCGTAATGGAGGTCCAGCTCTGCTGCCATCACCAATCTTTGTACCAACGTTGTCTCCAGCTGGCAGTGGGAAACTCCATTTGCGCCTCAATTCTTCCGGCGCCTTGTTTTCGAAGCAATCGGCAATATAGGTTCCCAGAACTGGAAGGAACTTGAAAGCGCTGTTGTTTCATTTCGTTAGTCATGTGCCCCTTTTTCAGATCATTGAAGTTTCACTTACTGTCCAGCTCCGCCAGTGGCAAAGAAAAGCCCGGGAACTTTTGGGTGATGATCCACGACGAAGTCTCCTGCAGGAGTGTCCGAGTACCAGCACAAACGACGGTCCATCCACTCACGCGACTGGAACTCGGGTACGAGCTGTGCCAGTCCTGCTCGAAGAGCGGCATCGGCATCGTCTGGTAAATAACCGGACACTGCATTGCTTGTGTCTCTCCTAGGTGAGGAAACTAGCCGCTCCTTGTCCTCTTCAACGACCGGTACAGCGGTCCCAAAGCCATATCCGTGGCGTGCAATCTTCAGGACATTGGTATCCGGCGTCGGAGGGAACACAAAAATGCCGGTGTCCAAATTAATCATGACTGGCATGCCTTTGAGCTTCTGAGCCTCCGCATCTGTCAATTGAATAAATCCAACAGGTTGTCCAGATGCAGAGCTTGCATGGCTCATGTCTACCAGGCGATTTGACCAGGCTCCTGTCGCCAAAACTACGAGGGAAGCCGATATCGATGGCCCCTGGGCGACATTTACTCCAACAACGCGCCCATGCTCGTATTTTAGGGAGTGTACAGTTCCTCTTGGTCCCAGAATGAAGGATACCCCAAGGCTGCTGCATTCATTGCTGAGCTGACGGATACTCGATTCTGCATCAGCCCAGCCTCCAGCAGGATTCAGATGCGCCTCCAAACCCTCGAGCTTTGCCTGGATACTTGGATAGTGATCCCGCAGCTTGTCGGCGTTCTTGAATTGAATAAGCCGACCGCCAACCTTCTCTGTCTCTTCCTTGGCTTTGGAAGCATAAGACCCGTCTCCGGGTGCTCCAAGCATCGCAAATCCAGACGTGTGAAAGTGTTTGCTGTACTTGGTTTTCCATCCTTCGAGAGCTTCACGGGCCATCTGCCCGTAAAGGGGATCCGCATATTCCACGCGGATGACCCGTGAGATATCAACGCTGCTTCCATCAGGAACTGGGGGCAGAAAACGATCAAGGACAGTAACGTGGAGGTAGCCTCTTTTCTTCAGTTCCAGGGCGGTCGACAGGCCGAAGAGACCAGCGCCGATGATGACGATCGGCTCATCTTTTGGGACAGGCTTCATTGTGAGGGATGCTACAAGGCGTATCTTTGGACTTCTCTTTCGGTATTAGGTAGAAATTGATTTAAAGATTGTGAGAGAAAACACTCGTTCAGATCATTTAGTAGACGCTGGCCATTCAGGACGAGGAGTGTGGTTTGTTCCGGCCTCCGCGAAAAGTGTGTGCGGGTCCGGTCCGCAAACTCCGTGCCCACATCACGAGTCTGGACCCTTACAAGATGTGGCAAAGGGATGCCCTTGGATTAGATTAGCTTTAAAGGCAAACGAACAAACCGCTCCATATCCGAGCACAAACAACTTGGCTGTCTAAATCACCTTTCCCAACCTTCAAGCACGGTCTAGCGTCGCTCCGGCTGAACATTCAACCCTCACTATCTTACCTACCCTTGTTCATATTCCCAAAAGCAAAATGAGTTGGCTAGGCCTTGGCAAAAGCTCCTCTGCTCCCAAGCAGGAGGAGGAGCGCAAGACCACCCGCGCCCTGCCCGCATCCTGGTATCACTCCCCTGCCATGTACGAGCTAGAGCGCCGCGCAATCTTCTCCAAAAAGTGGATTCTCGTCTCACACCAGCTCCGTTTCAAGGAGCCTGGTGACTTTGTCCAGATCACCGAGGCTGGCTTCACATTCTTCATAATCAAAGATCGCAAGGGGGTGATTCACGCCCACCACAACGTGTGCCGCCATCGAGCCTATCCCCTAGTCGAGAAGGAGTCCGGACATCTCAATGTTCTGGCTTGCAAGTATCATGGTATGCCCTCCCGTCCCCTTTCGATCCCCTGTTTGATCGGTTCTTTTTTTCGTTGTCTGACATTGCGTCCCGCTAGGATGGTCTTATGGTTTCGATGGAAAACTAGCCAAGGCGCCGAAATATCAAGATATCCCGTCCTTTGACAAAACTGCCAACACCCTCTTCAAGATCCACGTCCATGTGGACAAGCTAGGTTTCATCTGGATTAACATGGATGCGAATGAGACTCCTACCACGTCATGGGAGGAGTTATTCGGCACTGTCGATGAGCAACCGAGATTACAAAAGTTTGACATGTCCAACTACACTTTTGACCATCAATGGGAAATGGTCGGAGATTACAATTGGAAGACGCTAGCAGACAATTACAACGAAGTAGGTCACTCCACGACTTGGGGAAAGCTAAGATCATAAGCTAATCCCGGCTACAGTGTTACCATTGCCCAACTGGTCATCCTGGAGTTGCTGCAGTATCAGATCTAAGCAAGTACTGGGTCGAAACAGCTGGTAATCACATCCAGCACTTCAATGTTGACAAGGCGGATCGGGAGGGCCTGGGGATCTACAGCACCTTCCATTATCCCAATGCTTCGACCACAATTTCGTAAGAACTTGAAACCTGTTTGCAGTCAATGGGTAGCATGCTGACTTCAACAGACCCGACTTTTTCTACATAATGCGATGCATACCAATATCATCTCATCAAACCAAGATGGAGTATGAAGTCTACCGGAACAATGATGCGACTGAAGAAGCCTTCACCTATATAAGTGACTTTTTCAAGGTCGTCTTGAAGGAGGACAAGGATCTCTGCAACGGTGCCCAAAAGAACCTGCAAGCCGGCGTCTTTCTTAACGGCGAGCTTCACCCTCACGCAGAAAAGGTAAGGCAAACCCGTGTCATACAATCTTAAACGCGGCAGCATCTGAGACTGATTCAATCGGCTAGGGTCCATTATTTTTCCAGTCTCTAACTCGAGACATTGTCGTTTCGCACCGGGAGCAAGAGGAGGCTGCTGGTCATGATATCTGGCCGGCTACTCCTAAGCATAACATGAACGATACCAACGAAAAGGATGTTGCATTTTGCAAGACACTTGATTGCGCTGCTGGCAACGAGAATCTAGTATGGTAAACTATATGAAAAGCTAGCAAGGGCGCTCAGGCTTAGAACATGTCAGTCGCTATGATGACAAATGTGTAGCCAACAGGAACAAAAGCCAGCCGTATATTTATGCAACTCAAATAAATACAAAGTCTATTTAGTCTATTCTAATCTGATTATAAAAAGTGCAAGGAGAAAGATGAAAACAAAAAGGAAATCCCATCGAATGGGTTCTTAAATTAACTTTCAGTGTTGATGTACGGCCACATTATATCCAGGCTGATAACCATGGATTAGTAGCCGCTTTTAGATGAAATGAAAGGCGTCCGCCAAGTGGCGGTCAAGTTGATTGTTTGGTATCAGCAAACGTGGTGTGTCCAAGGCTTGTCCAGCTTACTCCTTCTTAATCTTCTTAGGTTTGGGAACCCGGGCCAGCCAGTAAAAGAACAAGGCGGCGCCAATATTGAAGAAGACGTAGACGAAGACCAGTCCGAAGTCCCGCCAGCGGTTGGCAAAATTGACCGTAATGCTAGCCAGGAAGTCGTTGGTGCTCGACATGGCACAATAGTTACACTCTGTGGTACTCGCACCAGAGTCTCCAAGAAGCTTTCCACTGCCTGTGGCAAGGAAGTCGGCAAGATATTCGCTGCAAGTGGTGCCGTTGGGTGGCATGAATGTGACAATCTCATTCGAAGCGCACGTAATCGGGGCATTCGCAAGAGTTGTGCCCAAAAACCCTTCAACAACGTATGTGAAAGGATTGACCCGATACATGAAGATCCAGAATC